TAACCAGTTAAGCCAGTTGAGAACAAGGCAGAGTTGCAAAGAAAAAGCCATATCTCAGACTGCCCATCTTAATCTTTTATTTTTATTGGCCAGTCTGAGATATGGCTGTATTTAGTGTTTACATTGTTCCAAACGGTCAGGAAAAATTATACTGTAATCTATACTGCACCTGTTTGGCACACATAATATGCATGCAACGCTTGCTCCTTACGTTATTTTTCTTGATCTCCAGTATTTTCCACAACTAGTCAAATTTATTCCACTGACTTCCCCGTTACCTACCTCATGAGCAACCAGTAAACATTCTTCAGTTTCAAGTTTATTTGTCACATCCTCTGTATCCATTTTGCTGTTTGGAGTTTGTTATAACCAATTTATTGATGTGATTATGATATGCTATAGGTCAGACACTATTGGTCACGTGCATGCAACGCATACATGTGTCATGTAAAGAGAGCAAGGGTTGAGGGAATAGGTAATGTTTTTCCTAAACAAATTAGGGACAGAACTTTTCAGTCAGAAATGGCTGTAATTATGTTGCAGCTTAAGCAACACGAACAGCGCGAATAAACACTTTGATGTTCTGTGGTGGTCGCTGCAGCAGGGAGGAGAGAGTGCTAGTCACACAGTGCTAGTTAACACAGCGCAGCAAGTCTGAGCTCGGCCTGCCACAATCAAATCAATTTCAACCAATTGATTGGTCGGAAGAACAAACAACTCTTGGTCGACCAAGTTTTTTTTTAGTCGGGGACAGCCCTACTTTGTACTCTCAGGGGACAGCCCTACTTTGCAAGTTCTCCCACTTAAAAAGATGAGAGAGGCCTGTAATTTTCATCATAGGTACACATCAACTATGACAGACAAAATGAGGAAAAAAAATCCAGAAAATCACATTGTAGGATATTTTATGAATTTATTAGCAAATTATGGTGGAAAATAAGTATTTGGTCACCTACAAACAAGCAAGATTTCTGGCTCTCACAGACCTGTAACTTCTTCTTTAAGAGGCTCCTCTGTCCTCCACTCGTTACCTGTATTAATGGCACCTGTTTGAACTTGTTATCAGTATAAAAGACACCTGTCCACAACCTCAAACAGTCACACTCCAAACTCCACTATGGCCAAGACCAAAGAGCTGTCAAAGGACACCAGAAACAAAATTGTAGACCTGCACCAGGCTGGGAAGACTGAATCTGCAATAGGTAAGCAGCTTGGTTTTAAGAAATCAACTGTGGGAGCAATTATTAGGAAATGGAAGACATACAAGACCACTGATAATCTCCCTCGATCTGGGGCTCCACGCAAGATCTCACCCCGTGGGGTCAAAATGATCACAAGAACGGTGAGCAAAAATCTCAGAACCTTACGGGGGGACCTAGTGAATGACCTGCAGAGAGCTGGGACCAAAGTAACAAAGCCTACCATCAGTAACACACTACGCCGCCAGGGACTCAAATCCCGCATTGCCAGACGTGTCCCCCTGCTTAAGCCAGTACATGTCCAGGCCCGTCTGAAGTTTGCTAGATTGCATTTGGATGATCCAGAAGAGGATTGGGAGAATGTCATATGGTCAGATGAAACCAAAATAGAACATTTTGGTAAAAACTCAACTCGTCGTGTTTGGAGGACAAAGAATGCTGAGTTGCATCCAAAGAACACCATACCTACTGTGAAGCATGGGGGTGGAAACATCATGCTTTGGGGCTGTTTTTCTGCAAAGGGACCAGGACGACTGATCCGTGTAAAGGAAAGAATGAATGGGGCCATGTATCGTGAGATTTTGAGTGAAAACCTCCTTCCATCAGCAAGGGCATTGAAGATGAAACGTGGCTGGGTCTTTCAGCATGACAATGATCCCAAACACACCACCCGGGGAACAAAGGAGTGGCTTCGTAAGAAGCATTTCAATGTCCTGGAGTGGCCTAGCCAGTCTCCAGATCTCAACCCCATAGAAAATCTTTGGAGGGAGTTGAAAGTCTGTGTTGCCCAGCGACAGACCCAAAACATCACTGCTCTAGAGGAGATCTGCATGGAGGAATGGGCCAAAATACCAGCAACACTGTGTGAAAACCTTGTGAAGACTTACAGAAAACGTTTGACCTGTGTCATTGCCAACAAAGGGTATATAACAAAGTATTGAGAAACTTTTGTTATTGACCAAATACTTATTTTCCACCATAATTTGCAAATAAATTCATAAAAAATCCTACAATGTGATTTTCTGGTGAAAAAAAATCTCATTTTGTCTGTCATAGTTGACGTGTACCAATGATGAAAATTACAGGCCTCTCTCATCTTTTTAAGTGGGAGAACTTGCACAATTGGTGGCTGACTAAATACTTTTTTTTCCCCACTGTAATTGATCAGCTGTTGTCAAAGCCTAAATGAGTATGATATCCGGGCATTTAAAGTATACTCGATTTTGTCGCATACTATTAAGCTTTCTTTTTTTACACACTCAAACAGCCTACTATTTAGGACGCAAGTATGGGCATTCAGACACTGCCAGTGTCTTTATAATGGACAAATAAATAAGAAGTTCAAATACCATGTAAAATATTTTATTAAACAATTATTTGCCCAATATATATATTCTTCCAATGTCAATTACAGTGGGTCTATATATTTTCATATTTTTCATGTATACATCTTATGAATATACTGTATATGGATATATGAACACATTTTATACTCTTTCACATACAGGTTTATATGTTTCCATTGTTAAATGCATCCAAACAGATACCACTGAATTTGTTTAAACAACTACATTGTGTATTTTACAATATCAAATGGTAGGCTAAATGTTGATTTGGAATTTGAATATTGGTACAACAAGCTCAGTTTGGATAATCACAGAAATAGATGACGGTTTGAATCTAGATGCAATAGGATCAAGAACTCCTTATTTTTCTTGGTTTTTGCTCATTAATTAACATGCACATTTGCTGTGGGCCTACTCACAATCATTAACATAAAGTACACGGAAATAGAAACATATAAGGTGAAAAATACAACAATCACTTATAGAATAAGCAAAACTCTACATACCCAGACCTAAGCTTAGTTTATAATTCATATTAAAAGGTAAAAAGATGATCTGCCAAAATAACACAAAAAGGGCATTTTTGGTGTTGTGATTGCAGTTGTGAAGAAGTGATCGTTGCAAAGTGTTCTCTCTCTCTCGTTCTGTCAACCCCCTACCCTATGAATTACACAGCTGCCTATCATTAAGAGTCAGTGTGAACAGTGTGATGATGATTATTTTTGTTTTTGTGACAAACGTTTTCATTTCATAGCATACCTCATGGAGGTAGTTTACAGTATACAGTACCAGTCAAAAGATTGGACACACCTACTCATTCCAGGGTTTTTCTTTCTTTCTTTTTACTATTTTCTACCTTTTGAACTATTAACTAATGGCATTTCCCAATTAATGTATTGATAGCCCCACTAAATGATAATTGTTATCTCTAACAACAGAGTTGATACCAGCGATCAGCACATGTGCTAAATAAGTGCGTTATGTGTTATACATACTTTAAATTCAACACACTCATACAAACCAATTGTTCTCACTGTAAGTCAACTTTGCTGATTTGCTGTCTGGCTTTTTAAGACCAGCATTGCCTCCTGAGCTTGACATAAACGTGTGTTCAACAAATATACAATACTACTAGCCGTTTCCATTTTCTAAAGTGATGCTGATCAGGCCATCTTAGCAGCAGGGCCATTGCACACTTTTATGGCCACTCACACGATAGCCCAGATCACCCTCCCCCTCCTTTTGGTAGGGATGTGCATCTTTCCCTTTCAAGACGATTCGATACGTATCTAGATACATGGGCTCTGATACGATACAGGAACGATATGTTTTTGTTAGAAACGAGTCGGTGCGATTCAGTTTGATTAGAGAACGAATTGATGCAATTCAGTTCAATGAGATACAATGCACTAACATTTGTTGAATAAACATTCATTTTCCATTCTAAATTAAAATCTGCTGCTTATGGAGCTCATGAGCCTCTCTGGGACTCTCTGAGCTGGATCTGTCTGAGCTGACTTCTTTGTGTGTGTGTGTGTAAATTATGTATGTCTATGTTGTATGCACTATGTAGGCACCTGAGCTGAGCCATAAGGGAGACTAGGCATCTACCACCCCACTACCACTATATGGGGGGGGGGGGCAATGAAGCCTATGTTTTTTGTCCCCCCCCCCCACCACTTTGGTTCTGAAATCACCATCACCCACTAATTAACTTGTCATTTTTGCAGATTGATGAATAAATGGCACAACTTTGGATTTCTCGTTAAACTTTACCCTGTATATCTAATAATGACCACATACACTGATAGTTTAAAGCCAAACTACCAAAACTATTGCTGATGGTTAACCTGAACAATCAAAATACAATGTATTGTAAGCCCTGTTCAGCAGGTATAGCCAGATGAGAGTTGTGTCTCCAGTAGCTTACTTTTATTGCGGAAAAACAGTGCGTAGATAAAAATAACCTAGCAAATTACATAGGTTGTCACTCGGCACAGTGCACAGTTTGACTAGGCTACTGATATTGCCTTGGGTTGTTCGGCATGCAAAATGTCTTGTAGATCAATGACTGTCAACATGCTGTTTGACACTGAAGGAGAGGACGCATCAGTTGTGTCAAAAGATTAGGTATTTTTGTGAAAAATAATGTAATATGCGGCAATTCATAACCTTTGAATCGATTTTCTGATTTCAGCCTACATTTGGATCAGTTTGGGGTCCGCAGACCGATGCACTTGTATCTTAAACATTTAAAACGGGGACCAATGCGTATCGGTGAATTGCTACATCCCTAGCTTTTGGAATAAAGGGGCCAGTATGAAAAGGTATGCACTCACTAACTGTAAGTCACTCTGGATAAGAGCGTCTGCTAAATGACTAAAATGTCAATGTAAATGAGTAAAGCCCTGGCCCTCATCAGTCAAATATCAGGGTATAACTCTGTGTTCACATCCATGCTGTGCAGAACAGACTTTTGTTCATTAGCCAACATTCTACTCAGCATTTCGGCTGGGAGTGAAAAGCTGTTGCCAGACTTCTCCTCAAACCAGCTGTCCAATGGTCGCTTGCCATCGAAATTGGCCATGGGTGGCCCGTTGACCGCAAGGGTCAGTAGGTCATTCATCTGGTCCAGTGTCAGCCTTGAGCAGTTGTTCTTGCGCACTCTCTGCAGGGACCCCCGGCCCTTGTCACAGCAGACGGTGGAAGTGGGCAGGACCCTGACAACTTGGAGGATGCGGTTAAGCAGAGGGAAGCGCTGCTTGAACCTGGAGATTTGACTGACCACCTCCTTGAAGCCATTCATGCCGTAATAGTCAGCTTTGAGGTCTCTCCACTCCACCAGCAGGCTGCCCCGAGCGTCAGTTCTGTCCTGCAACGCCTCCCGGACAGCAGAGGGAATCGCTTCAAGGTGGTCAAAGATGAGCAGGATCTCTTCCTCCCCAAAGGCTCGCAAGTCATCCCTGTTGCGTGGCCAGGTGGTGAGGTCGAACACCCGGCACGCCTTGACCACCGTGCGGCTGTGCATGTCGAGTCGCTGGGACAAGATGCCCTGGCTCTTCTGGCAGATCTTTTCGCGGATGGATTGGAACTTGGACTCTGCGACACGTAAGTTCTTCTGGTCTACACCATTGAAGCTTTCGCGGAAATTATCATCAAACTCTTGCAGGTACTCCCCAGGGCAGTCCACCAGCTGACCGATCTCATGGATGGCCTCTTCGATCTTGGCATCTACCTGAGACACCAGCAGATAGTCCCCCTGGAAGATGAAAGCGAGGCGTGAAAGGACAGCGATGACATCCAGGAGAAAGTATATTAGCTTGACAGACTGGTAATCCATGAGGAACTGAAGCAGGGTCAAGGCGATGGCTGCTGCATCTGCCCTCTGCGTTTGGCTGCTAATATCCTTGAGGTGCGCCACCACCTCCAAGTAATCTTTGATAAGGGCGTTCAGGACATTTGGCTCTCCTATAATCCAGCGGACGGCTCGTATGTCTCCCAGGAACTCCGTCTCCTCAGACAGCGTGGGGGCGGTAGACCTGAGCTCGGCCATCATGCGAGGGGAGTACCGGTAGAAGCTCAGCAGCTGCTTCAGGTTGTTCTCCAGGTCCTCCAGACAGGACAGCTCCTTCCCACTGATGGCATCCAGCACCTCCAGGTGAGGACGATGGATCATGACCGGCAAGCAGAGGATCCAGGGGAGCATCTTCCGTAAAGCAATGTACATATTTGCTCTCAAACTGGAGGAGATGTTGGAGCCATCGACCCCCAGACCAGCCACCAGCATGTCCTGAAGCCTCAGACCAAGCACAGCAAAGGCCCGATCAATGGCCTGGAGGTAGCCATCCACACTGCCAACGCTCAGCCTCTGCAGGGAGAGGAACTCTGTGGCAGGGGGTCCCTCGCTGGTGGTGAACTGCACATAGACGGCAACGGTGTCTGACAACAAGTCTTCGCTCTGCCCATCCATGATGACACTTAGGAAGGGTGACAGGCGTATCCTCTCTGCCAGGTCTTCCTTAAGCGCCCTGGCGATATGGTGGATGAGGATCTGGCAATCGCTTTCGTTCATATACTGGTCGACTACCTTGAGCTCACATTTCTTAAGCAACTCGGCCAGAGCTTGCAGGTCTGAGAAGGGCCGGCCCTCCAGGGCCAGATGGTAAGTAGCATTAAACAGTAGCAGCATGTTACGACACATCTCCTCTGTCTTTTCCGGGTGCATGCGGAGCTTGTATAGCTGCAGGCACTTCTTATGTAGGTTGCTTTGGCTGTGAAGCTTGATGGTGTGGATCTTGAACTGCTTGGAGCCGATGATGAAGGCGGAGGTGCGTGAGGACTGGACGGTGTACTGGCGACAGACATGACACCACATCTCATTGAGCGTTGGCGAGTAGCGCAGGAACCAGAACTTCTTGAGCCATTCCTGCTTGAAGCGGCGTATCCGCCGGCCAGGCCCAGCCAACAGCTTGGAAGAGTCGTCAGCAGCCACCATGAGGTCAGCAGTGATGAACTCATCTGCAGAGTCCACATCCTGATCATCCTCATCCAGCACCACGGGAATAGGGGTCATGGCCTCAGCTGCTGAAAAGAAAGGGATATAACATTCATATCATAAAAAACAACCTCAGCAATGCAATACTGCATGTGAATAGACCTATGTCTTTGCATTCGCAACACCTGAAGAACAATTGAAGCTTTTCATCCTATTAAGGGAATTTGATCAGACTAATATCCTACAAAATCCACAGAATATCTGAGATTTCCAAAATCCAGCCAGAAATTAATCATTTAAATATTTGTTTTTAATCTATAAAATACCAATGGTGCACAGTAATAATATCAACTGAAATGAACACATCAGCTTTTTATTGATTTAATGTGATTTTAACACAAAGTAAAAAGATAAACATGTGCAAGCATGTTTTGAATCCCCTAGAATATACACACAAAAAACATTCACCAATGCAAAATCTAAAGCAGGTAATCACTGTGACAATTATTTCACACAGTTTGTTTCACATAAACCCTGTTGTGTTAACATTAAATTAACTCAACTTGTTGTTGTTTTTTAAAAATCCAGTTTTAGTTAGCTTAACCAAAATAATGAACATGCTTTTCTACTGATAAAGATGAGGATTGTGATATGGGGCATCCACATTTTAATTGAAGGTGAATATAGAATGTACAGAAAACTTAACATCTGAAATGTTGTGCTACAAAGCAGAGGAACAATCTCACCGAATAACCCTTGCCACAATGCTCCGTTTCTCTATGTGACCTACCTTGATGCTCATCTATAGGTGCCAGCTCGGGGTGGGGTGGTACCTCCACCTGCTCTCCTCCCCTCAGACGAAACACCTCTGCCTCCAGCTCCCGAATCCTCCTCTTAAGCTTCACACAGTTGAGGCAAAACGAGGTGGAAGGCCCCTCATGAGTCTGACCAGGCTCGTCTTCTGAGTCCTCCATCTTCAGACACCGAACATCAAAGCTCCCATCTAAGTGCTCTGATGGGTGGAGACTCAGACCTGGCACTTTGCATTCCTCCTGGGCCAGATAAGACTCCCCACTCTGGGAGGTGAGCGTGGGGTGGCTGTAGCGGTGGCTGACATGCTGAGCTCTGGTCCGCCTCAGGGAGAAGGTGCTATTCAGGGGAGTTTCCTGGCTCTTGGAGGCCTCCAGAGAAGCTTCCAGGACATCTTTGAAGATCAGGTCGATCTTCTTCTTCTTGGTCTGTGGTTGACCGTCCCCCTCCTCGCTGGTATGCTTGCTGAAGCTCCGCCTTCCATGCAGAGCTGACCTGAGCACGGGTCCTTTGGTCTCCTCCTGGGCCTCGGATTTCCCAACAGTAAACAGGCCTGCAATACAACAGCGCAGAGTTAGCTGTGTGGAAGTGCAAATGTACACCTGTGTAAAGTAAAGCTATCTACTAGAAATATGATAATGGATGTGATATCACATACTAAACACCAAGCAGAACCTACTTTGCTTACCTGCAGAACCTTTGCAGGTAAATGCTCAGGAAAGTTATTTCCTTTTGCTGATAAAAAAAATGGCAAAGGTCTAAACAAGTGAACGGATGTTTTATCCCTAGAGAGAATGCTATGAAATGCTGATCAAATGACATATGAATAAAACCAAAGAAAGTCCTGATAGTGCTGATTTTCCTTATGTAGGACATACTCTACACATTTCCACAATGATTTTGCCACGTTTCTGCTGTCCCAGAAGACTTTTCATGATTGGAGTGAAATCCTAAAAACGTGGGCTTGGTGATTGGGAGCTACTTAAATAGTGTGAGACGGTCAGGAACCCAGCAAGCATTTGAGAGTGTGCCTTTCGCTATTTGCCCCCGTCCTAAAGCAGGAGGCTATGATGTCCTACCACCAGCGGGTGAGCAGAGTTTGCCGCCTATGATGTGATTGGCATCTCTTGCAGGTTGCCTCCACTCAGAGGACTGCTACAAACTTCTGAAAAGCCACCCGAGCCATGAGTTCATTTGAAAGTCAAAAGCAAGGGCTTTCTCTAATCTCAAATTCAGCCTGCCACCCTCCGGCCAGCCAAAGGCTGAAAGCTTTTTTTGGTGTGTTTTTTTAAGAGTTACATTTGGTGCTATTTTATAGGTGCTATTTTAATTATGCCCATTAATAACCTACATTGTCATTGATTTTATTTAATATATTTTGTAGGGAAAATAAACAGTTCCTTTCTAGCAATAGTGTTTTGATTTGTTAAAGAGATACCACTATCCCTACATCGCCTAACCCATTTGAATAAAAGTGTTGACCACTGTCATTAACCCTTTACACTCGTGGGAATTGGTCTTTATGGATACGGCTAAATTGAAATGTTTCTTACATAAGAAATATGAAAAGCATACAGTGGGGAAAAAAAGTATTTAGTCAGTCACCAATTGTGCAAGTTCTCCCACTTAAAAAGATGAGAGAGGCCTGTAATTTTCATCATAGGTACACGTCAACTATGACAGACAAATTGAGAGAAAAAAAATCCAGAAAATCACATTGTAGGATTTTTAATTAATTTATTTGCAAATTATGGTGGAAAATAAGTATTTGGTCACCTACAAACAAGCAAGATTTCTGGCTCTCACAGACCTGTAACTTCTTCTTTAAGAGGCTCCTCTGTCCTCCACTCGTTACCTGTATTAATGGCACCTGTTTGAACTTGTTATTAGTATAAAAGACACCTGTCCACAACCTCAAACAGTCACACTCCAAACTCCACTATGGCCAAGATCAAAGAGCTGTCAAAGGACACCAGAAACAAAATTGTAGACCTGCACCAGGCTGGGAAGACTGAATCTGCAATAGGTAAGCAGCTTGGTTTGAAGAAATCAACTGTGGGAGCAATTATTAGGAAATGGAAGACATACAAGACCACTGATAATCTCCCTCAATCTGGGGCTCCACGCAAGATCTCAGCCCGTGGGGTCAAAATGATCACAAGAACGGTGTGCAAAAATCCCAGAACCACACGGGGGGACCTAGTGAATGACCTGCAGAGAGCTGGGACCAAAGTAACAAAGCCTACCATCAGTAACACACTACGCCGCCAGGGACCCAAATCCTGCAGTGCCAGACGTGTCCCCCTGCTTAAGCCAGTATATGTCCAGGCCCATCTGAAGTTTGCTAGAGTGCATTTGGATGATCGAGAAGAGGATTGGGAGAATGTCATATGGTCAGATGAAACCAAAATATAACTTTTTGGTAAAAACTCAACTCGTCGTGTTTGGAGGACAAAGAATGCTGAGTTGCATCCAAAGAACACCATACCTACTGTGAAGCATGGGGGTGGAAACATCATGCTTTGGGGCTGTTTTTCTGCAAAAGGACCAGGACGACTGATCCGTGTAAAGGAAAGAAGGAATGGGGCCATGTATCGTGAGATTTTGAGTGAAAACCTCCTTCCATCAGCAAGGGCATTGAAGATGAAACGTGGCTGGGTCTTTCAGCATGACAATGATCCCAAACACACCGCCCGGGCAACGAAGGAGTGGCTTCGTAAGAAGCATTTCAAGGTCCTGGAGTGGCCTATCCAGTCTCCAGATCTCAACCCCATAGAAAATCTTTGGAGGGAGTTGAAAGTCCGTGTTGCCCAGCGACAGCCCCAAAACATCACTGCTCTAGAGGAGATCTGCATGGAGGAATGGGCCAAAATACCAGCAACAGTGTGTGAAAACCTTGTGAAGACTTACAGAAAACGTTTGACCTGTGTCATTGCCAACAAAGGGTATATAACAAAGTATTGAGAAACTTTTGTTATTGACCAAATACTTATTTTCCACCATAATTTGCAAATAAATTCATTAAAAATCCTACAATGTGATTTTCTGGATTTTTTTTCCTCATTTTGTCTGTCATAGTTGACGTGTACCTATGATGAAAATTACAGGCCTCTCTCATCTTTTTAAGTGGGAGAACTTGCACAATTGGTGGCTGACTAAATACTTTTTTTCCCCACTGTATGCATAAGCATAGTAGCAATCGAAATGGAACAGCTTGGAGATTATGGGGAAATTATTAGACCAAAGGTGAGGACACAACAGTTCACCTGACACAGTACTGAATCCAAATATTACACTGTTGATTTTATGTGCATTTTACATTTACCGTAATTTTCGGACTACAAGCCGCGCCTTTTTTCAAATTTTTCGACCCTGCGGCTTATATAACGGTGCGGCTAATCTATGGATTTTTACAGCTAACGGCCACTAGAAGACCTCCTAAATCTATGGATTTTACAGGTTACAGTCCACCAACTTTAACTCTATGGGCTCTATGACCAGTCCGCGCCCCCCACCTTTAAGCGGCGGGCTCCAGCAGGAAAAGCTGGAGGCCGGAAAAGAGTGAGACAGGTAGTGCGCAAAAGTAAAAGTGGAACCGAGAGTGGTACGAGAGACAGAACGAGAGACATTACGAGAGCGAGACAGTTTGTGCAAAGGAAGTTTTCATGCACAATCCATCTCTTTCCCGACAATCCCCTCTGTGCACGAACCCTTACATATGGTAATTAAACATTAAAACACCTGCGGCTTATAGTCCAGTGCGGCTTATATATGTACACATCATTCAATATCATTCAATTTAGCTGCTGCGGCTTATACTCCGGTGCGCCTTATAGTGCGGAAAATACGGTACTGTACCTTTCGCTGCATTTGTTAATCACGAAATCTGAAAATACTCTGGATACATTCAGTAACATGATAATAATATTCCTGGAAAATGAGGGTTAGGTGCAACATAAGGACAAAAAAATTACAAGGGTTTGAATGAGAGGACTAACTGGTGTCTCCAAGTGGCCACACACTTCTCCAAAGTGTGCACAGTTCCTATGTAATTTCAATGCACTTTTATGACTCAAAGAAGAGTCTTCAACTAAACTGACCAAAAATATAAACGCAACATGTAACGTGTTGGTCCCATGTTTCATGAGCTGAAATAAAAGATCCCAGAAATGTTTCATACTGTCACAAACGAGACTCCCGCTGTTCCTCCTGCTCACCACCAGAGGGAACCCTCTCCTGAGTATTAAACCCCTGAACTACATTTCCCACATACCTGGCTCTGATTACCGTTGCACCTGACTCTCATCAGTAGACTATTTAGGTGCTCTCAAACTCTCTCTCTTTGCGAAGTCTTGTTAGCCCTGGTGATCATTTCTGAGCGTTTTCGCCTGTGTCTGTCTGCCCGTGGATTTACTCTGGACTGTTTTTCCCTCCTTGATTCTTTGCTGCCTGCCCTGGACTATATTCTTTACTGGACTGATTTTTGTAAGCTTGCTGCCTGCCCTGACCTTATGCCTGTACCTGGATTACGATTTGCCTTATCCCTACTGTTGTGTCTGCTGGCGATTGACCCTGTTTGTACGACCAAGATTGTAATAAAACTGCAAATGGATCCTCACTCTCCTGGAGCGTCATTACAGAAGACTTCGCCAACACACGATCCAGCAGCTCTGGTTCAGATGTCCACGGAGATCTCCACTCAAGCTCACCAACTCGCCATTCATCAACAGCAGCTAACCCATTTAACTACAGTAACAGAGGAACTCGTCAGGACGCTACAGAGGTTGCAGGTGTCGCTAACGAACCCAGCCCCTCCTCCACCGAACGCGAGTGTGGGCGCTTCTCCACCACCGTCACTCACAGTTAACCCACGTCTGGCTCTCCCTGATAAGTTCGACGGCAACCCAACTAAAAGTAAGGGATTTCTACTGCAATGTTCATTATTCATTGATCAACAACCAGCTATGTATGTCACCGATGCCAGCAAGATTTCCTTGGTATGCTCACTCCTCGCTGACAAGGCGTTAGAGTGGGTGACGGCGGTTTGGAGAGAGGATGGCACTGCTTTTCCATCGTTTGGTACCTTTCTTCAACGCTTCCGGGAAATATTTGAACACCCGGAGGGAGGTATGAGAGCTGATGACCGACTACTTGCGTTGAGCCAGGGCAGGAATACCGCAGCAGAATATGCTTTGACATTTCGCACTCTAGCAGCTCAAACCGACTGGGTGGAGAGCACACTTAAACTGCTCTTTCGCAAGGGACTCAGCTTGGAGTTGCAATCCGAACTGGCCTGCCGAGATGAAGGGAGATCGCTGAATCAATTCATCGAACTAACCATTCAGATTGACAATCTGATTCGTTCACGTCGTCCACTCAGAACGGTACCCACCAGCACACAATACCCGGTCACTCTGTCTCAAACTGAACCCATGCAGCTCGGATATACTCACCTGACTCCGGAAGAACGAGAACGCCGCATACGTCAACATCTCTGCCTCTATTGTGGTCAACCGGGCCATCTGAGGGCGTTTTGCCCCACAAGACCACCTCCTCGTAATCCCTCTTCGGTGAGTCCTTGTGTTCAAGCACATCATTCCAGTTCTTGCATCAAAGTACCTATAGTATTATCTCTAGAGGGCAATCATATATCCACATCAGCTCTATTAGACTCAGGAGCAGCCGGGAACTTTATGTCTCACGAGTTTGCCCAACAACAACAACTCCCATTAATCTCCTGTAACTCTCAATTGGCAGTGGAGGCGCTAGATGGACGGCCTCTCGGCGATGGGAGGGTCCTGCACACCACCGTGGACCTTCAACTACAGACCGGTACCCTTCACACTGAGGTAATTCGTTTCTACGTCATCTCATCACCTCATAACCCGGTTATTCTTGGACTCCCCTGGCTACGTCAACATAATCCCCTCATCTCATGGAGGGAGGGTCGTATCATCAAATGGGACCCGTCATGTCACTCCAACTGCTTAACTGGCAGCCCTTCACTCTCCATTCAGACCGTCACGCTAAAGGACGAGCCGGCCCTTTTCCCCACTCTTCCCATTGAATACTCTGACCTCATCGAAGCTTTTAGCAAGACCAAGGCGATGGAACTCCCCCCCCACCGATCAAGCGACTGTTCCATCGAACTATTACCAGGCACAACACCACCTAAGGGCCGAATCTTCCCCCTATCACAACCCGAATCAGAAGCCATGAACAACTACATCGAGGAGGAACTTTCGAAGGGGTTCATTAGAACGTCGACATCACCTGCAGCCTCTGGCTTCTTCTTTGTTAAAAAAAAAGACGGTGGCCTACGCCCTTGTATCGACTACCGGGGTCTCAACGACATCACCGTCAAGTTTCGATATCCTTTACCGCTGGTACCAGCTGCCCTAGAACAACTCCGCAAAGCCAAGTACTTCTCCAAACTGGACCTCCGCAGCGCCTACAATCTCATTCGCATCCGGGACGGTGATGAATGGAAGACAGCCTTCTCTACCAGCACTGGGCACTATGAGTATTTGGTGATGCCTTTCGGGCTGTCCAATAGTCCGTCCGTATTTCAGTCGTTTATCAATGACGTCTTTCGGGACATGCTTAATCGTTGGGTAATTGTTTACATCGATGACATTCTCGTCTATTCCAACACCTATGAGGAACACGTGCAACACGTGAGAACAGTATTACAACGACTCATTGATCACCAATTATACGCCAAAGCAGAGAAGTGCGAATTTCACCAGACTTCCACGTCTTTCTTGGGCTACATCATCAACCAGGAGGGAGTCGCCATGGACGAGAAGAAGGTCAAGGCCGTTCTAGACTGGCCACTGCCAGTAACCTTAAAGGAGTTACAACGCTTCTTGGGATTTGCGAACTTCTACCGACGCTTCATCAGGAATTTCAGCTCGGTAGCCTCTCCCTTAACCTCTATGACTAAGAGAAATGCACCACACCTCACCTGGTCAACTACAGCACAGGAGGCTTTCGCAGAACTCAAGTCACGTTTCACATCTGCCCCCATCCTCCACCACCCTAATCCTGAAATCCCGTTTACAGTTGAGGTGGACGCTTCTAATACGGGCATTGGAGCCATCCTCTCACAGCGGCACGGATCCCCACTCAAGCTCTATCCGTGCGCCTATTACTCCCGCAAACTTAGTCCAGCCGAACAGAACTACGACGTCGGAAACCGAGAACTGTTGGCCATGAAAGCAGCTATGGAGGAGTGGCGTCATTGGCTGGAGGGAGCTAAACACCCGTTTGTGATTCTAACTGACCACAAGAATCTGGAATACTTGCGATCTGCCAAGAGACTGAATCCCAGACAAGCGAGGTGGGCTCTCTTCTTTACACGATTTGACTTCACCGTTACCTATCGTCCCGGTTCAAAGAACACCAAAGCAGACGCATTATCACGCCAACACGACGGTGTAGTTCCCACTGAATCCAAGGAAACCCTGCTTCCTGAGTCATTAATCGTGGCCCCTATTCAGTGGGACATCATGACAGAGCTCACCCAGGCCAATTCACAAAAGACCCCTCCTCCCGAATGCCCCCCTAACAAAACTTTTGTACCTCAGGATCTCTGTCAGAAAGTGCTACAGCAAGTTCACTCCGTACTCAGCTCCGGTCATCCTGGAATCGCTGCCACTGTTCACCTGCTTCAGAACAGCTTTTGGTGGCCAACCTTGCGGGCAGACACAATAAAATTCATTAACGAATGCACCACCTGTAACACAAGCAAACATCTCAGACAACTACCATCGGGCCTACTGCAACCACTGCCAGTTCCCCACCGACCATGGTCCCATCTTGCCATAGACTTTATTACCGATCTTCCCAAGTCCAATGGGAACACCACAATACTCACTGTCATAGATCGCTTCTCCAAGGCCTGCCGGTTGATTCCACTTCCCAAACTGCCCACAGCATTGGAAACAGCCGAACTCATGTGCAACCTTGTGTTTCGCTTCTATGGCCTGCCTGAGGACATCGTGTCGGACCGGGGGCCCCAATTCACATCCAGAGTATGGTCAGCATTCTTCCAACAACTCAACATCAACATTAGCCTCACTTCAGGATATCACCCACAATCTAATGGTCAGACAGAACGCCTCAATCAGGAGATCACCCGGTTTCTCAGAGCCTACTGTCATCAGAACCAAGCAGACTGGAGTCGATTCCTCATGTGGGCGGAGTATGCACAGAACTCACTCCAGAAACCCTCCACCGGTCTAACTCCATTCCAATGTGTAATGGGCTTCCAACCTCCCCTATTTCCATGGTCAGGGGAACCCACCGAGGTACCCTCTGTCAACGACTGGCTCCAGAGAAGCGAGGACATCTGGAGTCAGGCTCACACCCACTTGCTACGTGCTGTCAGGAGACAGAAGTTGCAGGCCAATCGTCACCGTCGCCCCAATCCCGAATATACTCCAGGTCAATGGGTCTGGCTATCCACTCGAGACCTACGCCTCAGACTTCCTTGCAAGAAACTCAGTCCCAGGTATGTAGGTCCCTTCCAAATTGTTAAACAGATTACACCAGTTTCCTTCCGTTTGGCATTACCCTCTAATTATCGTATCTCTCCCACTTTTCATGTATCACTTCTCAAACCCGCTGGTGGTCCGAGAGCGGAGGAGGAGGAGCAGACCAGTGATCAGGGCCCCCCACCCATCTTGGTGGACGGCGAGGAGGCATATCAGGTTCGAGATCTACTCGATTCCAGACGCCGGGGCAGGCTCCTCCAATATCTGGTGGATTGGGAGGGGTACGGACCGGAAGAGCGATCCTGGGTTAATACAGAGGACATACTCGACCCCGCACTCATGACTGAGTTCCATAGGACGCACCCGGAGAAACCGGCCCCCCGACCTCGAGGAAGACCCCGGCGTCGTTCGCCTCTTCGCGTCAGGAGCCGCTCGCAGGGGGGGGGGCTCTGTCACAAACGAGACTCCCGCTGTTCCTCCTGCTCACCACCAGAGGGAACCCTCTCCTGAGTATTAAACCCCTGAACTACATTTCCCACATACCTGGCTCTGATTACCGTTGCACCTGACTCTCATCAGTAGACTATTTAGGTGCTCTCAAACTCTCTCTCTTTGCGAAGTCTTGTTAGCCCTGGTGATCATTTCTGAGCGTTTTCGCCTGTGTCTGTCTGCCCGTGGATTTACTCTGGACTGTTTTTCCCTCCTTGATTCTTTGCTGCCTGCCCTGGACTATATTCTTTACTGGACTGATTTTTGTAAGCTTGCTGCCTGCCCTGACCTTATGCCTGTACCTGGATTACGATTTGCCTTATCCCTACTGTTGTGTCTGCTGGCGATTGACCCTGTTTGTACGACCAAGATTGTAATAAAACTGCAAATGGATCCTCACTCTCCTGGAGCGTCATTACACATACGCACAAAAGTCTTCTCAAATATATAGTGAGCATTTCTCCTTTGCCAAGAGAATCCATCCAACTGACAGGTGTGGCATTTCAAGTAGCTGATTCAACAGCATGATCATTACACAGGTGCACCTTGTGCTAGGGACAATAAAAGGCCACTCTAAAATGTGCAGTTTTGTCACATAACAGCACTGCCATAGATGTCTCAAGTTTTGAGGGAGCGAGCAATTGGCATGCTAACTGCAGAAATGTCCACCAGAGCTGTTGCTATGGCGTTGTGTGGGTGAGCGGTTTGCTGATGTCAATGTTGTGAACAGAGTGCACCATGGTGGCGGTGGGGATATGCTATGGGCAGGCATAAGCTACGGACAACGAACACAATTACATTTTATCGATGGCAATTTGAATGCACAGAGATACAGTGACAAGATCCTGAGGCCCATTGTTGTGCCATTCATCCACCGCCATCACCTCATGTTTTAGCATGATAATGCACAGCCCCATGTCGCAAGGATCTGTACACAATTCCTGGAAGCTGAAAATCTTCCAGGGCCTGCATACTCACCAGACATGTCACCCATTGAGCATGTTTGGGATGCTCTGGATCGACGTGTACGACAGCGTATTCCAGTTCCCGCCAATATCCAGCAACTTCGCACAGCCATTGAAGAGGAGTGGGACAACATTCCACAAGCCACAATCAACAGCCTGATCAACTATGTGAAGGAGATATGTCACGCTGCATGAGGCAAATGGTGGTCACACAAGATACTGACTGGTTTTCTGGTCCACACCCCTACCTTTTTTTTCAAGGTATCTGTGACCTACAGATGCATATCTGTATTCCCAGTCATGTGAAATCCATAGATTAGGGCCTAATGAATTTATTTCAATTGACTGATTACCTTATATGAACTGTAACTCAGTAAAATCCTTGAAATTGTTACATGTTGCGTTTATATTTTTGTTCAGTATATAAGGTGCTTTTTTGAGCTCTCCTAGCTGTGTCGTTGAGGAACTAGAGCAAGCACACTTGTAGTTGTTTTGTTTGGAACACAACCCTACAATCACAGTTGTTTACACAATCCAAAAAACTGCACATTTTAAATCACAATCTGGGTCAGGTGGGCATAATTTGAAAGCTTGTTGTATTGCCAACATGACTAGCTAAGTTATAAAATACGATGTCAGGCGTTCACAAGCAAGGGTTGGAACCGGTCCAGGGAACAGAACAGAAAACCGGAAAATAACACAACTATTTAAGGAACAGAACCCGAACCTGAAACGAAAGTGATCTATACAGTTCCGGAAGAGAACCGTTATTTTAAAAGCATGGGAACCGGTTAATAACGTCTTTTACGTTCCGGGCATTTTTTTCCCAGGCCCACAAAAATCGCAACACATATGCAAAGCCCTCACTGTTACTCAGAAACGTATTCTAGCGTCTGCCTGCCAGCTGGAACTCTTTACCAGTGGGTGTATGTGTAGGCTATCTGCCCCTCCCCTCTGAAGCATAGGTTACTGTAGCCTACTGATGACGTTACAAGTGTGGTCCAGAAATTAGGGAGAGATGTTTAATTAGAGAAGAATGGATTCACTTTTTCAATGCTAGTTAAGGATACTATAGTTATCACGTTTCACATGGGAATTATTAACTACAAAAAAGGTAAGACGTGTTTTTAATTCTAGTGCTGTTTTGCACACACAAGCTTGTTAGCTAGCTAGCTAACGTTTGCTCTGGTCCAATGTTAAACCAGCTCGGAAGTTCAAAGACATTCAAAGTTCCTCCATAGAAGCCACTCCTCCGTAGGTATAATTCTGTGGGCCTAATTCAGATAATGCATGTCATTAAATGCCCAGCGCTTCAAGGCATGCTTCCTCCATCCTCTCTCGTGCTCTCCTCACCTGCAAAATGTCAGTTGCATCTTGTGCGCCCTACACTGTGACTGACAGCACAGTGTGTGTGTTTGTCTTTCATTATGATTAAACCATGCTGTTAGGGTAAAATACAATTAGCTCTTAACGACTTTCCTGTACATATTAAATCGCTTACATGCTCCATAGCAAGCTGCTCTATCCGCACTGATTGGTGAAGTAATTTCATGTTGAGAATTTAAACCTGTACTTTTTTTGGGTTCAAACCGGTTCAGAACTTAATTTTGCTGGTCGGAAAAGTGGAACGGAACAAAGAAAATGTATGGTTATGTTCAGAACGAAACGATTGGAAAATAATTTCGGTTCCAACTCCTGTTCACAAGGAAATGTATTACATTGATTAAATAAATACAAATCCTCAGCAATCTACACACAATACCCAATAATGACAAAGCGAAAACAGTTTTTTAGAAAACGTTTGAGATACCTTATTTACATAAGTATTCAGACCCTTTGCTATGCGACATGAAATTGAGCTCAGGTGCATCTTGTTTCCATTGACCATCCTTGAGATGTTTATACAGCTTGATTGATGTCCATCTGTGGTAAATTCAATTGATTGGACATGATTTGGAAAGGCACACACCTGTCTATATAAGGTCCCACAGTTGACAGTGCATGTCAGAGCAAAAACCAAGCCATGAGGTCGAAGGAATTGTCCGTAGAGCTCCGAGACAGGATTGTGCCGAGGCACAGATCTAGGGAAGGCTACCAAATCATGTCTGCAGCATTGAAGGTCCCCAAGAACACAGTTGCCATTCTGAAAAAATAAGAAGTTTGGAACCACAAAGACTCTTCCTAGAGCTGGCCGCCTGGCCAAACTGAGCAATCAGGGGAGAAGGGCCTTGGTCAGGGAGGTGACCAACAACCCAATGGTCACTCTGACAGAGCTCTAGAGTTCCTCTGTGATGGGAGAACCTTCCAGAAAGACAACCATCTCTGCAGCACTCCACCAATAAGGCCTTTATGGTATAGTGGCCAGACGGAAGCCACTCCTCAGTAAATGGCACATGACAGCCCGCTTGGAGTTTGACAAAAGGCACCTAATGACTCTCAGAGCATGAGAAACAAGATTCTCTGGTCTGATGAAACCAAGATTGAACTCTTTGGCCTGAATGCCAAGCATCACGTCTGGAGGAAACCTGGCACCATCCCTACGGTGAAGCATGGTGGTGGCAGCATCATGCTGTAGCGAAGTTTTTCAGCGGCAGGGACTGGGAGACTAGTCAGGATTGAGGCAAAGATGAACGGAGCAAAGTACAGAGAGATCCTTGATGAAAACCTGCTCCAGAGCGCTCAGGACCTTAGACTGGGGTGAAGGTTCACCTTCCAACAGGACAATGACCCTAAGCACACAGCCAAGACAACGCAGGAGTGGCTTCAGGACAAGTCTCTGAATGTCCTTGAGTGGCCCAGCCAGAGCCCGGAGTTGAACCCGATCGAACATCTCTGGAGAGACCTGAAAATAGCTGTGCAGCATCTCTCCCCATCCAACCTGACAGAGCTTGAGAGGATCTGCAGAGAAGAATGGGAGAAACTCCCTAAATACAGGTGTGCCAAGCTTGTAGCGTTATACCCAAGAAGACTCAAGGCTGTAATCGCAGCCAAAGGTGCTTCAACAAAGTACTGAGTAAAGGGTCTGAATACTTATGTAAATATGATATTTCTGTTTTTTATAATGTTTATTTTTATAAAATTTATCAAAAACGTTTTTTGCTTTGTCATTATGGGGTATTGTGTATAGATTGATGAGGGGGGAAAACAATTTAATCCATTTTAGAATAAGGCTGTAACGTAACAAAATGTGGAAAAAGTCAAGGGGTCTGAATACGTTCCTGAAGGCACTGTATATGACATGACTTTTATGAAATGGAAATGTGAAGTACACATTTGGACTCTGGGATGTTTGACTTGCTTGTACGACATCAAACTGGTATTTATTATAATCCTCAACGTCTCATCTTTCAAGATACATAGAGTCCTCTTCATTTAAATAATTTCCCTCACTCAGACAACAACAAAGTTGCAAACGTTGCCCAATTAGCTGGAGGGATGGGGGCAACTTCTTGTTGTGTGCGGTGCTCAAGTTCAGAACGCCTGTCAGTCAAAACCCACACAAAGCTGTGAAGCGCAGAGCCTGCACTCTGACATCATTTATAGCATGTTACTCTACAGCCACTGCGTTCCAATTTAGGCGCTTATCAGTGCCCAAATCTGCCGTTTTCAACCCGTCATTGGAAACCAATTCTAGGGTTGCAACCTTGTTTCTTTGGGTAAATAAAAACAGTACTGTAGTTATGACCATTCTCTTTGGCATACATCAGCTCAAGAGAAGACCAGTGAAATATCTGGTTGGGACATTGTCCCTTGAGGTGTGAATGACCGGCAAAGGTGGTATTGTATTATTTACATTTAAATTAGATTATTTGTTGCTGAAAGTGGGCGGGTGCTGGGTAGCAGGGTCAGTTAAATTCTCTCTGTAACTCTCAGTTAACTAAAGGCAAAGACGGGACCACAGCAGTTGATGTGATTTCCAGAGTGGATGTAAAAATCCAAGGTAAGCTTGCTTTTCTATCGAATGCTAAAATATTCTGTTTTGTTTGTGAACCAAATCGTTCGTCTAATTGTTTGTTTTCAATGTTTTCTTTTAACATTTGCATAGCCTTAAACATGGGAACGTAAAGTTTGTTGAATTCGTAGGGTGGTAACTTTGAGCATGGCGCACAGGCCCCATGTCTTCTCCCTGTCTCAGACCAGACATTTGCATGTTGTTTAGTTCTATTAAGTTACATATTAAATGTTGTTCTTTTTCCACAGAAATGTTGAATAAATCATTTATCTATAAGCCCAACTCTGCAAAACCTCTTAATTGCAGACAGAAAAACGGAGCCCATTATGGAAGATAGGGCAAGTCTCTTGTTCACAGACTAGCCCAACTATTGTTCACCTAACACCTAACATGGGGCGGGGGAGGGAAATATGTTAACATGGTGTGTCATTTCTAAAACTTCTCTTGCTTTTGTAGGTTACATTTCTGGCTATAAAGGGGGTCAAGGACCTGAAGTGCACAGAGTGATGGATGCTACCTTGCATTCTGTCCAATGGTCTTGCCGTTCCCACAACCAGGACTGTGGCAGAAAGGCCTGTTTCAAGGACCTTTCTCTGAAGACCATGCTGCAAAGTAAGTTTTGGCTATTATACAAGACTATTTGATTTGCTTACCTGTTATTATTAAATGTATTATTACACTGGCTTTCACTACTTTTAAGTACATTCATGTGTTAGACCATGTGCAATTAAAATGTAACTCAATGTTCTTTCTTTGTGTATAGAAAAAAAATGTGTATTAGCATTACTTTAAGGTTAATATAAATAATAGGTGTGTACAATCCTGTTACTCTGGTTGTGTAAGTTGTTGTTTCAACATATCTCTGTACCTGGTCCACCACGGCTGTGCACATCTCCTGTTCTTACACCCACCCTCTGTACTCTGAAACTTGCATGTTCGGATACAAGGCGGCAGATAGCTTAGTGGTTAAGAGCGTTGTGCCAGTAACCGAAAGGTCGCTGGTTCTAATCCCCGAGCCGACTAGGTGAAAAATCTGTCTGTGCCCTTGAGCAAGGCACTTAACCCTAATTGCTCCTGTAAGTCGCTCTGGATAAGAGCGTCTGCTAAATGACTAAAATGTAAATGTATAGGAGTCATTTGAAGAAAGCCTGCAACCCAGGATGCCATGGATGAGGGGGTCCATATTCAGTTCACTCATTACCTAAAATCCTGAAGGCGGGAGAAGGCAGCGAGCAGGGGAGAGGGAGCCGCAGTGAGGACTTTTATTTCTTTCATCACATTCCCAGTGGGCCAGAAGTTTACATACACTCATAGTATTTGGTAGCATTGCCTTTAAATTGTTTAACTTGGGTCAAATGTTTCAGGTAGCCTTCCACGAGATTCCCACAATAAATTGGGTGAATTTTGGCCCATTCCTCCTGACAGAGCTGGTGTAACTGAATCAGGTTTGTAGGCCTCCTTGCTCACACACACCTTTTCAGTTCTGCCCACAAATGTTCTATAGGATTGAGTTCAGGGCTTTGTGATGGCCACTCCAATACCTTGACATTGTTGTCCTTAAGCCATTTTGCCACAACTTTGGAAGTATGCTTGGGGTCATTGTCCATTTGGAAGACCCATTTGCGACCAAGCTTTAACTTTCTGACTGATGTCTTGAGGTGTTGCTTCAATATATCCACATAATTTTCCTTCCTCATGATGCCATCTATTTGGTGAAGTGCACCAGTCCTTTCTGCAGCAAAGCACCCACACAGCATGATGCTGCCACCCCCGTGCTTCACGGTTGGGATGGTGTTCTTCGGCTTGCAAGCTCCCCCCTTTTCCTCCAAACATAAAGATGGTAATCATGGCCAAACAGTTCTATTTTTGTTTCATCAGACCAGAGGACATTTCTCCAAAAAGTATGATCTTTGTCCCCATGTGCAGTTGCAAACCGTAGTCTGGCTTTTTTATGGTGGTTTTGGAGCAGTGGCTTCTTCCTTGCTGAGCGGCCTTTCAGGTTATGTCGATATAGGACTCATTTTACTGTGGATATAGATACTTTTGTAACTGTTTCCTCCAGCATCTTCACAAGGTCCTTTGCTGTTGTTCTGGGATTGATTTGCACTTTACGCACCAAAGTACGTTCATCTCTATGAGACACAACACGTCTCCTTCCTGAGCGGTATGATGGCTGCGTGGTCCCATGGTGTTTATACTTGGGTACTATTGTTTGTACAGATGAACATTGTACCTTCAGGCGTTTGGAAATTGCTCCCAAGTATGAATCAGACTTGTGGAGGTCAACTTTTTTCTGAGGTCTTGGCTGATTTCATTTGTTTTTCCCATGATGTCAAGCAAAGAGGCACTAAGTTTGAAGGTAGGCCTTGAAATACATCCACAGTACACCTCCAATTGACTCAAATGATGTCAATTAGCCTATCAGAAGCTTCTAAAGCCAGGACATCATTTTCTGGAATTTTCCAAGCTGTTTAAAGGCACAGTCAACTTAGTGTATGTAAACTTCTGACCCACTTGAATTGTGATACAGTGAATTATAAGTGAAATAATCTGTCTGTAAACAATTGTTGGAAAAATTACTTGTGTCATGCACAAAGTAGTTGTCCTAACCGACTTGCCAAAACTATAGTTTGTTAACAAGACATTTGTGGAGTGGTTGAAAAACGAGTTTTAATGACTCCAACCTAAGTGTATGTAAACTTCCGACTTCAACTGTATGTGTAAATATTGTACTATAAATTGTGCCTTCCTGTATTATACTTTTGCAAAAATGTATATTCTATTCTACTGAGCCATTTACTTTATGTACGTATTTTTATATTTAATTATTGTTGTTGCATTGTCGAGACAGTGTTGGACAGTGCATACCTTGTGTATCCTGTACGACTAATAAAACATGAATATTCTGTACAGTGACTGGAATCTCTTTAGTCTACCAAACCAATGCAATAGCCATGTCACCCTACTGCACCACTAATGTAAATATACAGTATATAGCCTAGCCTATTTACTTAACTCCTGTACTGTTCATCATTTCATTCTATAATTCTATGCTGCTACTGCATTGTATTCTGTTTTTCCACTCACTATGTACAGGGGTAAACAATGTTCATGATACTATTTACTCATATTTATTTTACCTTACTCTTATTTGATCATATTCTCTTTTATCTGCATGCCTCTTTTGTACTAAGTGTTTATTTTTTAAATTATTTATAGTATTACTATGTCACTTCTTTGATTGTTCACTTTTCTCGCCATTGCACTGTGTGAGAAGCCTGAAAGTAATGACAAATAAAAATGTACCTAATTTGATTTGATTTATTTGTCATGACCTGTGGACCAGGACTGGCCCTCGTTATCTGATATCATTTTGCATACACATCAGTTACAGTAGCGTTTTCCGCAAATATTTATTCAAATGAGCATGGCATCCAATTTATATAAAATAAACATCAATATGAGATTGGCTACAGTAAACCTCATGGCTGTATTAGAGAACTTACATTTAGTCAAACAGCAGATGATTTCACCCATGGAGACAACAGATAGTGTTTGCTCATTTGTGAACCTGCCCAAATACATTATTTTAAATACAAGCTGTTTGGAGAACAGACTGACACAAGTAGTGATTTTTCACGTTGTTATGAACATAAGAGTCTAAAGCTCAAATGATATACAGTCAACAACCATCAGGTTCTGTTCCAGGACCAACTCATCGGAAAGTCCCCACCCCTTGGCCCAAATAGCAATTTAGACCAGCCCGAATGGTGGTCCAGACGGATCACAAGACCCCTAGAGGGCATAGCTCTTTCTGACGTTGTGTATTACCTTTCGGTATCGACGCAATCAGCCCAGCCGGTAATACACTCGTGTCCCCCGGTCGACTTCTTCGTACATTAACATCCTCCTACCAGGCTGCAAAGGTGTCAGTTTCCTCCTTAACTCGATTGAATGGGGGGCCACCGGAAAAATAACGGAGAAAATATGCTTACGGTCTTAATAAAACACAATTCCCCACCACTATGTTATGGTGTCTAGCTACTTCTGGACATTGTGTACAGCAGGGGTAAACAACAGACTGGTGCAACCGGATAGGCTGAACGCTGTTGTAGGGGGAAAATTAATGTATTTACCTGCCCTGTTTACTATATATCAATAGTTAACAACTATATGCTTAACATTGGTAAAGAGATTTTCATAACTTGCAATTCTGTGCTTCTAAGAAAGGATGGTTCCCCCCTCTCTGCAGCTGGTCTGGGCGTATCGTCAAGGACATGGGGCGACTCAGAGATAACTTGCGACTCAAGATAGAAATAGCTTGAGGAACAGAACCGACCTGTTATTGTTTCCAACCATCTGGGTTTCTGAGAAACTTGGTCACACGGCATAAGACAAAGAGCCTCAGAGTGACCACAGTTCTTCAGTCTATCCTGTTCTTCTCATATCTTTCAAGGGCACTGCTGAGTGGAGATATGAGGTGAACAGAGGCTGGCTTGATCACCTTTGACGATTCTGTCAGTGGAAAGGAGTAACGTTATCACTTGTTTGTGCGCTATGACCCGATACACATAGCCACAGGAAGAAAACAAGGTAGATTATGATGCCTGATCTTCCAGGGAGGGGTGGAACCAGCCATGACTAAGCATTTTTAGGTCTGCTATACAAGACCCTGTGTTCTCTGTATGATTTTAAGCCTCGGTCTTACACTCAAGAGTGTGGGGTCGACCAGCTTCCTTATTGCAATTCGTATAATAAAGTATTGATTGTTTGAAGAATTAACAAAGTCTCTCCTTATTGGTTAGAATGTCCATGACACTGTACACAATGCATTAGCATGGTGAAGGAAATTGTGTTTTATGAAGACAGTACACATATTTTCCTTTTTTAGGTGCTTCATAGCAAAGGGGGCAAGCCTTTAAAGCTACAGTGCCTTGCAAAAGTATTCATCCCCCTTGGCGTTTTTCCTATTTTGTTGCATTACAACCTGTAATTTAAATTGATTTTTATTTGGATTTCATGTAATGAACATACACAAAATAGTCCAAATTGGTGAAGTGAAAAAAAATAACGGAAAAGTGGTGTGTGCCTATGTATTCACCCCCTTTGCTATGAAGCACCTAAATAAGATCTGGTGCAACCAATTACCTTCAGAAGTCACATAATTAGTTAAATAAAGTCCACCTGTGTGCAATCTAAGTGTCACATGATCTGAGTATATATACACCTGTTCTGAAAGCCCCCAGAGTCTGCAACACCACTAAGCAATGGGCACCACCAAGCAAGCGGCACCATGAAGACCAAGGAGCTCTCCAAACAGGTCAGGGACAAAGCTGAGGAGAAGAACAGATCAGGGTTGGGTTATAAAAAAATATCCGAAACTTTGAACATCCCACGGGCACCATTAAATCCATTGTTAAAAAATTGAAAGAATATGGCACCACAACAAACCTGCCAAGAGAGGGCCGCCCACCAAAACTCACGGACCAGGCAAGGACGACATTAATCAGAGAGGCAACAAAGAGACCAAAGATAACGCTGAAGGAGCTGCAAAGCCCCACAGCGGAGATTGGAGTATCTGTCCATAGGACAACTTTAAGCCGTACACTCCACAGAGCTGGGCTTTACAGAAGAGTGGCCAGAAAAAAGCCATTGCTTTAAGAAAAAAATAAGCAAACACGATTGGTGTTCGCCAAAAGGCAGGTGGGAGACTCCCCAAACATATGGAAGAAGGTAATCTGGTCAGATGAGACTAAAATTGAGCTTTTTGGCCATCAAGGAAAACGATATGTCTGGCGCAAACCCAACACCTCTCATCACCCCGAGAACACCATCCCCACAGTGAAGCATGGTGGTGGCAGCATCGTGCTGTGGGGATGTTTTTCATCGGCAGGGACTGGGAAACTGGTCAGAATTGAAGGAATGATGGATGGCGTTAAATACAGGGAAATTCTTGAGGGAAACCTGTTTTAGTCTTCCAGAGATTTGAGACTGGGATGGAGGTTCACCTTAAAGCAGGACAATGACCCTAAGCATACTGCTAAAGCAACACTCAAGTGGTTTAAATGTCCTGGAATGGCCTAATCAAAGCCCAGACCTCAATCCAATTGAGAATATGTGGTATGACTTAAAGATTGCTGTACATCAGCGGAACCCATCCAACTTGAAGGAGCTGGAGCAGTTTTGCCTTGAAGAATGGGCAAAAATCCCAGTGGCTAGATGAGACATAGCCCAACAGCCTTGCAGTTGTAATTGCTGCAAAAGGTGGCTCTACAAAGTATTGACTTTGTGGGGGTGAATAGTTATGCACGCTCAAGTTCCGTATTTTTTTGTCTTATTTCTTGTTTCACATAAAAAAATATTTTGCATCTTCAAAGTGGTAGGCATGTTGTGCAAATCAAATGATACAAACTCTGTCATGACTGTCGGTGAGATGCGGTTGAAGAAGTCAGGCGCAAGACACAGAACTCTCGGACACGTACTTTAATCCGATAGGGACCATAAGAACACAGAAATAACTCCACGCAGGGAGGAAATAACCCGCTCACTAAAATGACATACGTGAAGGGAAAACAATCACACACAATGTCCTGATGAGAGACAGGGGTAATATAAGGGAAACAATCAAACATAATGACGAACAGGTGTAAACAATACAGACAAAACTAAACAAACACCGATAACATCGAACGGCAGTAGCTAGTACTCCGGGGACGACGAACGCCGAAGCCTGCCCGAGCAAGGAGGAGGAGCAGCCTCGGCAGTATCCGTGACAGTACCCCGTGACAGTATCCGTGACAGTGCCACGAGACAAGACTCTGGTAGTATGGGAGTGGGCTCAATGGACCTCTCCTCTGTGTCATATCGTCGGGACAGGGCGTCTGCCTTAACGTTCTGTGACCCTGGGATATACGTGATCTTAAAGACAAACCGGGCAAGAAACATGGCCCACCTAGCCTGACGAGGGTTCAGTCTCTTCGCTGCCCGGATGTACTCCAGGTTACGATGGTCAGTCAGAATGAGAAAAGGGTGGTTAGCCCCCTCAAGCCAATGTCTCCACGCCTTCAGGGCCTGGACCACAGCTAGCAGCTCCCTGTCCCCCACGTCATAATTGCGTTCCGCCGGACTGAGCTTCTTAGAATAGAAAGCACAGGGGCGTAGTTTTGGAGGCGTGCCCGAGCGCTGAGACAGTATAGCACCGATCCCCGCCTCGGACGCATCCACCTCGACTTGGAACGCCAAAGAGGGATCCGGATGTGCCAGCACCGGAGCTGAGGTGAACAGGTCCTTCAAATGACTAAACGCCCTGTCCGCCTCAGCCGACCACTGCAAACGCACCGGGCCCCCCTTTAGCAGGGAGGTAATGGGAGCTGCTACCTGTCCAAAACCCCGGATAAACCTCCGGTAGTAATTGGCAAAACCCAAAAAACGCTGCACCTCCTTTACTGTAGTTGGACCGGTGTCCCAGGAAGGAGATGGACTCCTGGAAAAACAGACATTTCTCTGCCTTCACATACAGATCATGCTCCAACAGTCTACCCAGCACCCGACGTACCAGGGACACATGCTCGGTACATGTAGCGGAGTATATCAGAATGTCATCAATATACACCACTACCCCCTGTCCATGTAAATCCCGGAAAATCTCGTCTACTAATGATTGGAAGACTGAAGGAGCATTCATTAGACCGTATGGCATGACGAGGTACTCATAGTGACCCGAGGTGGTACTAAATGCTGTTTTCCATTCATCTCCTTCCCGAATGCGCACCAGGTTGTAAGCGCTCCTGAGATCCAATTTTGTGAAGAAGCGCGCTCCGTGTAATGACTCCGTCATACTCGCAATAAGAGGGAGAGGATAACTGTATTTAACAGTGATCTGATTGAGACTACGGTAATCAATACACGGGCGCAAACCTCCATCCTTCTTCTTCACAAAAAAGAAACTTGAGGACGCAGGAGAAGTGGATGGCCGGATGTATCCCTGTCTCAAGGATTCGGCGACGTATGTTTCCATAGCAGCCGTCTCCTCCTGAGACAGAGGATACACATGGCTGCGAGGGAGCGCAGCGCCAACCTGGAGGTCTATCGCACAATCCCCCTGTCGATGAGGTGGTAATTGAGTCGCCTTCTTCTTACAGAAGGCGCTTGCCAAATCGGCATACTCAGGAGGAATGTGCATTGTGGGCATTTGGTTCGGACTCTCCACCGTCGTTGCCCCTACGGAAACACCTACACACCGCCCCACACACTGATCAGACCATCCCTTGAGAGCCCTCTGTTGCCATGAAATGTTGGGGTCATGAGATATTAACCAGGGAAGTCCCAATTAAATACAACTGTATAGTCTCCTCATGACCCTTCTGCGTTTTCATCTTCAGTGGCGCTGTGACCTCCCTAATCAATCCCGACCCCAAAGGCCGGCTATCTAGGGCATGGATAGGGAAGGGCACATCGACTGGTAATATAGGGATTCCTAACTTATATGAGAAATGGCGATCGATAAAATTCCCAGCTGCGCCTGAATCGACTAGCGCCTTATGCTGGGAGTAAGAAGAAACTTCTGGAAACATAACTTGGATACACATATGAACAACAGAGAGCTCTGGGTGAGTTGGGACCTTACTCACCGGGAATGACTCATCCGTGCGCTGCCTGCTGCCTCGAATCCGAGGAGACCCTCCCCAACACCGAACCACCGTGTGTCCTCGGCGGCCAGAGTTGTTGCAGGGGACAGCCTCCTTCCTGGCCTCCCTACTACCAGCACCCCCGAGCTCCATAGGGCTCGGCTCGGAGGTGCTGGGGGATGGAATGGACGGCCCCAGCGCCGGACGTCCGCGGGTAGCCAACAGGGTATCCAAGCGAATCGACATGTCCACCAGCTGATCGAAGCTTAGGTTGGTGTCCCTGCAGGCCAACTCTCGACGAACGTCCTCTCTTAAGCTACACCTGTAGTGGTCGATGAGGGCCCTATCATTCCATCCCGAATTGGCAGCCAGAGTCCGGAAGTCCAGTGCGAATTCCTGCGCGCTCCTCCTCCCCTGTCTGAGGTGGAATACACGCTCACTGCATAGTTCACAGTAGCGGCGTCTATCCTTCCCCACTCTGCGTTGGCCCAATCCAGTGCCTTGCCGGACAGACAGGAGATGAGGGCGGACACGCTCTCGTATCCCGAGGGTGCCGGGTGAATGGTTGCCAGGTAAAGTTCCACCTGGAGCAGGAAACCCTGACACCCGGCTGCAGTGCCATCATAAGCCCTCGGGAGCGAGAGCCGAATCCCACTGGACTCCGGATGTGAGACGATAGGAGTAGCCGATGGTGGTGGTATCGTTGGAGGAGGTGTGGGCAAACCTCCTCTCTCCCATCGTCCCAAAGTGTTCATAACGTTATCCATAGCGGCACCAAGATTTTGGAGCATCGCTGCTTGTTGTAGGACACGCTCCTCGAGTGATCCGGTCGGTGCCGTCGCTCCTGCTGACTCCATGTTGGTGGTGTGTGATTCTGTCACGGCTGTCGGTGAGATGCGGTTGAAGAAGTCAGGCGCAGGACACAGAACTCTCGGACACGTACTTTAATCCGATAGCGACCATAAGAACACAGAAATAACTCCAAGCAGGGAGGAAAGAACCCGCTCACTAAAATGACATACGTGAAGGGAAAACAATCACACACAATGTCCTGATGAGAGACAGGGGTAATACAGTGGGGGAAAAAAGTATTTAGTCAAATCAAATCAAATCAAATTTTATTGGTCACATGCGCCGAATACAACAGGTGCAGACATTACAGTGAAATGCTTACTTACAGCCCTTAACCAACAGTGCATTTATTTTAAACAAAAAAAAGTAAGAATAAAACAACAACAAAAAAAGTGTTGAGAAAAAAAGAGCAGAAGTAAAATAAAGTGACAGTGGGGAGGCTATATATACAGTAAAATAAAGTGACATTAGGGAGGCTATATATACAGGGGGGTACCGTTGCAGAGTCAATGTGCGGGGGCACCGGCTAGTTGAGGTAGTTGAGGTAATATGTACATGTGGGTAGAGTTAAAGTGACTATGCATAAATACTTACTTAACAGAGTAGCAGCAGCGTAAAAAGGATGGGGTGGGGGGGCAGTGCAAATAGTCCGGGTAGCCATGATTAGCTGTTCAGGAGTCTTATGGCTTGGGGGTAGAAGCTGTTGAGAAGTCTTTTGGACCTAGACTTGGCACTCCGGTACCGCTTGCCGTGCGGTAGCAGAGAGAACAGTCTATGACTAGGGTGGCTGGAGTCTTTGACAATTTTGAGGGCCTTCCTCTGACACCGCCTGGTATAGAGGTCCTGGATGGCAGGGAGCTTTGCCCCAGTGATGTACTGGGCCGTACGCACTACCCTCTGTAGTGCCTTGCGGTCAGAGGCCAAGCAGTTGCCATACCAGGCGGTGATGCAACCAGTCAGGATGCTCTCGATGGTGCAGCTGTAGAATTTTTTGAGGATCTGAGGACCCATGCCAAATCTTTTTAGTCTCCTGAGGGGGAATAGGCTTTGTCGTGCCCTCTTCACGACTGTCTTGGTGTGTTTGGACCATGATAGTTCGTTGGTGATGTGGACACCAAGGAACTTGAAGCTCTCAACCTGTTCCACTACAGCCCCGTCGATGAGAATGGGGGCGTGCTCAGTCCTCTTTTTTTTTCCTGTAGTCCACAATCATCTCCTTTGTCTTGGTCAGCCACCAATTTTGCAAGTTCTCCCACTTAAAAAGATGAGAGAGGCCTGTAATTTTCATCATAGGTACACGTCAACTATGACAAACAAATTGAGAAAAAAAATCCAGAAAATCACATTGTAGGATTTTTTATGAATTTATTTGCAAATTATGGTGGAAAACAAGTATTTGGTCAATAACAAAAGTTACTCAATACTTTGTTATATACCCTTTGTTGGCAATGACACAGGTCAAACGTTTTCTGTAAGTCTTCACAAGGTTTTCACACACTGTTGCTGGTATTTTGGCCCATTCCTCCATGCAGATCTCCTCTAGAGCAGTGATGTTTTGGGGCTGTCGCTGGGCAACATGGACTTTCAACTCCCTCCAAAGATTTTTTATGGGGTTGAGATCTGGAGACTGGCTAGGCCACTCCAGGACCTTGAAATGCTTCTTACGAAGCCACTCCTTCGTTGCCCGGGCGGTGTGTTTGGGATCATTGTCATGCTGAAAGACCCAGCCACGTTTCATCTTCAATGCCCTTGCTGATGGAAGGAGGTTTTCACTCAAAATCTCACGATACATGGCCCCATTCATTCTTTCCTTTACACTGATCAGTCGTCCTGGTCCCTTTGCAGAAAAACAGCCCCAAAGTATGATGTTTCCACCCCCATGCTTCACAGTAGGTATGGTGTTCTTTGGATGCAACTCAGCATTCTTTGTCCTCCAAACACGACGAGTTGAGTTTTTACCAAAAAGTTATATTTTGGTTTCATCTGACCATATGATATTCTCCCAATCCTCTTCTGGATCATCCAAATGCACTCTAGCAATCTTCAGACGGGCCTGGACATGTACTGGCTTAAGCAGGTGGACACGTCTTGCACTGCAGGATTTGAGTCCCTGGCGGCATAGTGTGTTACTGATGGTAGGCTTTGTTACTTTGGTCCCAGCTCTCTGCAAGTCATTCACTAGGTCCCCCCGTATGGTTCTGGGGTTTTTGCTCACCGTACTTGTGATCATTTTGACCACACGGGGTGAGATCTTGCGTGGAGCCCCAGATCGAGGGAGATTATCAGTGGTCTTGTATGTCTTCCATTTCCTAATAATTGCTCCCACAGTTGATTTCTTCAAACCAAGCTGCTTACCTATTGCAGATTCAGTCTTCCCAGCCTGGTGCAGGTCTACAATTGTGTTTCTGGTGTCCTTTGACAGCTCTTTGGTCTTGGCCATAGTGGAGTTTGGAGTGTGACTGTTTGAGGTTGTGGACAGTTGTCTTTTATACTGATAACAAGTTCAAACAGGTGCCATTAATACAGGTAACGAGTGGAGGACAGAGGAGCCTCTTAAAGAAGAAGTTACAGGTCTGTGAGAGCCGGAAATCTTGCTTGTTTGTAGGTGACCAAATACTTATTTTCCACCATAATCTGCAAATAAATTCATTAAAAATCCTACAATGTGATTTTCTGGATTTTTCCCCTCAATTTGTCTGTCATAGTTGACGTGTACCTATGATGAAAATTACAGGCCTCTCTCATCTTTTTAAGTGGGAGAACTTGCACAATTGGTGGCTGACTAAATACTTTTTTCCCCCACTGTATAAGAGAAACAATCAAACATAATGACGAATAGGTGTAAACAATACAGACAAAACTAAACAAACACCGATAACATCGAACGGCAGTAGCTAGTACTCCGGGGACGACGAACGCCGAAGCCTGCCCGAGCAAGGAGGAGGAGCAGCCTCGGCAGAATCCGTGACAAACTCCCCAAAAATCTATTTTAATTCCAGGTTGTAAGGCAACAAAATAGGAAAAATGCCAAGGGGGTGAATACTTTCGCAAGCCACTGTAGTTAAGGAGGAAACCGATGCTTTTGCAGCCTGAATGGAGGATGTTTTATGTACTCGCTGGTCGCGGGTGGTTAGGAGCAATGTTCCCTTGATTTTTTTTTGTCACTGAGCAAATTTCAGGTCTGCTGAGCGTAAACGTGAACGTTGTCAAAATTCTGTGCAACTTCCAGCGTGAGTTTACTGAGTGAACACTGAGGCTGTACACGCTTTAAGTTACAGTTTTAACAGTGGCCAAGTAGCCTACTGTGGCTATTTTATCATAATGTAGGCCTACCAGAGTGGCCTATCATAAAAAACTATGAAGAAAAATGCATCCCATAATATTTTAACATGGAAATAGCCGTTCTATCATTCAGCCTACAGTAGCAGCAAATGTGTGGTGTTCAATATAGGCCTACATTCCATGAGACTTTTGAAAAAAACATGCAGGGCTTGACATTAACCTGTTTATCCACTTGTCCTTCAGACAAAATGTTCTGTTTGATGCAAGAAACCACTTTACGAAATAAAATTCATTCTTATTCCCATACCATTATTACAGAGAATCAGACTAATTATGCTAACCTCTGCCTATTGGCTACTTAGCTTATTCAAGCCTGTCACAAAATACAACACTGCCCCTTTAAGACATAGAAAAAGCTCTTTACTTGACTAGCTTTTCAAAGATGGCTAGAAATGCACACATGTTGTGCTCTTGTAGGAAGCAATCACTCCTCCCCATTGTTGACTAGAAATGAGCTATAACTGGGATAATAACTCACTAACTAGCAGAGAATATGAACACGTGCACAGGTGGCTACATGCAGCTCTAGCTTTGATCGCAAAACAAGCGCTTCTACTTACGACCGCTCATGCTGTAAACACAGTCCAGTTCAAAGTCAATGGCAGATCCATATATGGCAATGGCTATTTGCATATAGGCCTACTGCAGCTCTGATTGGTTATGGTGCACCGGTCTGTGTAGAGTACAGGCCTGAGTTGTGTCTGTCAATGCAATAGAATCCTACTCCAATGCGCTTTTCCTACAAGAAAATCTCTTGCACAGTTTGATTAGCATTCTAAGTCTTGCATAGTTCGTTTTGTTCCGGTATGATACATTGAATGTGGCTAATATTGCATTGATTCGAGCACAATTCCCACAGTAGAGCGAAACGTTGACAGTGTTAACTAAAAGGGAAAAACTCTAGAAAGTTGAGTGAAGTTCAATCTCGTGCTTCTCTGTGAGGGCTGATATTTCTTCTGCGAGGCAGTCCGAGGGGAGCTGCGCGCAGTTTAGACAGAACATTGGTTAGGGGTGTATTGCCGGCTACGCTATTTGCATTGGGACGCCAAAGACCAGACCAAGTATACTTTTGTCAGACGAACTAAAATGCCTAAACAAAACCATATATGCATGTAAGTCATTCGTTTATTGCACAACATGCTCACCTTAAATCCATCTATGATAGCCTAATAAATCAAGGAGATTGAACAGCCAATAACCGCACAGTGAATAGGGGAGACCGGGGCTGTTGTGTTTCATAGGTTGGTTTTCACAGTACTTAGTCTGTTCCTCCCAATCTAGAGGGTGCTGTTTAGCCTAATACTTGTTAGATTAAAATGTATGGCTACTTTGCAAGAGGTCATCCACCTGCTCAATTCATATCTCAAAACATTGAGGTGAGGGGAATTTGTGTGTTTTTATAAGAGGTGAAAGTAAAGAAAATATCTCTTGGTATTTTCATTGTTTGAATTATGGGACTAGGCTATCTACACTGAACACAAATATAAACGCAACAATTACAAAGTTTTACTGAGTTACAGTTCATATAAGGAAATCAGTCAATTGAAATAAATTAATTAGGCCCTAATCTATGGATTTCACATGACTGGGAATACAGATATGCATCTGTTGGTTACAGATACCAACACAAAATAAAGGTTGGGGCGTGGATCAGAAAACCAGTCCGTATCTGATGTGACATATCCTTCGCATAGTTGATCAGGCTGTTGATTGTGGCCTGTGGAATGTTGTCCCACTCCTCTTCAATGGCTGTGCAAGGTTGCTGGATATTGGCGGGAACTGGAATACACTGTCGTACACGTCGATCCCGAGCATCCCAAACAAATATCCGTCCCCTGTAGCTCAGTTGGTAGAGCATGGTGCTTGCAACGCCAGGGTTGTGGGTTCGTTTCCCACGGGGGGCCAGTATGAAAATGTATGCACTCACTAACTGTAAGTCGCTCTGGATAAGAGTGTCTGCTAAATGACGAAAATGTAAAAAAAAGAAGTAAAATGCTCAATAGGTGACATGTCTGGTGAGTATGCAAGCCATGGAAGAACTGGGACATTTTCAGCTTCCGGGAATTGTGTACAGATCCTTGAGACATGATCCTTACAACATGCTGAAACATGAGGTGTTGGCGGCGGATGAATGGCACGACAATGGGCCTCAGGATCTCGTCACGGTATCTCTGCGCATTCAAATTGCCATCGATAAAATGCAATTGTGTTTGTTGTCCGTAGCTTATGCCTGCCCATACCATAACCCCACCACCACGGGCACTCTGTTCACAACGTTGACATCAGCAAACCACTCGCCCACACAACGCCCTACACACTGTCTGCCATCTGCCCAGTAGAGTTGAAACCAGGATTCATCCATGAAGACCACACTTCTCTAGCGTGCCAGTGGCCATCGAAGGTGAGCATTTGCCCACTGAAGTCGGTCACGACGCCGATCTGCAGTCGGTTCAAGACCCTGGTGAGGACGACAACCATGCAGATTACCTTCGCTGAGACGGTGTCTGACAGTTTGTGCAGAAATTCTTCAGTTGTGCAAGCCCATAGTTTCATCAGCTGTCCGGGTGGCTGGTCTCAGACGATCCCGCAGGTAAAGAAGCCGGAAGTGGAGATCCTGGGCTGGCGTGGTTACACATGGTCTGTGGTTGTGAGGCCAGTTGGATGTACTGCCAAATTCTTGAAAATGACGTTGATGGCGGCTTATAGTAGAGAAATTAACATAAAATTATCTGGCAACAACTCTGGTGGACATTCTTGTAGTCAGCATGCCAATTGTACGCTCCCTCAAAACTTGAGACATCTGTGGCATTGTGTTGTGTGACAAAACTGCACATTTTAGAGTGGCCTTTTATTGTCCCCAGCACAAGGTGCACCTGTGTAATTAATGATCCTGCTGTTTATTCAGCTTCCTGATATGCCACACCTGTCAGGTGGATGGATTATCTTGGCAAAGGAAACATGCTCACTAACAGGGATGTAAACAAATTTGTGCACAAAATGTGAGAGAAATAAGCTTGTTGTGCGTATGGAACATTTCTGGGATGTTTTATTTCAGCTCATGAAACCAACACTTTATATGCTGCATTTTTGTTTTTGTTCAGTATTTTAACAATTGTTTGTTGAAAAGAGGAAAGGGAGAGCTATACTGCAAATGTATTTCTGAGTTGCTAAGTCAAGCCATAGGGAAATTTGCTAGCCTTAATGCTCAGTTGGGGATGGTTATATAAAAATGAATAGACAGACTATTTCTAAGATTGTATGCTACATTAATATCTTCATTTCAAGTGGACAGTGTGTTTGATAGGAAATAACTCCCATTTTGGAATAAGATATAAGGATAAAAGGGAACTCAAGACCTTGGGTCTTTCTAATAATGTTGAAAAGAGTCTCATAAGATAGCCTGTAGGTGTACTGGTGTTGCGAAATACACACCAGTAAAAAATGACACAGCCCGGTCTCCCCTAATCTGATGCGTTGCGCTGTTTATAGATACAACATTTTCCGGATAAAGAAAATGATGATATTGCCTGGATTTCATCAAATTCATCACTGCATGCGATTTCAGTCCATGTGGGTACCATTGGGAACGCACCGTGCTCTATGGTGATTGGCTCGAACTGACTAGACAATCAGATTCTCAGGGAGAATTTCAACCAACGCACTCCCGAAATGCTCCTGACATGCTCCGAATTCAATTCACATATAAGCGACAATACTTAACTCTTCCGGGTCGGCTAGAAGTAAATCTACCTTAAGAGTCAAACTCTTAGCAATAGAACCATCACGTGGAGAAGTTGTCATCCCAGGATGCTAAAGGAATATAGATATTAACTGGCCTTCATTTGCGCTTTGAATTTAACTGAATTGTGTATTGTAGTTTAAGACAAACTTTTCAATGGGTGTTAAAATAATGGGTCAATGAACTGAGCTTGAGCATCAGATTAAATCATTGCACTGACAGACAGGTTTTGCATCCATCCAAGATTCAAATAGCAATGAAAAAGTAGAAAAACATTGTGCAGTGTTTGAATTTGAAACCTCCCTCGATCAACACTGGCCGTCTTAATCGTTCCAAAAGAAGTCAATGGAACACAAATAACACTAGTTTTCCTAGCGATGGAGTCAGTCATATTGAGCAGCCACATGAGGCAAATTGAAATACATTTCAGGGGGGCGTCTCACCTGTATCCAGGTTGCGGTCAATGCTGTCCAGCGAGACACTGTGCAACCGCCTCATGTAGTCATCGCTGTACCACACACGGAGTTTATCTCCCGTCGACAACTGTCGGCATACACGGAAATATATGTGCTCTCCATGCTGGAACGCAGTCAGGTTCCTCTCATTCTCATCCGACGAATTCCGTATATACCTGGAATATAAGAACAAAAATCCATAAATATCTGTCAGTCGCATAAGGTCTTAATACAACAGGTTGTAGCATCAACATGTTTAAAGCAATGCACATACAGTCAACAGATTAAATTATACCTGATCTTCCCACACCTTATTTAGGGTGTCCTCTCACATTCTTTGAATGCTCAACACTGATGTCAAAGATTCACAGCTGATGAAGTTAATCAGTTTCTGTTCAATTCTATTCTCAAAACTGAGAGGCTTATTGATGATCAACATTATTACTAAATTATACCTCATCCAGTTAGCTTGAGTTTCATCACTGCCATCAATGGATTTGTATGTGTTGTTTTCATCGACGATCTAAGAGATTTGAGAGTAAGGATGAAAAACATCAGCAGTTGCAGAATGGTGTGATGTTTAGAAAACGGATGACAGCTCAAGGATGAGATACGTTCCCTGGAGAAAGATCCCTGACCCTTTTAAGCCTTTATCACACTGATGTGGCTACAAATGTATAACATACAAACAGATGGGTTAGGACCACTGGTAACACATTTATAATTAATAAATAAACACGAATTAAATGAATAAGCCATTATAAATGCTTATAAATGTTGACAAATAATGAAATACTTATTTATTAATAGTTCAGGAAAAGTCCCTGCACCATGGAGAGTGGGATAATGCTCAACTCACCATCCAGGAGAAAAACCCTGCGGAATAGTCTTTAGACACCAGCTCCCCCTGATATGGGCCAAAGAGCGCCCCCTTGGGGATGCCCGCATCTATGCAGCACACATCCACCTCCTCCTCCTGGACGATCTCTATTCCAGAGGGCACCGTGAGGGCAGCCCGGTTGGGCACCCCCAGTGCCACTGATGTGTCTGGCACAAAGACTGGAGGACCATGGGTGGGGCATTCCTCCAAGAAATACTCCTTGCACTCCTCACAGACTGTAGAAACAAATTGGACATTGGTCAGTTTTTGATGGGAGTACACATCAATGTTCAGCATGAAAATTGTTGGAAAGATGGTGATACTTACACCAGAAGTCTACTATTTGGTGGCTCTCATTGGCACCGTGCTTGTGATCAACCTTGAGTTTATTGCTTGGTTCCACAGACTCACACTCGTCTTTGATTAGGCTGTGGTAAGAAATCACATACAGTACATGATCAATTATGATACACTACCTGGGCTTGAAACACTTCTCTTCAACATTGCATGCAAAGAACAATGCAACACTGCATAACTGGATAGTAGTCAACTTGCTTGCTGCCTAATGGTGAGGAGCAGGGCAATTCTGTGGGAAGTTTAACCTGAGCATGCCCAAATAGTTCATAATTATCCTTAATAATAGTCTATATGTTGGAGTTCAGGCTTTATTTGAAAAGTTTAAATAGGAAATTGCATGAATGTTGACCATTTTGCTGTCCCCCAGTATTAGTTGTGAGATTAGATGTTATTGAAGCAATACAGACCAAGTGTTTTGAGTTTTGTTTGTGTGTTCTACAGTCTTGTAAAGATAAGGGGGTGACTGGGACAGACAATGTAACATACATAACGATTTTTGGAATCAGATCATCTTGAAACTTACGCTGTAAAGCTAACTTTCATCAAGGTTTTATATGGTAAATAATTGGCTTCTCTCTTTTCATTGTCAGTGTCCTTTTTTAGCATGATGATATTTGTAACATCCATAACGGTTGTGGATGTGATGGATATTGATGTATCATATCTTAGCTTCAGAAGCTTGTGCATTCACCACACTGTGTGCTTGTTCTGGGGCTGTATTCTTCAGACTTTTACTGAAGCAATTGTTGATATCTTGTTCTAGCTAAGATTCTGTTGGAAAATATATGATGAAATGCATTTATCATACATGGCAATACTGTTTATTTAGATAGAAAAATGAGAAGTGAACAATCTGTGAATAGTCCTGTAGTGTTATTTTTCTCCAAATTGAAAACCCCCCAAAATATACAGACTTCATCCAGTGTCCAGAAAAGTGGATTGGCAGTGAAAGAGAGCCCTACGTATTTTACGGGTTTGTGACTCACTGACATCGCCCCCGGTTAGAGGGTAATAAAGCATCCCAAGAGTTAAAACATAGGAACTTTATTAAACACACTAAAGAAGATGAACATGGGGATGCACATAAGGATGGTTCTGAAAGGTACAGATAAAGGAATAATGAATATTCACATACAGGCTCCAATGGATAGAGCAGAGAAGTGAATGGACATGGTTATAGCTCATTCATGTAATGGCATAGAACTACAATAGCACAATATGAAGGACTCTATATGATAATACACTGCAGCAATTAAACAGTAGGATATTACACAGCAATACCCGATAACAAGGACTGTATCGAATAAGCATTTTTACATTTACGTCATTTCGCAGACGCTCTTATCCAGAGTGACTTACAAATTGGTGATGTACACATTTTTAACAGAATAGAAGTGTTATAATGTAGGATAATGACTAGTATGTTAGCTAACATGGAATAAAAAACAGCAGTGTAAGAAAGTACTGTATTTACATGACAGTAGGGTACCTAAAGCAGAGCTACAAGTAAAGGAGACAGCATATGTCAAATAATGATTGACATATTTTCATTAAAACGTTATTTAGATGACTTTATTCATACTATTTCATCCTTCCACAAGATGTAGTCCCAACACAAATCTAGGGTTGCTACCCAAGCCGACTGGTCGTTTGTTCTATTGGTTCGGTTGCCAGAGACGCGACCCAGTCGTTCAGTATTTTTGTTCCATTGCCATACTGGCTGGCAACATTCTTATCCCTTGCTTGCTAGCTAGCCAACTACGGCTAACTTACAGTCACGTCAAACAGTGTAGCCAGTAGCTTCATTTGCATTTGTTTAAGCTGTTTTCTAGTGACATTTATTTGGAGGCATCCATAACAATGAGCTAATGAGGCGCGATTTCACCTGGCATAGAAAATGTGCTCTCTCGTCAGGTCACTGTTGTTCAGTGGAGCTAGACAACAAAATAGCTAACACAATCACTTCAAACTGAAGCTGGAAAGACTGCAAACTAACTGCACTTTGTTTCGTTTTACGTTTTGTTCAATTGACATTTCTTTGAATATATCCATAAAAATTATGCCAACTGATTCATGATTTTGACTGGCTGAGAAAAGCTGCCTGCCTGTCTCACCTGACTCCCGACACGTTCATTACTATAGGACAGCAGGAGATCAAATTTGAATATTGAAACAACGTTGCAAATGTCAGAGAGATAGACCACAAGGTTTATACAAATGTGAGATAATGTCCAAATGCTTTTTATAGTGGAAATCAAGTTTATAAATTGCCTGGCTGGGCTGATGAGAAAGTGGATTGCGCAGTCAGATGGAACCGAGTAAATAGGCATTTTAACATAATAGATTTAGCCGGTGGTAATTTGTAGAACAGACACCGTCTGGAATGCTGTTTTAAGTAATCAGCATTCAGGATTAGACCCACCCGTTGTATAATAATTGTTATAAACTGGGTGGTTCGAGCCCTGAATGCTAATTGGCTGAAAGCCGTGGTATATCAGACCGTATACCATGGGTATGACAAAACATTTATTTTTACTGCTCTAATTACATTGGTAACCAGTTTATAATAGCAATAAGGCACCTCAGGGGTTTGTGATATATGGCCAATATACCACGGCTAAGGGCTGTGTCGTGCCATTTTTTTTTTTTTGTCATTTAGCAGACGCCCTTATCCAGAGCAACTTACAGTTAGTGAGTGCATACATTATTTTATTTTTCATACTGGCCCCCCGTGGGAATAGAACCCACTACCAACTGAGCTACATCCCTGCCGGCCATTCCCTCCCCTACCCTGGATGACGCTGGGCCAATTGTGCGCCGCCCCAGGGGTCTCCCGGTCATGGCCGGCTACGACAGAGCCTGGATTCGAACCAGGATCTCTAGTGGCACTGCGCCACTCGGGAGACCATATACCACACCCCCTCTGGCCTTATTGCTGAATTATATTATGAATACTTTTAGAGGCATACAAAGCCAAGTTAAACAACAACTACAACTTACTTTGTGTTCACGCATCTCATGCACATAATTCTACCCACGATAACAGAGTCAGGCTCAGGGCAATATTTATACCCTTGCGGGAGCATGCAATGGAACTGTCTGACCAGTGCAGGGCTAGCTATGAGCATCTGACCAATCAGGGAATGCGTGATCAGTGCATGGACAGAGTGTGGGGTTCATGGGGAGAGTCTGATTGGCTGAAGCCACGAGCCGGGGGTGATCGATATCTCTCACGTGAGAAGAAGATAGACTACACGGCACCAGCCAGATATAAACACCACCACACATGCTGGATATTAGACCCACAGCGCCCTCGGCAGGGGAATTCTGTAACAGCCACCCCTAAATATGTGCAGAATTCCCCTGCCGGAATGTCAGTAGTGTTGGTCCCCGCCACCATGTGTAGTTACCCCATGCAGCCACTCCATCAGCTGCAGGTCAGGTGCAGCCAGGGGGCTTAAGGTGTGCATGCAGGTAGCGCGGTAGGGGCTCCCTCACAGAGGCGAGTCCCCAGGCTGGCCCCCCGTGTCCAGGGCCGGGGAGGCGAGCAGGCCGAATGGCGGCGGCACCCCAACTGAGGCAGGCCAGGCCCCATCAGCAGAGATCAGGTTTCCGTTAGCCAATAAATGCCGGCTTTTGGCCGATCCAAAAAATGAAAAGCTGATAAATAAAATTGTTGCCGGCCAAATTGTCCGGGAGAAAAAAAATATCCATTGCAAAATAATGCTTTTTATTCATTGATGGAAATACCAGTCGATGTGCTCCAAATTCAAAGGCAAATATACATTTTCTACATTTTAGTCATTTAGCAGACGCTCTTATCCAGAGCGACTTAACCACTAAGCTACCTGCCGCCCCAGGTATATTATTAATATACTTCATCGACTAACAAATCCTCAAGCTGCTTGGAAATTAAGAGTTGTGTGTGTGTGTGTTTCTATTTTTACTCACGTAAAAGACACAAAAAGGTCCTCATAAGGGACTTCATCCCCGTTTCCAGTGTGCCCGCTGTTCACCAAAACAGATGAAAGACGGCCTCAAGATCGCGCCCTCGAGGACAAAGTAACGAGACTGATGCGCATCGCAAGCTGCTACAAGGAGTTGGACAGATTTGACTTCCCAAAAGCAGCGGCTCACTTTGAGCAGGCCAAGGTCTGCTCAAAGTAAAGGCAAATGATTGTGTTCGTCAGGCCTGGTCCTAGCAGTTCTGCTGCAGCCCTAGGCAAGATCAACATATGCCGCCCCAGTGTCATGTATAGTATTAAGATTTGGAATAGATTGATAGACTAGAGTAGAGAGTAATGATGTGTATCATGCGCAAATGGTGCATTTCAGTTGAGCTTATTCAGTAGTACATGATTTGAATGTCTATTTCAGACTCTGTAACATCCATAATGGAGGCTGTAGCCACCATAACGGTTGTTTTTCCTCTCAAAAGTAATCATGGAAATGACCATCTTTTCAGAATTATCGTTTTTGTGTTCAGCCAAGCTTTCCTTCGAAATAGCTATCCATGTTCTGACCTAAGACTTACAAACTAACAGACTTTTGCTAAGATATTACATTTTATTCATTTATGATTTATAACAGGGAAGAAGACGAAACGGCAATGTTTTGCTTTTCAATAAAACCATGTTGGTATAAGAACATCGTTCTACTTCATTTTATTACAACTTTACAGGCTAATTTCTATTCTGTTAAGATTCATTGCAATAATCGAAATGTGATTTTGAGCACGGTGAGAGGACGCCCTAATGCGTTACGCACCCAATGCATATGGATGTACATTTCTCAAAATCTCAGGTAAATTAAAATCTTGCCGGTACATTTTCCTATTAGAAACCCTGCCCCAGCAGAGGAGAGGAGGCCTGGCGGCGTCGGCTCCCCAACCGAGGTCTGGTTTGTCCCCCACAGTCACGTCAGGGGTTGAGAGCAGTGGCAGCACGACCAGGACTGGAGTTGGGCCGATGATCAGAAGTAACAGCAGACCGGTCCGGTGCTGCTGGAGGGTCCGCTAGTGCAGGGACAGGCAGAGAGTCAGAGGCAGAAAGGGACTCTGTCGCTGGCGACGGCTCGCCAGGTAGCGCTTGCTGGTGATCTGGTGGCGGTGAGGAATAGATGGGAATCGGAAATGACATCTGGTGTGGGCTCAGCCTTTTAGCAGGCAACTCCTGAGGACCAGCGGGAGCCGAGGACATGACGTGACCCTGCCCGTTCTCAGTCACAGCCGTGCATGACAACGGTGCCTGGGCTGGAAAGGCAATATAGTCACACCCGATGGTCACAGACACACCTGGCAACGGTTCCGGGGCTGAAGAAACAACTTCTTGCGGCTGTCCTCCATATGACCATTGCATGTTCTCCACTGCAACCTGCTGGAGAGGGCTCCCCTGACAGGAGGAAGCCTGGGATCTGGTCTTCTGTTGCATAATGTGAAGACTGTATATTCTGCTCAATACAGGCAAAACATGCTTCCTGTACTCCATATGACATATGCAGCGATGTCCACGGCGCTGCAACTCCCTGGTACCCCAAAGTAGAAGAATAATCCACATGCTGGGTTGTTGTGGATGCGGCCCCACCTGGTGCTGAGTAGTTGTAATAGATTCAACTAGTAAAGGTTAATTTTGATATATATAAAATGAAGGGGGAAAAAAGTAATGTGAGGGTGTGGTGACTGGCTTGTATACTATTCAGGCTACCTGTAATTATGCAATCCTAAAGTATTATGCCTTCTGCTGACCTTATAAAAACATTACAAATGACAACAAATGTGTTATGATAGATTTTTTTATCATGAATTTGATCATGATTTGAATGTCTATTTCAGACTCTGTAACATCCATACCGGAGGCTGTAGCAACTATAACAGTTATCTTTCCTCTCTAAAGTAATCATGGAAATGACCATGTTTTCAAAATGATTGTTTCTGTGTTCAGCCAAGCCTTTCCTTCGAAATAGCTATCCCCAAAAAGCTTGTTCATTTCATGTAACATCCATCTTATTTGCTTTATTTCTCCAACATGCTAATATTTAGAAGTCCTCTTTCTTGTAATTCCAAGGGGTACACATAAAAAATGTCATTTATATTTTGTTTGTCCATTCTGTGAGACATTAAAGTTGTGATTTTGCATGCAAATGTAATGTCCATAACACTGGAATCGGCCAGCATCAGTCTACCTGGCGCTGCTGTTGGGCCTGGCTTCTGAGGAAGGCTCGGTTTGATAGGCAGATGATGCTGCCATTGTGGAGGGAAGGAGGGGGGTGGGCCTACTGAGTGCAAGTTCAGTCCCACATCATTAATCTGCAAATAACACGGAAAAACAAGGTGATCTACAACACTGCTTTCAACTCAAAGTAGGCTGTTATTATGACCAGTTACAGATAGAAAGGGCACCTTTGAAAATAATGAAAATATCTTGTTGACTATTTTCACAAAAAAGTCTCTGCTAATTCTGTCCCCCAAAAAAAGTTATTTTCAAAGTTTTACATAAGGCAGGCTGCACTCACAAAAGGCAATAATAATTATAGACCAAGCATGTGTTTACGTTATAACGTCTCATGCAGGGTTTGCATTCGGAGATGTTACAATGTAACCAAGGAGCAATCTTTGGAGATCAAACGTTCGAAGTGACCGCGAGAAACCACAAATCCCGAATTCCAAAATATTGCGGCAGCGAATCGACAGTGCTGATTGGTCATCAAAACTGCCGCTCTCAAAGGGGGCTCAAGCTTTGTCAGTAGACGGGTCTACAAATAATGATACTTAAAAAACAAATGTACATTGATCGCCGAAGTTTTCTATTCCTACACAATAACAACGAAAAGCACAGCAGCGTAATCATACTGTGATAGTCATACTATGTCGTGCGCTGCGCTGCGCTATTTCCAGATATTTCCTGGATTCCCGATTGCAGGCATTTGGCAATTTGCCTAACGCTTTCGGAAGCCATTTTCATTGGCCACATTGGCTAATAATAAGACTCACCTTCTATAGAATCTGCAGGGCTTCGGAGGGTCTGCGATGAGCACTTTATCTACCGTCCCCCACTCAAGACTCTGTGATCCCCGTCGTTGACGCACAGCCACTCTTTGATTTCACTAGTCCACGGCAATGCAAAGTTTATCTATTTGAAATAATTGTTATGAGTCAGCCGATTCTCTCGGCTTTGACCACCATCTTTTTATTACAGGAAATGACATGGAAAACGGAAGAAAGCTACTTGAGTTCAGAGATGAAAGACGCAGTACAAAAACATATGAGTGAACAATTTTTCACCTTCTGTGCAACGCGCATTACTAAGAGGTGCTGTGTGGGCGCGAGAGAAACAACCTGGAGACAGAATGCTCAGAAACTAACCTATGGAATTATTCCACGCAAAAAGTAAATTAAGTTTTAAATTAAGGCAGGGTAGAGTGAGAAACTGTCCTCAATTATGTCCTCAAAAAATATTGATGAAATCAATTTATGGCTGAAATAATTGGAAAAAGGTACACAATCAAAACAGACCTCATCAGTTCTCATGGACAATTGCATAATTTAAGCGTGAAAGTAAATTAAAGTTCAATACAACTAATTAGTTAAACTAAATAGTTAAATTATAGAACAAAATAGAAATGCAATTCTGAAGAAAATATGATATTGACTACTCCCCCTCCCACCAACCTAAACACACTTCAAATGACAAGGCAGGTTGCTTTTGACTATTTATTAACAAAATGATAAAATAAATAAATACAAATTGATCAAATGCTCCTAATATCAACTGCTTCCCATATTCCCAACAGTATTTCTAAACACTGCATACAAATAATTAAAATCACAGAAGAGGCTCAATACAGGAGGTAAGAAACACACCGGATCACTCACAATGTCAGGCAAACAAACAAAAGACAGATCTGTAACAGAAGAGAAGTCAAAAAATAAACACTCCTTTTAAAATTATGAAATATACAAACATTTTACAAATATTCAGTTGTGTAATTAACAATTTACACAATTCAGCACACCAGGTGAACCTTTAATTCGTATCGCTACAATGCATCATCTTTCACCAAATGTAGTTTATTTTGATTTTTAATGATACTTTTTTGCACTCTTAAAGAAGAAACTCCTCCAATTGAATTTACAGTGGATGAGGTAAGACGCTCAAGGTGTCAACAAAAGGGAAGTCACAACATATATGAATTATGAGTATTATAGATGATGAAATGCATCAACAATACTAGAAGGCCACAATCATGACTTGGTATAGCATAATAACAAAAAATCCAGACTATATTAAAAAGCCATTGACAGAATATAATGCACTGGTGAGAATGTATAAGTGAGCTACTCTAGATTCACTCTGGAATGAACTGGAAATGCCATTGTAATGCATAAAATATACTACTTTCACTGTAAAACCCTCTAGCCCAATAACATACACCTGAGTGAGTCTCGGATGCTTTTTCCTTCACATCTGTGAACTTACACACAGTACTGAAGCAGAAATTAACAGTTTTTGAGGCTGATATTTATTAAAATGCATAAAGACTTCCAAATATAAATGCACATTTGCTATATTCTTTTGGTATATTGGTTTTAGAGCTCAGTACTTTAAATTATTATTTTTTATTTAAAAAAATGTACAGGACAATGCACTTAATTTTGCACTCACTGTCCCAAAGTAACAATAACATTAGGCATGGTGCATTAGCGAAGGCAGAAACTGAATACAAATAATGGTCCAATTGTACAGAAACGTCACAGTTCATGGCGTTAAAATCCTCTGCCATTAGATAATTCCAATTCTAAACCGGGTTGTGTGAGTCCTGAATGCTGATTGTCTGAAAGCCGTGGTATATCAGACTGTATGCCACGGGTATGACAAAACATTTATTTTTTTACTGTTCTAATTACGTTGGTAACCATTTTTAATAGCAATAAGGCACCTCAGGGGTTTATGGTTTATGGCCAATATACCACGGCTAAGGGCTGTATCCAGGCACTCTGCGTTGCGTCATGCGTAAAAAAACAGTCCTTAGCCGTGGTATATTGACCATATACCACAACCCCTCGGGCCTTATTGCGTAAATATAACAGTATTGCCAGAGATGCCACATCAAATGGTGTTTATTTGTAAGCAAAGCTTCAATTTTCTTATACTGAGATGTCCATCTACTGTATACTATAGTTATGGCATCGTGTTGCCAGAATGGAAAAAGAAGTGACTAATTTCACATAAAAAGCATTAGAAAAAAGTTTGACAAACATTTGTATAAAACAAACTTGCATAAGAAGGCATGCTGTCTGATGGACTGATGTGAAGGCTAAGGGGGTTTAAACGGGCGATCAGAAGTTGCTACATCCATTTCTGGAGTTATAAATTAATGATATGTACCCATTGATTCTTGAAGAATATAACTTATAAAGTAAATGCCTCATGAGCTTAGTTCAACTGTTGTTCCCCATCAGAACCCAAAATAAACTTGTTTTTACTCCAATGTTTGTAAACAATGTAAATGTAAACACTATAAAGCCTCAAAACATTAAAACTACAATTTTGATATCATGGATGGTCAGTCTTGGCATCCATAGCTCTGTCTATTAATTTTAGAGTGGTTACATTTCTCCAGCCCCATCCCCCAGCTTTTTACTGAAACAGTGGCTGGGAAACGCTTTGTTATTGTTTCAACTGCTGATTGGCCCTTTAAAAAAAGGTCCAATGCAGCAGTTCTCAATGTCAAATCATTTCTAGGTAACAATTAAGTACCTTACTGTGATTATTTATTTCTGAACATTTTAATAGAAAACAAACATAGCTTCTTAGCAAAGAGCAATTTCTCAAGCAATAATTTTGCTAGGACTGTCTGGGAGTGGTCTGAGTGGGGAGGGGGAAACTGAAAACTAGCTGTTATTGGCAGAGGTTTGGAACTCTCTTATTGTCTATTAACTTCACCGCCTAGTGATGCCTATTTGTAAGTCGCCCTGGATAAGAGCGTCTGCTAAATGACGTAAATGTAAATGTAATGTCACCAGGCAGGCCAAAACTCCATCCCACCAAAACAGGCTGAAGTTTCAGACTGTCTTTTCAAACAGCTCTTACACTAAAATGGCATTATCATTTTCACAATTCCACAGTATTATTCCAACCTCATACTGTGGAAAAATATATAAAACACAGGAAAAATCACGTTTTTGACTGCACTGGGCCTTCAAGAAGTCTATCCAATCAGGGTGCTGTTTAATTTGTTCAAACGCACACAGGCCAAGGCTCAATTCATATGACCTGATATTATCAAACTTACGGCAAGACAGAGACAAAAGAATGGGTGAGAAAAGAAAAAGAAAAACGTTGCACAAGGAGGGAACAAAAAGAGGACAAATAATGATCACTGGCACTGTCCTGACTGAGTTTTAATGCTGAGGAGACTAGACTGTCACAAAATGCCTCTGTAGAATCTCAACAATAGGGAGGTAAATTCAGGGTAAGAAGATATAACCCAGATTTCTATTTCATATTATATACACACGCACACACACACACACACACACACACACACACACACACACACACACACATCACATCACATCACATCACATATTTTAGTCTGGGAATTAAACCAAAAGTGCATCACAAAAAAACATTCTAACAGTCACACATGTTCAAGAGTTTGTGAATAATTCTTCACAAATATCGTACCAGTTCCTGTGACATTTGAACAAACTACTGAGTGGTGTACATCTATGAAGAAACCACAATAAATTGAATTCACCTTTAAAAGGACAAAAAATACATTTAAGGCAGCTGCTATACAGACTACTTGTAAAAAACAACATATCCAATAGAATGAAAAAAAGTAAACTTCACATACTTAACTTAAAGCCCGAAGTATTAGTCTATTTTATTCATTATGCGGATTCAATTGTGCTCTATATTTCAGATACATATATTTTCTGAAGATTCTTGAGTTTTGTGGGTGGATATAAAATCACATGTGGATAACATAGGACAAGAGATAGACCAGTGTGTCTGTGTAGTAAGGTAATAATACAAGTCACAGTGCAAGTCAAGAGACAAAATATGCTGTTGGAAGAAAGGCACTCGAGGTACCTAAAAAGGGGAAAGATCAAGTTGCTCTGTAACATAAGTTCAGGCTTTACAAAGACAATGTCTGAATATTTTGTTGTATTCAAGGGACACAGGAAATCAATGCTGTACTGTCTTGATGTAGATATGTCCTTACGAGTACCGTGTAAGACTCAGAAGGCAAAGAACCCCTTTTATTAAATCTATGAGGAAGTACAAGACAGCATAGCCATTGCAGTTGATTGCATCTCTTCGTCAAACTATCCATTTTCCTTGCACATTAAGATGGGTTAAGAAAATGGCAGAACTGAATCTGTATAACAACGTCGCATTCATCATGAGAGGAGAAAATCTAGATTTTATTTTTTATATAGCTAACTATAAAAAACTGCAATGTTAAGAAAATGTAGTCCCTTGAATGTTATATAGAGTACCAGTCAAAACTTTGGACACACCTACTCATTCCAGGGTTTCTTTATTTTTACTATTTTCTACATTGTAGAATAATAGTGAAGACATCAAAACTATCAAATAACACATGGAATCTTGTAGTAACCAAAAAAGTGTTAAACAAATCATAATATATTTTATATTTGAGATTCTTCAAAGTAGCCACCCTTTGCCTTGATGACAGCTTCACACACTCTTGGCATTCTCTCAACCAGCTTCACCTGGAATGCTTTTCCAATATTCTTGAAGGAGTTCCCACATGCTGAGCACTTGTTGGCTGCGTTTCCTTCACTCTGCGGTCCAACTCATCCCAAACCATCTCAATTGGGTTGAGGTCGGTGATTGCGGAGGCCAGGTCATCTGATGCAGCACTCCATCACTCTCTGTGGTCAAATAGCCCTTACACAGCCTGGAGGTGTGTTTTTGGGTCATTGTCCAGTTGAAAAACAAATGATAGTCCCACTAAGCGCAAACCAGATGGGATGGTGTATCGCTGCAGAATGCTGTGGTAGCCATGCTGGTTAAGTGTTCCTTGAATTCTAAATAAATCACGGACAGTGTCACCAGCAAAGCACCCCCACACCATCACACCTCCTCCTCCATGTTTCGCGGTGGGAACCACACATGCAGAGATAATCTGTTCACCTACTCTGCGTCTCACAAAGACACGGCGGTTGGAACCAAAAATCTCCAATTTGGACTCCTCAGACCAAAGGACAGATATCCACCGGTCTAATGTCCATTGCTCGTGTTCCTTGGCCCAAGCAAGTCTCTTCTTCTTATTGGTGTCCTTTAGTAGTGGTTTCTTTGCAGCAATTCGACCATGAAGGCCTGATTCACGCAGTCTCCTCTGAACAGTTGATGTTGAGATGTGTCTGTTACTTGAACTCTGTGAAGCATTTATTTGGGCTGCAATCTATGGTGCAGTTAACTCTAATGAACTTATCCTCTGCAGCAGAGGTAACTCTGGGTCTTCCTTTCCAGTGGCGGTCCTCATGAGAGCCAGAAAAAACGTTCAAAGTTCTTGAAATTATAGACTGTCGTTTCGCTTTGCTTATTTGAGCTGTTCTTGCCATAATATGGACTTGGTCTTTTACTAAATCGGGCTATCTTCTGTATACCACCCCTACCTTGTCACTAACACAACTGATTGGCTCAAACGCATTAAGAAGGAAAGAAATTCCACAAATTAACTTAACAAGGCACACCTGTTAATTGAAATGCATTCCAGGTGACTACCTCATGAAGCTGGTTGAGAGAATGTCAAGAGTGTGCAAAGCTGTCATCAAGGCAAAGGGTGGCTACTTTTTTGTTTAACACTGTTTTGGTTACTACATTATGTATTATTTCATGTAGAATGTAGAAAATAGTACAAAATAAGGAAAAACCCTGGAATGAGTAGGTGTGTCCAAACTTTTGACTGGTACTGTATCTTTTTTTATTATTATTTAAAGACCCTGTTATTTAAACAGCAAACATTCTCCAAAGATATGTTGATTGGTCATGGATTGAAGTAAACATGATGTACAGCGGGGTCCAAAATTATTGACACCCTTGATAAAGATGAGCAAAAATGACTGTATAAAATAAGTTCTTCAAATCCTGAGCTATAATGTATGCTACATTTTTTGGGGGAAATTCTATTATTTCATACTAATACAATTTCTCAGTGAAAGAGATTTTGTTTAACAAGTAATACTTTTTTTCTCTCAAAAAAGGTAGGGATCTAAATGATTGACACCCCTGTTTTCAATACCTTTCAATACCTCATCTTGTGAGGATAACGGCACTGAGCCTGTTTTCTACAATGTTTTAGTTGGAGAATACATTGGGAGGGATCTTAGACTCAATACAGAATCCTTCCAGATCCTTGATATCCTTTGTCTGCGCTTATGGACTGCCCTCTTCAGTTCAAATCACAGGTTTTCAATGGAGACTGAGATGGCCATTGCAAAATGTTGATTTTGTGGCCAATAAATTCAGGAGTGTGCTAGGGGTTATTGTCTTGCTGGAAGATCCACTTGTGGCCAAGTTTCAGCCTCCTGGCAGAGGCAACCAGGTTTTTGGCTAAAATGTCCCGGTACTGGGTAAAGATATGAAAATATAGCTCTTTGGCCACACACAACAGTGGTGGGTTTGGCGTTAAAATTAGAATGCATGAGCAGAGAAGACCCCCATACCTACTGTAAAATATGGTGGTGGATCTTTGATGTTATGCGGCTATTTTGCTTCCACAGGTCCTGGGGCCCTTGTTAAGGTCAACGGCATCATGAACTTTACCCAGTATAAGGACATTTGAGCCAAAAACCTGGTTGCCACAGGGGTGTCTGGAAGGATTCTGTATGGAGGAATGGTCTAAGATCCCTCCAAATGTGTTCTCCAACTCATAAAACAGTTTAGAAAAAGGCTCAGTGCCGTTATCCTCGCAAGGTGAGGTATTAAAAGGTATTGAAAATAGGGGTGTCAATAATTTTGATCCCTACCTTTGAGAAAAGAAATGTACTTGTTAAAACACCCATACACAAAAATGTATGCACGCACGACTGTAAGTCGCTTTGGATAAAAGCGTCTGCTAAATGGCATATTATTATTATTATTATTATATAAAACAAAATCTTTCTCTTGTATTAGTATAAAATAATGTCCTTTCCCCATTTTGTTGAGCATACAATATAGCTCAGTATTTGAATTATTTATTTTATACAGTCATTTCAGCTCATCTTTATCAAGGGTGTCAATCATTTCGGACCCCACTCTAAGTTGCCCTCTGTGCACTCCATATAATGCAACAGCATAGCATAAAAAATTAAATAAAATAATTTCAATTGAGAAGACCTGAGGCTCGCTCTAAAAAGATCCTTCACAGATCTTCTGAATGGTCCCAACCCCAAAAGTTTATGAACAGTCTGGTGAAACTCATGATCGACTTGGTCGAAAAGTGGGAAAAACCTGGGTACTGGCCCCACAAATTATAAAACATTAGACAAATATGTTGATGGAGCATTACAAAAAAAATAACAGAGGAAGCACAAATCTATTGAGAATTTAGGGATAGGTTCGTTGGTCGGTTCTGTTATCCAAGCATATTCAAGCGGTAGGAGAGAGGGAACATTTCTCCTGGACAAGGCCTAAGTCTCACCCTCAAAGATAAGTTGGGTCATACAAAAATATTTTGTTGGGACTTAATTACATGACAACAAACTAAATGCATAATCTGTTTTGTTCCATATATAACGTACAAAAAAGCTTTTCAGCACGTATTTGTTATGCAACAAGCTTGTGCTTTAATCTCAGGATGTGTTGTATTTTCCTTATTACCACCAAAATGGACTGATACAACAAACCCTCCAGTTTCCAGGAAATAAATATATTTTGATGAGATTGTTGAAGGGATCGCCAATTCCAGAGATTGTATTGAATAATACATTTCATACTTTGTCTTTCCATACATTTAGTGGACATGTCCCTGCTATATTTGGATACAATAGCATTTTGGCAGTTCAGAATTAAACAAAAACGTACATTTCTTAATATGCAAAGGTCACCTCTTTTAAAAGATAATTAAATGCATAAACTATGCCAGTTAAAAACATTTATTAACAAACAACTGTTTTATGCAACAGAAATGCACTTATTTTTTAAGACTAGGAAGACCTGAATGAATACCTTATCCTATAAAAGAAACACACCGCAGATATATTTTTGCGTGTTTGTTTTTGACAATGCAATAATATTGCAATTTCACATTTAGTGCTCACAGTTGACACACTGACTCACAAATTAAACTCAACCACTGCACTGGATCTACACCATTTTAAAACTTTAAGCTACCATGTGTGATGTGACTCCACTCTCTCTTGAGATGACCATCTTTGTTACCTGGGTCTTCCTCAGCAAGGCCCTAACAAGCCAGCTCTATAAGCAGTCTGCCTCATACTTCCAAAGCACGTGGATGTTGCTTTACTTTCTTTCTTTTTTTTGCCTGAGGTTTTGTGTAAATGGGTCCATAGTTATTGGTCATGTAAGAGTGAGAATGGGGAAAGGGGAGGAAGGTATTGAGCTAACTGAAGGCTCTCCTGTTTTACCTGTTTGATTTTCAATGACGATCAAACACCTCAATGTTTCCCCACTGTTAACAAATACTGACACTTTTTCAAAGCCCTGTCCCTCAGCTCTTTTGCTTATCTTTTGGTTTTATTTTGCTCTCAGTTAATGCCGGACAAACATGGTCTCTGTTCAGCACGCTAACTTTAGACATCTCTAACCTGCATCCCAGGAACAGAAGATAACCTAAGAAACAACCCCCATGAGAGTTCTGAGGGCAACTGTTGCAGGCACACACTGGTGTGATGTTACAAATGAGCTTACTTTTACCATTACTACTGTTCTTTTCTATCCTTAAATTGGCATGACACTGGTATACATGCCACCCTTTCACCCATGTTTGGGGTATAATAACCTACAGCATCCAAGAGCAATCTCAGACGGGCTGTAGATCTTCTATTTACACAGTCTGACAATACATTGGAAACAAGTATGTATATAGATTGGCAACTTCAGGCACCTTTCAAAGGTGAAAGCAAAAAGTCTTTTTTATTATGTTGGGGGGGGGTTTCAATCCAAGAGACGGAGCGTTACTCTTTATTGTCCAAACTGTTGAGAAGAGCGGGAAAAGATTTCAGGGAAGGTTCTGAGGTTTTGCTGTTGTTGGTGCTGCTGTTGTCAATGTTTGTGTTCTCTTCCTGTTCCTCTTCTATCAGCTCCTCTGTGCTGTTAGTGGTTGTGACCTTGTTCTCAGGGTTGGTGTTAGTGTTGTTAGTACAGCTCTCGTCCATGCTCGTGTCAGTACACACAAGGTCAGTGGTGCCGTTGGTTGTGGCCACTGTAGAGTCCTCTGCAACGACTACTGCGGTGGCTTCAGTCACTTCCTCAGCGTTATTGACCTCAGCCACAGGTTCAACACTGCTGTCCACTGCAGTCACGGTGCTGACCTCGGCAGCCGGCTCAGTGCAGATGTCAACTGCAGCCTCAGCACCGACTCCTGCTACCTTCTCTGTGGCAACATGAGCTACAACCATCTCCTCCTTCCCGGCTTCAACATTGGTGCTGTTCAGTGCTGTGACCTCGGCCTTCACCCCATCCACAGACAGGATATTGACTTCTGCTACAGCCTCAGTGTTGATGGCGTCTAATGCATTTTCAGCTGGGACAATTGCATCCTTGGCCCCGATGTCCTCTGTGAAGGGACATGTACCCTCGGTCTCCACGGTTTGACTGAAATTGAAAGCCTGAATGAGGCGGACCAGGTGTTTGACCTTCTCCAACGAAACTTGCATTTCGTTCTGTCGAGACATGATGGTGTTTTTGGTCTCCATGCATTTCTATTTAGAGAGGAGGAAACAGGGTTGGGCATTTCAGAATAATGGACATAATAAATTAAGTCACTTAAATTAATCCAACAAATTAAGTGACTTAAAAGGTAGACTCAGCGATATGATAGACGCAGAAAGTAAACAGCATAGTGGGTCAATTTCTGCAACAACTAAAAGCGTTGAAGTGCAAGGTTCAACTTATCCACTGTTCTGGTCCTGTGGCTACCACGCTGTAACAGCATGAAGCGAACCTGTGCACGTGCACAGATACTGTGTGTGACTGTGTGAGAGCAAAGTATTGCATCTCGTTTATCGCAATATCTGCGGTGCTGCTCATGACAACGTCATTTCGCTGAGTCTACCTTTAAAAATAACAGTTTCAAAATACATGAATGGCTTGTGGGGTATATTTAGACCATCCTTTTTTATATTTTACATCACTGCACCTCATCTGGTGTCAAATGGTTACACAAATACTTTCCAGTCAGATTAAGACTCCCAGAAACTAGTCTTAGCTACAGTTAAAGTCGGAAGTTTACATACACCTTAGCCAAATACATTTAAACTCAGTTTTTTACAATACCTGACATTTAATCCTAGTAAAAATTCCCTGTTTTAGATCAGTTAGGATCACCACTTTATTTTAAGAATGTGAAATGTCAGAATAATAGTAGATTTATTTCAGCTTTTATTTCTTTCATCACATTCCCAGTGGATCAGAAGTTTACATACACTCAATTAGTATTTGGTAGCATTGCCTTTAAATTGTTTAACTTGGGTCAAACGTTTCGGGTAGCCTTCCACAAGCTTCCCACAATAAGTTGGGTGAATTTTTGCCCATTCCTCCTGACAGAGCTGGTGTAACTGAATCAGGTTTGTAGGCCTCCTTGCTCGCACACGCTTTTTCAGTTCTGCCCACAAATTTTCTATAGAATTGAGGTCAAGGCTTTGTGTTGGCCACTCCAATACCTTGACTTTGTTGTCCTTAAGCCATTTTGCCACAACTTTGGAAGTATGCTTGGGGTCATTGTCCATTTGGAAGACCCATTTGCGACCAAGCTTTAACTTTCTGACTGATGTCTTGAGGTGCTGCTTCAATATATCCACATAATTTTCCTTCCTCATGATGCCATCTATTTTGTGAAGTGCACCAGTCCCACCTGCAGCAAAGCACCCCTACAGCATGATGCTGCCACCCCTGTGCTTCACGGTTGGGATGGTGTTTTTTGGCTTGCAAGCCACCCCATTTTTCCTCCAAACATAACGATGGTCATTTTGGCCAAACAGTTATATTTTTGTTTCATCAGACCAGAGGACATTTCTCCAAACACTACGATCTTTGTCCCCATGTGCAGTTGCAAACCGTAGTCTGGCTTTTTTATGGCGGTTTTGGATCAGTGGCTTCTTCCTTGCTGAGCGGCCTTTCAGGTTATGTTGATATATGAGTCGTTTTACTGTGGATATAGATACTTTTGTACCTGTTTCCTCCAGCATCTTCACAAGGTCCTTTGCTGTTGTTCTGGGATTGATTTGCACTTTTCGCACCAAAGTACGTTCATCTCTAGGAGACAGAACGCGTCTCCTTCCTGAGCGGTATGACGGCTGCGTGGTCCCATGGTGTTTATACTTGCGTACTATTGTTTGTACAGATGAACATGGTACCTCCAGGCGTTTGGAAATTGCTCCCAAGGATGAACCAGACTTGTGGAGGTCTACATTTTTTTCTGAGGTCTTGGCTGATTTCTTTTGATTTTCCCATGATGTCAAGCAAAGAGGCACTGAGTTTGAAGGTAGGCCTTGAAATACATCCACAGGTACACCTCCAATTGACTCAAATTATGTCAATTAGCCTATCAGAAGCTTCTAAAGCCATCAGAAGCTTCAAACTGTTTAAAGGCACAGTCAACTTAGTGTATGTAAACTTCTGACCCACTGGAATTGTGATACAGTGCATTATAAGTGAAATAATCTGTCTGTAAACAATTGTTGGAAAAATTACTTGTGTCATGCACAAAGTAGATGTCCTAACCAACTCGCCAAAACATAGTTTGTTAACAAGAAATTTGTGGAGTGGTTGAAAAACGAGTTTTAATGACTCCAACCTAATTGTATGTAAACTTCCGGCTTGAACTGTATATCTTCGATTCCCAGGGCCACCCATACGTAAAATGTATGCACGCATGACTGAGTCGCTTTGGATAAAAGCGTCTGCTATATATATTATGTTGGTTCCTGACAGATACACATTTGCTTGCTAACAAGCCAGATAGCAAGCTAGATAGCTCTGCCAAATATTGAACTCTCTCTAATTATAGCACTACTAGTGATGTTTTTATCAATGTATCGTTTTTATAAATGAGCTAAAGTATTAGTATAGCAAGGTAACCGCAAACTGTAAGATTTTATTGATTAGCGAACATTTTGCTATGTAGCTAACATTTTGCTATGTAGCTAGCAAGCCAGCATAGCTAGCTTTGTTAACAGTGTGCATACTTATCTTTGGATGCGTTTCTATGAAAATGTAATGTCAGCCATAAGTATCTCTGACATAAGCTAAGAGAGCATCAGAGCCAGGTAAGCAATAGGGGTAGTTATGTGAATTACCTAAGTCACACTATTATTCAAGATCAAATACTTCCATCTATTCCAGTACACCCATCTGGAAACAACTCGCTTATGAAGATGCTTTGCTGTTACTATGGAGCTTACCGTTATGGAGTTACTGAGTTGTTTGACCCCTTGTTCCAACTGTTCTCGCTCCAGTTTCAGCTCAGCACTCCACTTCATTAGCTTTTGTTTCTCCTCTTCTTTAGCTTTTAGAAAACAGAAACAACACACAGACAACAGTGAGACTTTAAAGCAATCTGGTTGTTTGAGATACCAGTGAAGGAACTCTTCCATCTACCACCGCTTCAGCCCACACATTTGATGTTTGTCGAGGCACAAGGTCTTTAGTGTGCTATTCCTACCTTCTTTATAGGCGATGTAGGAATGAACAATAGCCAATGTTCCTGGCCATTGAATTGCATCTTCTTTTTTCAATATCTGGAGAGAAGAGCATAGCTTTGTTGTATTGTGATTGCAAAGTCACGACATTACCTAGATGTGGAAGAGAACATTGCTGTGGTCACCCTTTGGTGATGTCAAGAAGAACAAACAAAATGAATCGGATGGGAGTGTAAGATGCCATCCCCCACTAACAAAATGAATGGGAAAGAATTACTTAAAACAATACTGAAACATGTTGAAGCTTACAAAGGAAGGAACAGTCATATCGTAATGTTGTCGTCTATAAATAAGGGCTAGCTGATGAAAGCCTGAGGGGAAACTATGTCAATAGATGATCCACTTTGAAACAGTAACCAAATTCTCAGATCTATACTATTCAACCACTGGACTGCTGGGCCAAGCCCCCCGATTGTCGGTGCTGCGTTTACCTGCTCTTGACATTTGGGACAGATCCACATGCCTTTAGGAATGGTTTTCAGGGGTGGGTCCAGGCAGTCCAGGTGATAGACACGTGAGCATGTGTCACACATGAGCAACTGTCCACTGCGTCTGCACACAGTGCAGAAATCCTCATGGATGTCTCCCTGTCAGGATGAATTGCACCAATCAGTTTCACTGCCTGTCTAGGCCTGACCAATCAGGTGTGCAGAGGCAGGGCAGAAGGGCCATGTGTGTTGATTTGAGGATTATCCAATCATATTACGGTCTCTGTGTTGTTTTAAAGATAACACTTAAGTAAATCATGTGTGTAATTCCAACACCGAAATGGGTAAAGCCCATTCTAAAAGCCATTGTGGATAACATTCTGCATTTCCTATTTAAAAATATAGTTTAACGTATGTAAATCAACTGCTTTAATACTGCAGTATGTTTTTAATGGCATTTAAAAGAAGATCTAAACTAACTGATCCTACTTTTTAAAGAAATAGGTCAAGTAACAATTTGACACAGACAGCATCATTTCTTTGAGAGTAGGGGGAGAGGGGTACTGAAATTGAGGCGAGGGGTACTGTTCACTTTGTAAGACTGCATCAAAAATGGAAATAAAAGATGAAGGATCAGACAGTAGGGAGTAAATCAATAAACACGTGTCTGTACTTGTCTAGGTCTTTAGACGTGAGGTACTGGGACATCTCAACTTCACTAAAGTATTTGTAACAACCTGTGGACAATACCACCAATATAAAAAGGGAGGGGCGAGAGTAGGTGAGGTCAGTAAGTTGGGATAGAGCCCCAGAAAGTCCAGGCTGCTGTGCTCTCTCCAGCTGCTACTTACATCCCCAGAGCTGGGGCTGGGCAGGGGGAGAGTGTTGTGGGGGTGGACATGGAAGGGGAAGCTCCCCTCTGTGTTGGGCCACTCGGGGGCCGGGAAGGCAGTGAGACAGCTGGAGGGGGAGGTCGGGGTGTGGCTGCCCAGCTCCGGAACACTGCTGTATTTGGGAGGGCGACCTGGGTGAAATGAGACAGACGAAAAACAAAAAACAAAAAAGATGGAGGTGGGAAGGAAACAAATAAATAAACTGTCTGTCCGACATACCTTTGACAGTGGGTCCTCGTTGGCTAATGTGAAAAAGGAAAAAGGGAGGGTGTTGAGTTGAGGGTGGAGGATTAGGAGAAGCACAGAGAGCGGAGTTAGTGCACTAAAACTTACTACGAGCTCTACGCAGACGCAAGATTCTGAGTGTTGCCATGTCCTTTTGTAACAAAAGGGGCTGCTCCTTGTAAAACGCTCTGGCATTCAACATACTTTTTAACTACCTGAAAATTGAGACACGCCATATCATTCCTTCCGAAGTCATAGGGGTAGTGTTGTCGCTTGGTTCCTTGATCTGATCTATAGGCTATTCATCAAAGTAGCCTATTTTGCATCGATAACCCAATACAATTTCAGCGACTGTTCAAACAGTAAAACAAACAAGAATCCACTCAAAAAGGTATTCTGTTTAGAAGTAATAACTAGCGATTACAGGCTATTGTGAAATGGTAGAACCTGCTGTAGCCAACTAGCTAGCCATGTGCTTTTTTCTCCATTACCAAAACATGATGACCTACTATTTGTAAATGATAAGGGAGTAGCATATCAAACTGGGACAATGTTTTAGGTTACACCGGCAAGAAAGCAAACATTTGCCAGGGCATTTTATAATAAATCTGATTACTTCACATGGAAATGTGGTAAGCTAAAAAAGCTTGCTATGTTTTTAGCCAGTGGAAGTGGGACCGGCGAGGATTTCATGTTACCAAAAGGTGTCCGCTACTCCAAAAATCCCACTCCAATAGGGCTGTTGCGGTGACCGTATTACCGCCCTTACGAAAAAAGATTGCAATCAGAGTGCATTATAACTGCAGTACAATGCAGTCTGACTGCAGTATGCTGCAAATACTGCGTCCAAAATAACTTTTTTTTTACTACAGTACTTATGCAGTGTAACTGCAGTTACAGTACAGTGCAGTACACTGCACTTATTATGCAATTACTGTGTCCAAAATACCAGAGTCGACTGCAGTTACTGCACTTTTACTGCAGTTTAAAAACTGCAATCATTTTTTGTAAGGGCGCCACACCGGCAGTCATGAGTCATGACGCAGTAAAATTCCATGTGATCGTTCTTATGCACTCTGGACATGCTTGGTAGTACCCAACTTGCTAATAACCATCAGGTCGCTAATGGCCTGGTATTCAGGGCTCTATTGTCCCTCTAACCACTCTGATGTGATTTTCGAAACATTTGCATTGATGTCAAACACTTATCATCAAAACAGTATCATGCACTGCAAGCTCCCAGCTACTATCTAATCAACGCAACATTGACATTATCCCACCCCTGGTTAGCCACTATTGGCTTAAAAAACTCAAACCTAAGACGATATCTGCCAATTAATTTCCTGTGTCGGTCTGTGTGGTGCGTTCATTTTTTTATCACTCTGTGTGTAGCCAGTTGATGTGATAACCAACTTGTGGGTTGACAAATACATTCCCCAAAACCTTCTGATTTAAATGTTAACTGCAAAGTAGGCTTACCTGGCAGAAGTATATCATGAGTAAGTACAGTATATCATTTGTATATATATTATTAGTTTTTTGCTAACTTTGCCATGACATGAGCAGTACAGAACCGTCGCTAGACACCCAATTAAAGGGCCAGATGCACAATTAAAGGGGAATTACACCACCAAAAAATTGGTCTTCCGATGTGATTTAAGCATTGACATGGACTCAGAACATTCAATTTCATTGGTTCTCTATGAACAATTGTAATTTTAAGAGTGAAAAAATTGAACATAATTTTGGAAAATATAACAGAATTTGGGGAAAATAATTACAAATGTTATAGGGCCCCCTTGGAGTTGTTTATTAACCATTATTTTACCAGGTATATTGACAGAAAACATAGTGCACTACTTTCTCTTGTACACTAAGGACCCGGAAAAAAGGTGCAGGGGAGAGTAGAAGAGAAGAAAGCTAGACTTTGAAATCTATATATTAAAAAAATGTAGCTCGCGACATGTAATTATTTTAAATACTAGCTCTCATGCTAGAAAAGGTTGGACCCATGGTCTAGGCTATACTCCAAAATGTAAACAAATTCTAGTAATCACCTTTGAGTGTGGACTGTATTATTATGCATACTGGATGGACTGGTTACCTTATGCTACACTCCAAACTTTTTATCCATGAGTCTGGGAGAGAACGTATGCTGTTGGTTCATTGATTTTGCAGGGCGGCTTACAGAGTTAGCCTACAATTATAGAGAATTTATATTTGATTTTGAATAGCCTAGTAATAGGGCATTTTTTATATTTTCATAATTAATAGGCTGACACATTACCTTTAGCTACAGAATATCTCACCACCGTGCATTTCCATCTCCTCCCCTCTCGCCTTCATTCCTTTCTCGAGCGCGCAGAGAGAGGTGCTGTCAGTTTAATGAAATGTGTTTCATTGTAAAAACATGTTACTATCGATGTTCCCAAACTGATGTCACTTGGTTTCTCAAATTAAGAAAGGGTAACTGCAGGAACAGGGTTGGAGAGCCCATGTCATACAGAGTTGGGCGGAATATCACCTGTCGCGCAACAGTGGTTGATGGGTGGAGTGAAATAAATGGAGTCGCCTACCAGGCATGATTGAAAAAGCTATTTGAGTGCATAAGGATTACATATCTTTTTCCCCCTGCCCATGTTCCTGCCCATTTGATAATGGGCCATTCTAAATAGAAACTAATTTGACATATTAGTAAAGACAAGATTAAATTGAGAATAGTCTGATGGGTGAAAATATGATCACTTGAGAGAACAGCGTGCAGCCTGAGGCAAGGAACAGAGCGCAAGCTTTTTTTGCGACTTTCTCAAATCATCAATAGCCTATAGTCGCACCATGCAGCCCACATATGTTTTGATTCGTAAGACATTCTAAGGTTTGTATCATTCCCAACTAAAGTTGCCAAATAACTCCAAATCTAGGATTTAGGACCTGTTTGAAATGATCACGCTTACGCTCAACTAAGCCACTTCATATGCGCACTCGCTCCTGAATGGGGAAAATATCCTTTATTTTATTCAGCTAAGTTCAATTATATTATTTTTTACTATAAAATCATATTATAAATTAATGGCACGGGACTTACAAGCATATCTTGTCTGCTAAATGAACAAGCCTAAAGCCTATGGCATGGTGCATAACCAGATAACATACAGTAGGCCAACTCATATTCTGTTCTTCTGAACCTGCCTAAAATAAATAATGGATTTATTGTGATGGTGTATATTAAATTGACTTTTCTTTTTTTAATGTAGATGTTCCAAAGGCGTGCGTCATCGGCTTGTATGCGCAGTCCGTGGGAAGCTAAACATGTTTATGTTAATTAATGGTCAATTACCATGAGACCGGCAGTCTTTTGCATAACAATAACCTGCTGACAAAATTTGATGACCGCCACAGCCATGTATTTCACCCACGTGCACACACCCACGTAGATCAACGGAGTGAAGCTTATAATAACCTTAAGAGTCAGAAGCTACATGCAAGCGGGGTTCAAAAGAAGAAGCGGTGCGATATGCTGGCTGGATAGAGGGAAAATCACAGTCAACACGCTACAATCAACCTCAAAGGGACTGTTCAAAGTGAAATCACAGTTTGTCAGATGCTTTCATACAGAAAAACATGGCGTGTAAGTGCAATTGAATGGTTCCAATCTTTTCCATTCAATTATGGTTGAGGCCTCCAGATTTCCTACTGCTCAGATCAACAAATTGACTCCGCTCCACTTTGAGGTATGAAAACATCTGACAAAGTTACATTTTGACATGAACTATTATCCCTTTATCCAAAACCTTCCGGTTTTCACAAATGATAATTGGAAAAAGTCAAGGAATTTCTACAGATAGGGATGAAATGCTGTCTTTTATAATCAAGTCTTCAAGGTCAGCATAGCAGTCTCTCAGAAAGGGACACACACACAGCTACAGTGAGGGAAAAAAGTATTTGATCCCCTGCTGATTTTGTACGTTTGCCCACTGACAAAGATATGATCAGTCTATAATTTGAATGGTAGGTTTATTTTAACAGTGAGAGACAGAATAACAACAACAAAATCCTGAAAAACGCATGTCAAAATGTTATAAATTGATTAGCATTTTAATGAGGGAAATAAGTATTTGACCCCTCTGCAAAACATGACTTAGTACTTGGTGGCAAAACCCTTGTTGGCAATCACAGAGGTCAGACGTTTCTTGTAGTTGGCCACCAGGTTTGCACACATTTCAGGAGGGATTTTGTCCCACTCCTCTTTGCAGATCTTCTCCAAGTCATTAAGGTTTCGAGGCTGACGTTTGGCAACTCGAACCTTCAGCTCCCTCCACAGATTTTCTATGGGATTAAGGTCTGGAGACTGGCTAGGCCACTCCAGGACCTTAACGTGCTTCTTCTTGAGCCACTCCTTTGTTGCCTTGGCCGTGTGTTTTGGGTCATTGTCATGCTGGAATACCCATCCACGACCCATTTTCAATGCCCTGGCTGAGGGAAGGAGGTTCTCACCCAAGATTTGATGGTACATGGCCCCGTCCATCGTCCCTTTGATGCGGTGAAGTTGCCCTGTCCCCTTAGCAGAAAAACACCCCCAAAGCATAATGTTTCCACCTCCATGTTTGACGGTGGGGATGGTGTTCTTGGGGTCATAGGCAGCATTCCTCCTCCTCCAAACACGGCGAGTTGAATTGATGCCAACGAGCTCAATTTGTCTCATCTGACCACAACACTTTCACCCAGTTCTCCTCTGAATCATTCAGATGTTCATTGGCAAACTTCAGACAGGCCTGTATATGTGCTTTCTTGAGCAAGGGGACCTTGCGGGCGCTGCAGGATTTCAGTCCTTCACGGCGTAGTGTGTTACCAATTGTTTTCTTGGTGACTATGATCCCAGCTGCCTTGAGATCATTGACAAGATCCTCCCGTGTAGTTCTGGGCTGATTCCTCACCGTTCTCATGATCATTGCAACTCCACAAGGTGAGATCTTGCATGGAGCCCCAGGCCGAGGGAGATGGACAGTTATTTTGTGTTTCTTCCATTTGCGAATAATCGCACCAACTGTTGTCACCTTCTCACCAAGCTGCTTGGCGATGGTCTTGTAGCCCATTCTAGCCTTGTGTAGGTCTACAATCTTGTACCTGACATCCTTGGAGAGCTCTTTGGTCTTGGCCATGGTGGAGAGTTTGGAATCTGATTGATTGATTGCTTCTGTGGACAGGTATCTTTTATACAGGTAACAAGCTGAGATTAGGAGCACTCCCTTTAAGAGTGTGCTCCTAATCTCAGCTCGTTAGCTGTATAAAAGACACCTGGGAGCAAGAAATCTTTCTGATTGAGAGGGGGTCAAATACTTATTTCCCTCATTAAAATGCAAATCAATTTATAACATTTTTGACATGCGTTTTTCTGGATTTTTTTGTTGTTATTCTGTCTCTCACTGTTCAAATAAACCTACCATACAAATTATAGACTGATCATATCTTTGTCAGTGGGCAAACGTACAAAATCAGCAGGGGATCAAATACTTTTTTCCCTCACTGTATATACACATACATATACACACACACACCATTTTTTTTTTCTTTCCATAACCTGTTATTGCTTTGTCATTATGGGGTATTATGTGTAGATTGATGAGGACATTTTTTATTTAACCCATTTTAGAACAAAATGTGGAAAAGGGGAAGGGGTCTGAATACTTTCCGAATGCACTGTATAATGTCAATACTAGCTACAGTGGTTAGCTTGCTTGAAGGAAGTATTTAATGTTGTGTGCATTGTATCTGTGCACTCTTTTCCTTTTTGTTGAGGCTCCTGTTGGCTACCCCACGTGGGGGTTCATTCGCTCTGATTAGCTCAAAGTCAAGTTGTTGGCCACTGACGAGCATTGCAATTCTACAAGTGGAAATGGCATGTTCATCGCTACTGGGTCGGCACGCAGCAGGTACCACTTTTGTTCTAGCAAGAGAAGGAACGTCCTCTCACTGTGATAAGTACCTATTGGCAGTCTTTCGGCAGTGAGATTCTCGTGTGTTTCATGCTTAAGTGTCCCTGTGCAGGATTCAGCCAGCAAGCAAAGAAGGATCAGCAGAAAAGTTGGGTGGTGTGTGTGTGTGTGTGACAGACATTCACAGCATTTCATACATTGAATAGATTACAACATACAAGCATCAAATAAAGGCCAGCTCAGGAATCTATAAAGACATGTACAGGGAACTGCCAAAATAAAGGAAACACTTGAGTAAATGAGGGATACAAAATAAGCAGATGCTTCCACAAAGGTGTGGTTCCTGAGTTAATTAAGCAATTAACATCCCACCATGCTTAGGGTCATGTATAAAAATGCTGGGCAGGCCCAGTTGCCCATTATTTTGGCTACCATGGCTAGAAGAGATCCCAGTGACATTGAAAGAGGGGTGATTGTTGAGACACATTTGGCAGGAGCTTCAGTGTCAAAGACTGCTCAACTTGCTGATGTTTCACGAGGAACAGTGGGACCGATTGAATACTTATAGGAGATTCTGGAGCGGCACCTGAGGCAGCGTTTTCCACCACCATCAACAAAACACCAAATGATGGAATTTCTTGTGGAAGAATGGTGTCGCATCCCTCCAATAGAGCTCCAGACACTTGTAGAATCTATGCCAAGGTGCTTTGTTGTTCTGGCGGCTTGTTTTTTAAATGATTTTTTAACCTTTATTTAACCAGGTAAGCCAGTTGAGAACAAGTTCTCATTTATAACTGCGACCTGGCCAAGATAAAGCAAAGCAGTGCGATAAAAAGAACAACACAGAGTTACATATGGGATAAACAAAACGTACAGTCAAAAACACAATAGAAAATACATATACAGTGTGTGCAAATGTAGTAAGTTATGGAGGTAAGGCAATAAATAGGCCATAGTGCAAAATAATTACAATTTAGTATTAACACTGGAGTGATAGATGTGCAGAAGATGATGTGCAAATAGAGATACTGGGGTGCAAATGAGCAAAATAAATAACAATATGGGGATGAGGTAGTTGGGTGGGCTAATTACAGATGGGCTGTGTACAGGTGCAGTGATCGGTAAGCTGCTCTGACAACTGATGCTTAAAGTTAGTGAGGGAGATGTAGAGCTTCAGAGATTGTTGCAGTTCGTTCCAGTCATTGGCAGCAGAGAACTGGAAGGAATGGCGGCCAAAGGAGGCTATTGAGACACGTTATATTGGCATTTCCTTTATTTTGGCAGTTACCTGTATATATCCTGGGCATTGGAGAAGGTGTATGTGCAGTTGTTGAGTGGATACTGACCTCTCTTCCTGGTGCCCTGGTGGAGCGGAGTGTTTAGGTAGGTCACTGCACTCTTCTTCCTCTGCACGGCGTGGATAGGAACACGTATGTGGGAGAATAAATCCAGCTGTGATTTGACTGCAAGTTTATCATGTTGCTCACTCAAAAAGAAAACCTGTTTGCTTTTCATATGCTACACAGGGCCAGATCCTAACTCTGACTCCATTTATTCAGATATTCACATTGAAAATGGTGCGTATTATGCTCACATTTTAAAAAGCATGTGCACTGGTATCCAACTTAATAAGAAACATATTGTGTATCGGCTGTTGTAGCAATGTGTGGGTTACACTATCAAAAATTTTTGATAAGTAGAAGAACAGCAGTGTAAGTCCATACCTCAGGCTCAAACACAGCTCCACTGTACACCGGATTCGCCGTTGTTCTTCGCTTACGCTCCTGCCTCTTGCTCTGAATTTCTATAACCACAGAGTAGTATATTAATACAGGCATTGCAGTATACACTCCTAGGGAATGCGGGTGAGAATGTAGCAACTGGAATTTACTTCAGACCAAACTGGCAGTGCTTACCTTCCAAATGGTCATGGGTGACAAGTCCGAGGGACACCATGAAGGCAAGTTTCTGGGGGCAAACAATAAAAGGGTATTAGGACAATCCCCTCCATAAATGGTGCCCTGTGTGAGGAGAATTTGTAACATGAACATATACACTATATATATACACAAAAATATGTGGTAAAACCTTTAAATTAGTGGATTCGCCTATTTAAGCAACACCCGTTGCTGACGGGTGTATAAAATCGAGCACACAGCCATGCAATCTTTATAGACAAACATTGGCAGTAGAATGGCCTTACTGAAGAGATCAGTGACTATCAACGTGGCACCGTCATAGGATGACACCTTTCCAACAAGTCAGTTTGTCAAATTTCTGCCCTGCTAGAGCTGCCTCGGTCAACTGTAAGTGATATTATTGTGAAGTGGAAAAGTCTAGGAGCAACAATGGCTCAGCAACGAAATGGTAGGCCACACAAGCTCACAGAATGGGACCGCTGAGTGCTGAAGCACATAAAAATAGTCTGTCCACGGTTGCAACACTCACTACTGAGTTCCAAACTGCCACTGGAAGCAACGTCAGCACAAGAACTGTTCGTCGAGGGCTTCATGAAATGGGTTTCCATGGCCGAGCAGCCACACACAAGCCTAAGATCACCATGCGCAATGTGTTAGCTGGAGTGGTGTAAAGCTCCATACAGAAATGGTTTGTCGAGATCAGTGTGGAAGAACTTGACTGGCCTGCACAGAGCCCTGACCTCAACCTCATCGAACACCTTTGGGATGAATTGGAACACCGACTGCGAGCCAGGCCTAATCGCCCAACATCAGTGCCCAACCTCATTAATGCTCTTGTGGCTGAATGGAAGCAAGTCCCCGCAGCAATGTTCCAACATCTAGTGGAAAGCCTTCCCAGAAGAGTGGATGTTGTTTTAGCATCAAAGTGGGGACCAACTCCATATTAATGCCCATGATTTTGTTGGAATGAGATGTTCGACGAGCAGGTGACCATATACTTTGTCATGTAGTGTATACTGTATCTATAATTTACTTGATATGTTTATACTGCATCTTTGGCAAAGCCTGCCTCCCGTTACAGAACATCTTCTGTGAAGGACTTTGAGGTTCTATCAGTAGGCTGACATTTAAAAAAGAGGTACGTATTTGTTATGCAGGTTAGACCCGAAGTTCGGAATGAAGCATAAGCTCCATCTCCAGTGTACCTGAGGATTGTCCTCTCGCTTTAGCCTGGGTGCTGGAGACAGAGGAGGGGTCCTGCTCACCAACATCTTCTGTCCCAATCCCCCCCGAGCTTTAACAGTCTGGAAACAGTGGGAGGAAAATAAAGCTCTTAAAAACACGAATGACTAAAGTAACAGAGTTATACGTGTAGAATGACTTACATTCTGAAAAGGGAACAAGTCACTTTCCCATCCACAAACTATACTGCTGACCTCACAAAATTAATTTCCATGACAATTGACAATACAATTATGGTATCGTAACCTCCCACCCAAACCGTGGTGCTGACCTTGGTGTCGGAGGCGAGGCCGCTGATCTGCAGTGTCTGCACCGATGCCGGGGCCGTGATGACAATACCCGTCAATGTGCCCGTGTGCTGGCCGCTCTTGGCGGCGCAGGGCTGGCCATTGACGATGCGAACCTGGTGGATGGGCCCGGCGCTGGAGGGCAGCAAGGAGGGGCTCAGCTTGGTGGTCAGCATCACCGGGCCCCGCTGGAGCAGCTGGAGCGCCGCCATCATGGGCGGAGGGGGCGCTGGGGCGATGGGCACGTTGTTGGGCTTCGCCCGGACCTGAGTCGGGAGGATAGGGGTCAGAGGTTAGCCAATCATTCATCAGGTGTCATATTGGAGCTTAGGGGTCTTCACAAATGTGTGTAAAAGAGACTGACCAGGGAAAGGTAATTCCAATGTGGTGCTCTGAGATATCACTGTAGATGGAGGCATACTATACAAGTGAAAGGCAGATTTTTGTTATAACCAAAATTAACAAATGTCTAACTGGGATTCACTGCAGACACAACCGTCCAAGCTTAGCAAGAAAATGGAGGCTGCCTACAGGCCAGATAGGCCAGCTACACCAGCCACTGCAACTTGCGAGCCCACTCTGACCTTTCTTGCCTCCGAAATCAGATCAATTTGTTTGTCCACCCAAAATATTGAACAAGACACATCAGAAATCAAGACCACAATGTAGGAAATAGAAGGGACCATTTATTCGCTGACCACCCGCATTGGAGAATGGCGCTGTCTCAACGAAAGGTCAGCTAGACGAAATCCAGGACCATGTTGATAATTTGGATAACAAATTAACTGTAATATTAAAATCTTGGGTGTTCCCGAGATGGTAGAAAACTATTCTAAACGAGTTAACGACCGGAGGATGGCATTCAAACAGGTCAAAACGGATCTAAAATCGCGGGGGATTGAGTTCATTCTGCGTTTTCCTGCTACACTGGAGATCAAACTCAACGGAGCCAAGATCACAAGTTTGACTCTGGATGAAGCATCAGCCTTCATCCAGAGAAGATCTGCCAGGGAGGACCGTTGAATCCAGAATTCTATTGGATGGAGGACTATCAAGGTCTGTCTGATAAGTGCCTTAGACTTTGCATTGCTATGATTAGACTGAGCTCTAGGGCTGGATTTGACTGAACTGTTTCTTACCAGTAGGCTTATGTATTTTTTGAATGACCTTCAGTTTAGAACTTTTCCAATCTTATTTTCTCTGATTGGCTTGATTTTAAGATTAAGTGTGAAATCAATGCAATGCTATGGTTTGCCAGTCAGCGGCGACAAAGCACTCTAGCCATAGCGTGTGACTGACAGCCTTAAAAAAATTTAAGCGAACTATGTCCCAAAAGGGTATTACAGTTGTATACTGCTGTCGGGTTGACGGTGGGTCGAGTTCTGGTGACTCAAGTTAATAAATCCCATCTATGTCTTGGTATGTGTTGTTTCTCCCCAGCTCCTTAGGTTTGGCTGGGAGTCTACTTAGTTCTACTGTTAGATATACATACCATTTCAATGTTTTTTCTTTGGTTTGTTTTTCTTTATACTGTATAGCTGGAACCTTAAAGGGGTTAATCAAGAAAAATAAAACGGTAGCATATCTCAAGTCTTCTAAAGGTGGATATAGCTTTTGTACAGGAGATACATTTGAATAAAAAGGAATCAGAAACACTAAAATACTCTTGGGTGGGAAAGGCTTTCTCTAGCCCGGGTACATACATAAGGCCGTGAGAACTTTACTGAAACTAAAGTGATAACTGACTCATATGGTCGTTATGTCATAGTTTGCGGGCTCTTGATCGAAACTTCCGTTGTTCTTCGCAATATACTGTATATGCACCCAATGCAGAGAGGCACAATTCTTTTCAAAAACTCTTAGAACTGGGTGACATCCAATATTATCGGCAGGCGGTTTTAACCAGGCTTTTGACAGGTCTCGGCCTAGATTAAGGGGGGAGAGTAAATCAGCAGCTGCAATAAGACTACTAGCTAGGGACCTAGGCTTAAAATATAACTGGAGGTTTATGAACCCTGATAGGAGGGACTATTCTTTATTCCCCCCCAGCAGCAAAACTGTAGGAACCATATGGCTGGCATTCGGTTGCAAAATGGTGCAATTTCTACCTCTTCGGAGCCGATAAATGAGGAGTTCAGAGGCAACACTCTTTATACATCTCAGGGTATACTGGACAAACAAAAGTTGGATAGCTTTTTTGCAGACCTGAATTTACCACAACTCTCAGATAAGGATAGATATGATTTAGATGCACCACTTAGGGTTGAGGAGATCTCTCAGGTTATCAAGATTACGCCTTCTAACAAGTCTCCTGGGTTAGATGGCCTCCCTTCTGACTTTTATAAAAAGTTTGAGGCAATTATTACTCCAATTTTGCTAGAGGTATATAATGACACATATAAAGTACCCTCTTCCATGCACACAGCAATCATCTATCTTATCCAAAAAAAGGGAAAATATCCATTTGATCAGAGTGGATATCAGCCTATTTCTCTTATTAATAATGATGAAAAGACCTTAGAAAAGGTGCTTTCAAAAAGATGATCTAAGGTAATTGGTAGTATCATTAACCTGGATCAGAATGGCTTTATCCCCCACCGTTACAGCTCAGATAATCTTAGAAGGCTGCTCAACATACAGCGTGCTGTCCAGGACTCAAGCACTCCAACAACTGCTTTGTCATTAGATGCTGCCAAACCCTTTGATTGTGTGGAATGGGGCTACCTTTTTGAATCTCTTACAATATTTGGCTTTGGGGAGAACTTTGTGAATTGGATAAAAAAAACTTTGTGACACTCCTTATGCCTGCGTTTTAACGAATGGTCTCATATCCAACCCTTTCCAGTTACAGAGAAGTACAAGACAATGATGCCCTTTAAGCCCTAGTCTATTTATGCTAGCTTTGGAACCCCTGGCCAAGAAACAGAGGTCACCCACTTATTTATGGAGTTATGGCGGGCAACATTCAGCATAAGCTTATGCTTTTATGCAGGTGACATGTTACTTTTCTTGTCTCAACCTGAGATATCTGTCCCTGCTTTACTACAAACTGTTGAGGAATTTACATTATCTGGTTATCATATTAACTGAGATAAATCTGAGGCTCTTCCTTTATCTGGCTTCTGCCCATCCACGCTCTTCAACCAATGGAAATGTAGATGGTCCCCTTAGGGTATCAAATACCTTGGTATTCTAATAACACCCAGCCACAGGGATATTGTTGGAGAGAATAAAAAACCCTTACTTTTAAAAACGAGAGTGGGCTATCAATGTCAAACACATCAGTATGTGGTTGCCATATTGGAAGGGAGGGGCTAAACCAGGCTGGTACCAGATGGAGTCTAAGGCCTGTGGGGGAGTCTCGCCCTGGCTTGGAATCTTTGGCACAGTAAGGCCACAATTGAAGGATCACCCCACTGTTACAAACACCAGAACCTTGTGGGGTAAGATACATAGAGCTGGACGCTGGGACCTTTATAAAATCGCCTCAGGCCCCTCTGTGGCACAATAAGAGTATCCTAATTGGAAGTAAAACCTATTTTTGGGTACAGTGGCAACAAGTAGGAATCAATTATCTGTTGAATCTATTTGATGAGCATTCTAAGCTATTCTTAAGCTTTGCCCAAATTTCTGAGAAATATAAGCTGCCACAGAATACACTTTGGAGACACCTCCAGCTACGAAGTTCTTTGTCAATATGGTTGGGAAGCCCCCTTACCTGTCCCATAGCTAGCCCGATTGAAGAAATACTAAACAAGCCATTAATGTATCATCTGCTGCAGGAGCAATTGTCTGACCCTTTAAATAAGGTTAAAGTACAACTGGGCAAAAGCATTGGCTCTAGATCTAGCCCATGAAGAGTGGATATCATGTGTCTAATTTGAATACTACGTATAAAGAAATGGAAAATAAATGTATTCAATTGAAAATAATACATAGACGGCACTGGACTCCACAAAGGTTATATAAGTTTAAGTTAATACCAGAAGACAGATGTTGGAGATGTAAAGGTGAAAATGCCTCTATTACACATATAGTCTGGTCATGTCCAGCGCTAAGAGATTGGTGGAATAATATCCAACAAGTTGTGTTTGATGTTATTAAGACACAGTTCCCGATCACTGTCAAACTGTATACAGTGCTGTGAAAAAGTATTTGCCCCCTTTCTAATTTTCTCTACTTTTGCATATTTGTGATACTGAATGTTATCAGATCTTCAACCAAAACCTAATATTAGATAAAGGGAACATAAGTGAACAAATAACACAACAATTGCATATTTATTTCATAAACAAAGTTATGCAACACCCAATTCCCCTGTGTGAAAAAGTAATTGCCCCCTTACACTCAATAACTGGTTGTGCCACCTTTAGCTGCAATGACTCCAACCAAATGCTTCCTGTAGTTGTTGATCAGTCTCTCACATCGCTGTGGAGGAATTTTGGCCCACTCTTCCATGCAGAACTGCTTTAACTCAGTGACGTGTGGGTTTTCAAGCATGAACTGCTTGTTTCAAGTCCTGCCACAACATCTCAATTGGGATTAGGTCTGGACTTTGACTAGGCCATTCCAAAACTTCCAATTTGTTGCTTTTTAGCAATTTTCATGTAGACTTGATTGTGTGTTTTGGATCATTGTCTTGCTGCATGACCCAGCTGCACTTCAGCTTCAGCTCACAGACGGATGGTCTTTCATTCTCCTGTAGAATTCTCTGATACAGAGCAGAATTCATGGTTCCTGAGGCAGCAAAGCATCCCCAAACCATCACACCACCACCACCATGCTTGACCTTTGGCATGATGTTCTTACTGTGGAATGCAGTGTTTGGTTTTCGCCAGGCATTACTGGAACCATGTCGTCCAAAAAGTTATACTTTTGAATCATCTGTCCATAGAACGTTCTTCCAAGAGTCTTGATGATCATCCAGGTGCTTTTTGGCAAACTTGAGTCAACGTTTTGGACGAGATGGGTCCCATTTTGTCTGGCGAAAACCAAACTCTGCATTCCACAGTAAAAACATCGAGCAGTTCATGCTTGAAAACCCACACGTCACTGAGTTAAAGCAGTTCTGCATGGAAGAGTGGGCCAAAATTCCTCCACAGCGACGTGAGAGACTGATCAACAACTACAGGAAGCATTTGGTTGGAGTCATTGCAGCTAAAGGTGGCACAACCAGTTATTGAGTGTAAGAGGGCAATTACTTTTTCACACAGGGGAATTGGGTGTTGCATAACTTTGTTTATGAAATAAATATGTAATTGTTGTGTTATTTGTTCACTTATGTTCACTTTATCTAATATTAGGTTTTGGTTGAAGATCTGATAACATTCAGTATCACAAATATGCAAAAGTAGAGAAAATTAGAAAGGGGGCGAATACTTTTTCACAGCACTGTATGTTGGGCTCAACAACTGAACTTGAGGACTATATTTTCACTTCCTTTGAAAAGAGATGGCTTATCCTGGCCATCACAACAGCTAAGCATTTACGCTTAAGGCACTGAAAGGAAAATTATCCCCCTCCCTTTGATGAATGAGCCAGTACCATGGCACAGCTGGCTAGCTATGAGAGCGTTTCTTACTCGCTTCTGGGTAAACTAGACCACTTTGAATATACTTGGGGCCCCTTCATTGCTTGATCAAATGGACCTTAAAAGGTGAAATTAATGTATCTGAAGTCAGTTTATAATGTGGTAAAGGGCACTGGTGTTATTATTCTTATTTTTTCTCTCTCTTGTTTTTGGTGTGTCTGTTATCGTTGTTTGGTTTTATATTACTCTGTATTTGTCATGTCCTTTTGTTGTTGTGAGAAAAAACAACAACATACAAGCAGAAATGTTTTGCATGAGTCGACATGGCTTGTTTGAGTAGAGCCTCCTTGTTCTTTCCTATGAGTTCAATACACCATAGCCCGCCTCATGTTTTTGTTCAACCCCCTGGTTGGATGGACTTACTGTGGACTGCAATGCCTAAAGTATAACTGTAAGAATGAGCCCAGTGTTGAGGGACCCTGAGCTCCCAGTGGCATTACACACCTCAATAGCAGGGCATTAAATCACACGTTCATACCCAGGGTTAAAAACAGGTTATCACACTGACAGCCAAAACAAAACATTCAGAAGCTCCTGGACAACAAGAGTTTTCACCATAAAGACACAACAGCTGCAAAGGAAGGTATTAACACAGACAAAAGCAACAACATGAGCACACATCATTCTGAAAACAGAAGAAGACTAGAGGAAAGGGTATGCACAAAGCAGCACCTTGCAAACAATAGCTTGGAGCCATGGAGCAAAGACTGTGACTGCACTGGGTTCGTGTCCTTGTGTACACTGTCGCCCTCTAGTGACTATTGAGTGAAATGCCTCGTGTCCACTCACACATTGGATTGGATTGGATTGGTGGGGGTTAGGGGGCAGGTCTTACTGGGACACACGCACCTGTGGATGAAATGTGGGTCTAGGCGTCATTCTAGGAGGAAGGACAAACTGTGGAACTTTGATTGGCTGTGTTGAGGTGGGGGTAGTGGTGGCCTGCACCGGAGACAAAACCACAGCAAATAGTGTATTCTCTCTACTGGAGCTGTAGACAACAGTTAGAGCTGAAAAAATATTTCAATTCCGCAGGTAGTTTTACAGAGAGAAAGATGATTTTGTGCCACCACTGCCTCAAAGCACCTCCTCATTAAGAGGCATTCTCAATTGACCATGCATATTTCCATACACATCTACACAGAAAATATGTTCAACCCACTTTACTCTAAAGAGACTTTGTAAAACAGAAAGAAACTGGTTGAATATTTACTGCTTAATTTGAAAGACCCCAAACTGCCACCAGTTACAAGAGAAAGAGTTTGAAAGAGTTGAACTACAAAGGATGACAATGATAGTACTGTACAATGTCCAGGAAGTGAATGCCCCTTACCACAACTGGATTCTTTGACACCAGTCGCACGGACTCTGAACCCTGATTGGTCAACTTGCTGGCCACCTGGAAGTTGACAGGTGTGTTCTGGGAGTTGGAGTTGTCGGAGTTGATGACGCCGGGCTTGGAGGTGTGGCTGATGGCAGTGACTGTGGCGTCGCGCTGCGCCACGATAGAGGCAGGCATTGTGGGAGTGGCAGCTTTCAGCACTAAAGGTAGAGTCTTAGTGGTGATGACTGGGGTGACTGACAGCGTCTTCTGACAGCGAGAGGAGGAAATAAAAAATAAATAAATAGTTGATAAATCAGAATGCAGAGAGACATAGGAGAGAAATGAGATGGGGTCGAAAAAGGGAGTATAATAATGCTAGATCCAACAAATATGAACTAATGTGAAGCATAGTGAGTCACTACTAGGGCTACCTTTATTAAACCATTCCCCGGAGGATGGAGGGAGTCTTCCCTTTTCTTAGCGCGATTCTTCACTCTCTATCATTATAGTAGTATAAGATTGTGAACACTGACAGGTTTGGAGCTTGTCAGGGCAGGCTAGGGTTGCAAAATTCCAGAAACTTTCCCAAACTGCCCAGGTTTTCCTGAAATCCCGGTTGGAGGATTCCTTGAATCAGCAGGGAATAAGCAGGAGAGAATAAGTTATCCAACTGGGAATCATCCAAATGGGATTTCTGAAAAACCTAGGAAAGTTTCAGGTATTTTGTAAACTTTTTGTAGGCTACTGCAAAGTTATGACACAACAAGCCTTTGTGCAACATAACAAGCAGCTGAGATGAGCTAAGGTCGACAGTGTCTGTGGACTTGTGTGGCTACCTGCTGCAGGGCCTGGGTGTGTGTGGTCTGCTGCAGGGCCTGGGTGTGTGTGGTCTGCTGCAGGGCCTGCAGAGTGGCGGAGGAGGGGATCTGGAGGACGTGTTTGTCTGCAGCCGGCACATGCACCGTCACCTCTGGCTCCTGTTTCACCAGCAGGTCCTTCCTCAGCTGCTCCACCACCTTTTTCTGGAGGACAGAAGGAAGAGGGGGAGAGAAAGAGGGGGAGTCAAAGAGGGGAAAGGAGCAGTGAAGAGCATGGGGAATGAGAAGAGGGCAAGAGAGGGAGGGGTGTAGAGGATGGGGAGAGAAGAGGGGATGAAGGGAGGTGGAACTAGATGAAGGAAAGCACATCAAATAAAACTCCAATTGAGTTTAGTGTCACTGTTCCCTTTAAAATGTTCTGTAGCCTTTTTTAGCCATGACCCCACCAGTGATTCACAACGTATTATGGTAACTACACAAAAGTCTCTTATATTAACATTTGCTAACAATTGGACGTCAAATCAATCACTTTCCTTGTTCCACGTTGAAACAGTCGATTAATTCATGTTGAGAACACCGAAATTTGACGATGGTTCCTTGGCTTTAAGATCAAACCGACTTTTGTGACTTAAATTCGAGGCCGGGGGCTCTGACCTTTCGCTTTGACAACAACTGCAGTTTTCACAACAGCAAAATACCAAATTAGCATCCGCAGCAATGCCAAGTCATTTCAATAGCTAATTCCGCTACTACACTGACACGAAATGATCTTCCCGACAGGGAATTAGACCTGCTCTGAGGAGGGGTAGAGACTGTGGAGCAGAGGAACAGGCAAGTATGAAATAAGTACACTTGGCATTCAGGCCAAAAGAGTTCAATCTTGGTTTCATCAGACCAGAGAATCTTGTTTTTTCATGGTCTGGCCTTTTGGCAATCTCCAAGCAGGCTGTCATGTGCCTTTTACTGAGGAGTGGCTTCAGTCTTGCCACTCTACCATAAAGGCCTGTTTGGTGGAGTGCTGCAGAGATGGTTGTCCTTCTGGAAGGTTCTCTCATCTCCACAGAGGAACTCTACAGCTCTGTCAGAGTGACCATCTGGTTCTTGGTCACCTCCCTGACTTAGGCCCTTCTCCCCTGATTGCTCTGTTTGGCCGGGCGGCCAGCTCTAGGAAGAGTTTTGGTGGTTCCAAACTTCTTCCATTTCAGAATGATGGAGGCCACTGTGTTCTTGGGGACCTTCAATGCTGCAGAAATGTTTTGGTTCCCTTCCCCATATCTGTGCCTCGACACAACCTCGGATCTCTACGGACAATTCCTTCAACCTCATGGCTTGGTTTTTTCTCTGACATACACTGTCAACTGTGGGACCTGTGTGCCTTTCCAAATCATGTCCAATCAATTGAATTTACCACAGGTGGACTCCAATCAAGCTGTAGAAATATCTGAAGGATGATCAATGGAAACAGGATACACCGGAGCTCAATTTCGAGTCTCATAGGAAAGGGTCTGAATACTTATGTAAATAAGGTACTTTTGTTTTTTATTTGTAATACATTTGCAAAAAATTCTGAAAACCTGTTTTAGCTTCGTCATTATGGGGTATTGTGTGTAGATTGCTGAGGATATAATTTAATCCATTTTAGAATAAGGCTGTAACGTAACAAAATGTGGAAAAAGTCAAGGGGTTTGAATACTTTCCGAAGGCACTGTAAATGTGCCCATTTGGGGATCTGATAGTATTTCTGATTGGCTTAACGCACCACCACTGTGGAGCTTCTCAAAGTAACGTTTTCTTCACCTCAAACAGCAAGCAAACAAAGTCTGTTTTTACATGCATTGACAATGACAATAGTTCCTCAATGTATTTGAAAAATATTTCCAGCTCACTCCCTTTTGATAACCACTCAGCGTGAAAGGGAAAAATGTAATGCTCTTATCCAGTGGAAACATCATAAAATACCTGATGACCTCATCCCTTGCACAAATAGCCTACAGCTGTGTCTGTCCTGAGCTCACTGGCACAGGGAATTGAGGGCCCAGAATGTTTTACACAATGTTGCAAGTTTGCTAGCTCCAGCTTCTGGCCAGACACAAGTTGATACAATATTTCAAGTTCGTTGCAGACAGGCCATGCGTAGCCAATGTGATTTCTAGGATATTTATTTTTATCAGGATATTTTCTGCCTGCAGGCTGCAATGTTTTTATTTGTTGGCTTCATGTAAGATATTTTTACATAGATGGCAATGGCAATTGAAGTGACTTTTTAGGTTTTAATCATTTTCATTTAGATTTTGATAGAATTTTGATTAACCACATGACAATGATTTTGAGATACGAAGACGTCATTATAAATTAAACTGTTCCATGAAAATGTGCATATAAAAACCATAACTGGCACGCAGATCGGTAGAAATGGTAAGATAAATTGGCATTCCACATGAGAAAAGGTTGCCGACTACTCGTGTAGCTTATTACCGGCAACTTCAGGAGTGTAACGGCAGAAAGCCAGCAGGAGCAGGAGGATGGCCGGGTCAGGTTAGGATTTTTTTTATTCTGGTTATCTTGATCTCTGGCTCCTTCTTGAATCATTTGTGTCTTATTTCATCAAACAGTGTGCTTAAAGCATCAAACAAGCACAATGCATATAGTTGATTTTATTAAAACACATAGGGTGTGGCTATATACGGAAAAATACACCTTCGATTTCGGTCGACCAATATACCTTCTTTTTTTTCAGGTACAGCCCTACACTAAACACATCTTTAAAGGGATACTTTGTGATTTTGGCAATTAGATCCTTTATCTACTTCCCCAGAGTCAGAAGAACTCGTGGATATCATTTTTATGTCTGTGTCCAATAGGAAGGACGTTAGAGGTAATTCTGCAAGCCAATGCTAACTAGCGTTAGCACAATGGCTGGAAGTGTATGGGTATCTGATAGACTTCCAGCCATTGCGCTAACACCAGTTAGTGCAACTACCTCTTAACTTCCTTCATACTGGACACAGAGACATAAAACTGGTATCTACAAGTTAATCTGACTCTGGGGAAGTAGATCCCGAAGTATCCCTTTAACCAAAAGAGCCACCACTCAATATCTTGGAATATATCCCAGGTTCTTTGATTTGTTCCAGAGAACATGATCACAGTCGGTGTGTCACAAACCACATTGATTAGTCAGCTCCCTTGACAGGCTAGAGAAAGCAGCAGGAAAACAAGTCGTTGTCGAAGTCACACTGGGTGAGTCTCACAGTGGGCAGAATAATGCTGACAGAGAGAGCACGTTGGGAAGAGAATGCACATAAAAAATAATAATAATGTGCTTTCAATTCTGCCTCAAAGCATCCATCAAAAGACATTAGACGTGTAAACAGTATGTGTGTGTGTCTATTCCGTGTTCACTTGCACATGTACACGGCTCTGCACAGAGGGAGTGACAAATTACTCATTCAAATTTAAAAAGCCTCACAAGAAACTGTTAACATTTAAACATACATGATTCATTTGTGTGTATCTTCGAATATAATGTTTAAAGAAACAAATGAGTCTGTCTAAAATGACCAACAAGTTACACATTTTATTTGTAAACATCCTGTGTTTCAAATGCACATAAGTATTGGTGTGTTTGCTCTCATATAGAGCAACCTGGGATAGCCTTGTGTTGTGTCAGCATAGTGTCCTGAAATACCTGCTTCTCGCTAAGCGCTGTGATCTTTGCCTGAAGTTCGTGGAGCTGCTTCTTCAGATCAGCATTCTGCAAAGGAAGGCACAGCTCTTTTTAGGGCAATTTCATACCAAGTTCCAATAATTTACATCCAGGTTCACTTGAAAAAGCAGTTTGGTTAATTTAACCAAAACAACTTTATTTCAAATTGGAATATCTTTGTCTCCCACCCTGATGTTTCACATTCACATACATCTCCAAATGAACTGAATCAGTAAGAAAAATTATTTTATCAAACTATCCAGGTGTCAAAACGCCATTTGGAGCTTGAGTCTCTTAAAATTTTGTGGAAACATTTAGAATCAAATTTTATTGGTCGCCTACACGTGTTTAGCAGATGCTATTGCGGGTGTAGCGAAATGCTTGTCTTCCTAGCTCCAACAGTGTAGTAATATGTAACAATTCACAACAATACAAACAAATCTAAAAGTACAATAATGGAATTAAGAAATATAATTTAGGACGAGCATTGTCGGAGTCCCGGAGTATAAATACTGTGTGTGTGTGTGTAAATATATACACTACTATATAACACCTACTCATTCAAGGGTTTTTATTTATTTGTACTATTTTTTACAATGTAGAATAATAGTGAAGACATCAAAACTATGAAATAACATATGGAATCATGTAGTAACCATGGAGTTACAGTGAGGGAAAAAAGTATTTGATCCCGTGCTGATTTTGTACGTTTGCCCACTGACAAAGAAATGATCAGTCTATAATTTTAATGGTAGGTTTATTTGAACAGTGAGAGACAGAATAACAACAACAAAATCCAGAAAAACGCATGTCATTGCATTTTAATGAGGTAAATAAGTATTTGACCCCCTCTCAACCAGAAAGATTTCTGGCTCCCAGGTGTCTTTTATACAGGTAACGAGCTGAGATTAGGAGCACACTCTTAAAGGGAGTGCTTCTAATCTCAGCTTGTTACCTGTATAAAAGACACATGTCCACAGAAGCAATCAATCAATCAGATTCCAAACTCTCCACCATGGCCGTGTAAAGGAAAGAATGAATGGGGCCATGTATCGTGAGATTTTGAGTGAAAACCTCCTTCCATCAGCAAGGGCATTGAAGATGAAACGTGGCTGGGTCTTTCAGCATGACAATGATCCCAAACACACCGCCCGGGCAACGAAGGAGTGGCTTTGTAAGAAGCATTTCAAGGTCCTGGAGTGGCCTAGCCAGTCTCCAGATCTCAACCCCATAGAAAATCTTTGGAGGGAGTTGAAAGTCCGTGTTGCCCAGCGACAGCCCCAAAACATCACTGCTCTAGAGGAGATCTGCATGGAGGAATGGGCCAAAATACCAGCAACAGTGTGTGAAAACCTTGTGAAGACTTACAGAAAACGTTTGACCTGTGTCATTGCCAACAAAGGGTATATAACAAAGTATTGAGAAACTTTTGTTATTGACCAAATACTTATTTTGCACCATAATTTGCAAATACATTCATCAAAAATCCTACAATGTGATTTTCTGGATTTTCTTTTCTCATTTTGTCTGTCATAGTTGACGTGTACCTATGATGAAAATTACAGGCCTCTCATCTTTTTAAGTGGGAGAACTTGCACAATTGGTGGCTGACTAAATACTTTTTTCCCCCCACTATATATATATATATACATACACACACACACACACACACACACACACACACACACACACACACACACACACACACACACACACATATATATATATATATATATACACATATATATGTGTGTATATATGTGAGTGTATATACTCTCCCTTATACTGGTCACTGGAAGTTCAACATAGCACCTCATGGCAAAGAACTCTGAGGATCTGAAAAAAAGAATTGTTGTTCTACATAAAGATGGCCTGGGCTATAAGAAGATTGCCAAGACCCTGAAACTGAGCTGCAGCACGGTGGCCAAGACCATACAGCGGTTTAACAGGACAGGTTCCACTCAGAACAGGCCTCGCCATGGTCGACCAAAGAGGTTGAGTGCACGTGCTCAGCGTCATATCCAGAGGTTGTCTTTGGGAAATAGACGTACGAGTGCTGCCAGCATTGCTGCAGAGGTTGAAGGGGTGGGGGGTCAGCCTGTCAGTGCTCAGACCATACGCCGCACACTGCATCAAATTGGTCTGCATGGCTGTCGTCCCAGAAGGAAGCCTCTTCTAAAGATGATGCACAAGAAAGCCCGCAAACAGTTTGCTGAAGACAAGCAGACTAAGGACATGGATGTCCTGTGGTCTGATGAGACCAAGATAAACTTATTTGGTTCAGATGGTGTCAAGCGTGTGTGGCGGCAACCAGGTGAGGAGTAAAAAGACAATTGTGTCTTGCCTACAGTCAAGCATGGTGGTGGGAGTGACATGGTCTGCACGAGTGCTGCCGGCACTGGGGAGCTACAGTTAATTGAGGGAACCATGAATGCCAACATGTACTGTGACATACTGAAGCAGAGCATGATCCCCTCCCTTCGGAGACTGGGCCGCAGGGCAGTATTCCAACATGATAACGACCCCAAACACACCTCCAAGACGACCACTGCCTTGCTAAAGAAGCTGAGGGTAAAGGTGATGGACTGGCCAAGCATGTCTCCAGACCTAAACATTATTGAGCATCTGTGGGGCATCCTCAAACGGAAGGTGGAGGAGTGCAAGGTCTCTAACATCCACCAGCTCTGTGATGTCGTCAAGGAGGAGTGGAAGAGGACTCCAGTGGCAACCTGTGAAGCTCTGGTGAACTACATGCCCAAGATGGTTAAGGCAGTGCTGGAAAATTATGGTGGCCACACAAAATTGACACTTTCGGCCAATTTGGATATTTTCACTTAGGGGTGTACTCACTTTTGTTGCCAGCGGTTTAGACATTAATGGCTGTGTGTTGTGTTATTTTGAGGGGACAGCAAATTTACTTTTTTTATACAAGCTGTACACTCACTACTTTAAATTGTAGCAAAGTGTCATTTCTTCAGTGTTGTCACATGAAAAGATATACTCAAATATTTACAAAAATGTGAGAGGTGTACTCACTTTTGTGAGATACTGTACACACACACACACACACACACACACACACACATACATACATACAGTGGGGAGAACAAGTATTTGATACACTGCCGATTTTGCAGGTTTTCCTACTTACAAAGCATGTAGAGGTCTGTAATTTTTAATCAAAGGTACACTTCAACTGTGAGAGGAATCTAAAACAAAAATCCAGAAAATCACATTGTATGATTTTTAAGTAATTAATTTGCATTTTATTGCATGACATAAGTATTTGATCACCTACCAACCAGTAAGAATTCCGGCTCTCACAGACCTGTTAGTTTTTCTTTAAGAAGCCCTCCTGTTCTCCACTCATTACCTGTATTAACTGCACCTGTTTGAACTCGTTACCTGTATAAAAGACACCTGTCCACACACTCAATCAAACAGACTCCAACCTCTCCACAATGGCCAAGACCAGAGAGCTGTGTAAGGACATCAGGGATAAAATTGTAGACCTGCACAAGGCTGGGATGGGCTACAGGACAATAGGCAAGCAGCTTGGTGAGAAGGCAACAACTGTTGGCGCAATTATTAGAAAATGGAAGAAGTTCAAGATGACGGTCAATCACTCTCGGTCTGGGGCTCCATGCAAGATCTCACCTCGTGGGGCATCAATGATCATGAGGAAGGTGAGGGTTCAGCCCAGAACTACATGGCAGGACTTGGTCAATGACCTGAAGAGAGCTGGGACCACAGTCTCAAAGAAAAACATTAGTAACACACTACGCCGTCATGGATTAAAATCCTGCAGCGCACGCAAGGTCCCCCTGCTCAAGCCAGCGCATGTCCAGGCCCATCTGAAGTTTGCCAATGACCATCTGGATGATCCAGAGGAGGAATGGGAGAAGGTAATGTGGTCTGATGAGACAAAAATAGAGCTTTTCGGTCTAAACTCCACTCGCCGTGTTTGGAGGAAGAAGAAGGATGAGTACAACCCCAAGAACACCATCCCAACCGTGAAGCATGGAGGTGGAAACATCATTCTTTGGGGATGCTTTTCTGCAAAGGGGACAGGACGACTGCACCGTATTGAGGGGAGGATGGATGGGGCCATGTATTGGCCAACAACCTCCTTCCCTCAGTAAGAGCATTGAAGATGGGTCGTGGCTGGGTCTTCCAGCATGACAACGACCCGAAACACACAGCCAGGGCAACTAAGGAGTGGCTCCGTAAGAAGCACATTAATGTCCTGGAGTGGTCTAGCCAGTCTCCAGACCTGAACCCAATAGAAAATCTTTGGAGGGAGCTGAAAGTCCGTATTGCCCAGCGACAGCCCCGAAACCTGAAGGATCTGGAGAAGGTCTGTATGGAGGAGTGGGCCAAAATCCCTGCTGCAGTGTGTGCAAACCTGGTCAAGACCTACAGGAAACGTATGATCTCTGTAATTGCAAACAAAGGTTTCTGTACCAAATATTAAGTTCTGCTTTTCTGATGTATCAAATACTTATGTCATGCAATAAAATGCAAATTAAAATCATACAATGTGATTTTCTGGATTTTTGTTTTAGATTCCGTCTCTCACAGTTGAAGTGTACCTTAGGGAACAAGCTCCCTCACGACGCCAGGACAGCGGAGTCACTCACCACCTTCCGGAGACATTTGAAACCCCACCTCTTTAAGGAATACCTGGGATAGGATAAAGTAATCCTTCTACCCCCCCCAAAAAATTGTAAAGTGGTTATCCCACTGGCTATAGGGTGAACGCACCAATTGGTGAGTCGCTCTGGATAAGAGCGTCTGCTAAATGACGTAAATGTGCCCTTGAGCAAGGCACTTAACCCTAATTGCCCCTGTAAGTCGCTCTGGATAAGAGCGTCTGCTAAATGACTAAAATGTAAATGTAAATGTAAATGTACCTATGATAAAAATTACAGACCTCTACATGCTTTGTAAGTATGAAAACCTGCAAAATCGGCAGTGTATCAAATACTTGTTCTCCCCACTGTATATACCTCCAATTGAATCAAATAATGTCAATTAGCCTATCAGAAGCTTCTAAAGCCATGACATCATTTTCTGGAATTTTCCAAGCTGTTTAAAGGCACAGTCAACTTAGTGTATGTAAACTTGTGACCCACTGGAATTGTGATACAGTGAATTATAAAGTGAAATAATCTGTCTGTAAACAATTGTTGGAAAAATTACTTGTGTCATGCACAAAGTAGATGTTCTCACCGACTTGCCAAAACGATAGTTCGTTAACAAGAAATTTGTGGAGTGGTTGAAAAACAAGTTTTAATGACTAAGTGTATGTAAACTTCCGACTTCAACTGTATATATACACACACAAAAGTTTGGGGTCACTTACAAATGTCCTTGTTTTCCATGAAAACATATATGAAATGAGTTTGAATAGGAAATATAGCATAATTAATAGGAAATGTAGTCATTGACAAGGTTAGAAATAATGATTTTTAATTGAAATAATAATTGTGTCCTTCAAACTTTGATTTCGTCAAAGAATCCTCCATTTGCAGCAATTATAGCCTTGCAGACCTTTGGCATTCTAGTTGTCAATTTGTTTAGGTATTCTGAAGAGATTTCAACTCATGCTTCCTGAAGCACCTCCCACAAGTTGGATTGGCTTGATGGACACTTCTTACGTACCATACAGTCAAGATGCTCCCACAACAGCTCAGTAAGGTTGAGATCCGGTGACTGTGCTGGCCACTCCATTATAGAGAGAATACCAGCTCACTGCTTCTTCCCTAAATAGTTATTGCGTAGTTTGAAGCTGTGCTTTGGGTCATTGTCCAATTGTAGGAGGAAATTGGCTCCAATCGAGCGCCGTCCACAGGGTATGGCATGGCGTGCAAAATGGAGTGATAGCCTTCCTTCAAGATCCCTTTTACCCTGTACAAATCTCCCACTATACCACCACCAAAGCACCCCCAGACCATCACATTGCCTCCAACATGCTTGACAGATGGCATCAAGCACTCCTCCAGCAGCTTTTCATTTGGTCTGCGTCTCACAAATGTTCGTCTTTGTGATCCGAACACCTCAAACTTTGATTTGTCTGTCCATAACACTTCCTCTGTCCAGTGTCTGTGTTCTTTTGCCCATATTAATATTTTATTTTTATTGGCCAGTCTGAGATATGGCTTTTTCTTTGCAACTCTGCCTAGGTCAGCATCCCGGAGTCGCCTCTTCACCTTTGACGTTGAGACTGGTGTTTTGCAGGTACTATTTAATGAAGCTGCCAGTTGAGGAACTGTGAGGCGCCTGTTTCTCAAACTAGACACTAATGTATTTGTCCTCTTGCTCAGTTGTGCACCGGGGCCTCCCACTCCTCTTTCTATTCTGGTTAGAGCCAGTTTGCGCTGTTCTGTGAAGGGAGTAGTCCACAGCGTTGTACGAGATCTTCAGTTTTTTGGCAATTTCTCACATGGAATAGCCTTCATTTCTCAGATCAAGACTAGACTGACGAGTTTCAGAAGAAAGTTATTGGTTTCTGGCCATTTTGATCCTGTAATCGAACCCACAATTGCTGATGCTCCAGATACTCAACAAGTCTCAAGAAGGCCCGTTTTATTGCTTCTTTAATCAGCACAACAGTTTTCAGCTCTGCTAACATAATTGCAAAAGGGTTTTCTAATGCTCAATTAGCCTTTTTAAATGATAAAATTGGATTAGCAAACACAACGTGACATTGGAACACAGGACTGATGGTTGCTGATCATGGGCTTCTGTACGCCTACGTAGATATTCCATTAAACATCAGCCATTTGCAGCTACAATTGCCATTTACATTAACAATGTCTACATTGTATTTTTGATGTTATTTTAATGGACAAAAAAATTGCTTTTCTTTCGAAAACAAGGACATTTCAAGTGACCCCAAACTTTTGAATGGTAGTGTATATATTTGCAAGAAAAAAAACATATGGGGGATTGGATGTGATGCAGACAATTACATTGATGGACGTTACAATCTATCTGCAATATTAAAGCTGATCTACCACTAAAAAAAAAAAAAGTATGCAGACATTTGCGCAGTCTTGCACGCACATTTTCTGGCTGGCGCTTGCATTGTTGTTTTCCTTACAAATAATAACTTTGGACATGTGTGCAATCCTATCAAAGTGCCTTATTTTCTGTATATCGTATAGTCGTTTCTACTGTAGCATAAAGTATGTATGTATGTATGGAGCATAATGTATTTACAGTTTTATTCACGTTTTCAAGTACTGTCAGACCAAAGATGTTATAAATGAGGTGAAGGAATGGTTCACTCATCTTTCAAGTAAACTTCCGGAAGAGAATGAAGGAAAGTGAATGATCGTAGACGACACACCCCCTTCAACATGCATACTGCAAACAGACCAAACTCATCGTCTCCTCTTATTATCTTTGGTTGACGTGGAAAAACAAATATGGTGGCGCGCACAAACTACCCATCACCGGATTACTTTCGATTTCTAGAAAGTGTTTTACTCAATTATTTCGATCAATGTTGAGCTCACCCGTGATGTGATGACTTATAAATAGTAATTGCTATTAGCTAATTCATATTGTGGTTTTTATCAGCCGAGAGTTCTCTAAATATGACTGCTTGTGTTACGTCAATCTTTCCTCAGTTAGCGCTAGGACTAATGTAGCCTACATTTTCCGGTTTGGATGATTGCGTATGCTGTCGCTACTTCTGTGAATGTCTGAACATTGCATCCAAAAATAAACTGGTCACATTCAGGACATAACTTTGTAAGGACTGTGTTTGTGCAAAATGTTTGTGAAAAAACAGTGTGGCTGGCTCAAATGCTGACTGTTGCGTCAATCAAAACTGGACGTTCTAAATAAGCGTTCTAATCACACCGGTTTAAGCGTACGCTGCAGGGACCACTGTAGAATGATCACACCCGTTTGTTGGTACGTGTGAAAAGGTTAATCATGAAACATACACCTCCGCCTTTCTTATTCCCAGAGAGTTCTTTAATCTTATCTGCACTATGTACTGAGAACCCAGCTGCTGTATGGATGGGGACAGTATATCCGGAGAGAGCCATGATTCCGTGAAACCGAGTATGTTACAGTACCTGATGTCTCTCTGGAAGGAGATCCTCGCCCTGAGCTTGTCTACTTTATTGTCCAGGAAATGAACATTAGAAAGTAATATAATCGGAAGCGGTGGATGGTGGGCTCGCATTATGAGTCGGAATAGAAGTCCATTCCGAATACCTCTTCTCTGCCGGCGGCGTCTTGGAGCAGCCTTGGTGATAAGTTCAATTGCCCTAGGGGGTACGAACAAAGGATCCAATTCGGGAAAGTCGTATTTCTGGTCGGAATGCTGGCGAGTTACCGCCGCTCTGATATCCAAAAGTTATTTCCGGCTGTATGTAATAACGCAAAAAAACGTTCTGGGCTAATAATGTAAGAAATAACATGTTTTTTTTTGTTCAATAGTGCAAAGTTGCTTAGGAGCTAGAAACAGAGCTGCAATGTCTATCGGCGCCATCTATCGGCACCATCAGTCTACTGAAAACAAACAAAACCAAACAATTATTAACCTAAATTGTCTTTACCTGTGGGTCCTGTTTCATCTGGGTGACCAGGTTCTGTAGAAGAAAAAGATAAGGATAAATGTGGGTAGGATAACAAATGTATTCAGGGACATTACACAAGACTCTACTACAGCCTGTAGACAGTGACACCTACAGGCAAAACATTCAACTGTATTGAATCCAGTGCACCTGTCCCATACATTTACATTTACATTTTAGTCATTTAGCAGACGCTCTTATCCAGAGCGACTTACAGTTAGCACATACATTATTTTATCGAACCCACAACCCTGGCGTTGCAAACGCCATGCTCTACCAACTGAGCTACATCCCCTGCCGGCCATTCCCTCCCCTACCCTGGACGACGCTGGGCCAATTGTGCATCACCCCATGGGTCTCCATACCTAATTGTGACAGTGGCCGTCATTCAGTCTCAGCATAACATTTACATTTGACATTTTAGTCATTTAGCAGACGCTCTTATCCAGAGCGACTTACAGTTAGTGAGTGCATACATTAATTATTTTTATTTTTATTTTTTTCATACCGGCCCCCCATGGGAATCGAACCCACAACCCTGGCATTGCAAACGCCATCTCTGCCGGCCAAACCCTCCCCTACCTGCAAAAAAAATCTAAAAACCTGTTTTCGCTTTGTCATTATGTGTAGATTGATGAGGATTTACTTTTATTTAATACATTTTATACTTTCCCGAATGCACTGTAAGTGGAAGTTAGGATTCGCCCCTAATTTGAATTTGTACCTAGTCGTTCATTGACGTCATTCGGAAACGAAAGTAAAAATTCTACTTAAGTGGAAATTTGGATTCACCCCATAATGCAATGGTCTTCAGTGGATCTTCTCAAACTTATACAGTGAGGGAAAAAAGTATTTGATCCCCTGCTGATTTTGTATGTTTGCCCACTGACAAAGATATCAGTCTATAATTTTAATGGTAGGTTTATTTGAACAGTGAGAGACAGAATAACAACAAATGAATCCAGAAAAACATGTCAAACATGTTATAAATTGATTTGCATTTTAATGAGGGAAATAAGTATTTGACCCCTCTGCAAAACATGACTTAGTACTTGGTGGCAAAACCCTTGTTGGCAATCACAGAGGTCAGACGTTTCTTGTAGTTGGCCACCAGGTTTTGCACACATCTCAGGAGGGATTTTGTCCCACTCCTCTTTGCAGATCTTCTCCAAGTCATTAAGGTTTCGAGGCTGACATTTGGCAACTCGAACCTTCAGGCCCCGTCCATCGTCCCTTTGATGCGGTGAAGTTGCCCTGTCCCCTTAGCAGAAAAACACCCCAAAAGGATAATGTTTCCACCACTATGTTTGACGGTGGGGATGGTGTTCTTGGGGTCATAGGCAGCATTCCTCCTCCTCCAAACACGGCGAGTTGAGTTGATGCCAAAGAGCTCCATTTTGGTCTCATCTGACCACAACACTTTCACCCAGTTATCCTCTGAATCATTCAGATGTTCATTGGCAAACTTCAGACGGGCCTGTATATGTGCTTTCTTGAGCAGGGGGACCTTGCGGGCGCTGCAGGATTTCAGTCCTTCACGGCGTAGTGTGTTACCAATTGTTTTCTTGGTGACTATGGTCCCAGCTGCCTTGAGATCATTGACAAGATCCTCCCGTGCAGTTCTGGGCTGATTCCTCACCGTGTTCATGATTATTGCAACTCCACGAGGTGAGATCTTGCATGGAGCCCCAGGCCGAGGGAGATTGACAGTTATTTTGTGTTTCTTTCATTTGCGAATAATCGCACCAACTGTTGTCACCTTCTCACCAAGCTGCTTGGCGATGGTCTTGTAGCCCATTCCAACCTTGTGTAGGTCTACAATCTTGTCCCTGACATCTTTGGAGAGCTCTTTGGTCTTGGCCATGGTGGAATCTGATTGATTGATTGCTTCTGTGGACAGGTGTCTTTTATACAGGTAACAAACTGAGATTAGGAGCACTCCCTTTATGAGTGTGCTCCTAATCTCTGCTCGTTACCTGTATAAAGACACCTGGGAACCAGAAATCTTTCTGATTATGAGGGGGTCAAATACTTATTTCCCTCAATAAAATGCAAATCAATTTATAACATTTTTGACATGTGTTTTTCTGGATTTTGTTGTTGTTATTCTGTCTCTCACTGTTCAAATAAACCTTCCATTAAAATTATAGACTGATCATTTCTTTGCCAGTGGGCAAACGTACAAAATCAGCAGGGGATCAAATACTTTTTTCCCTCACTGTACACTGACTCGGTGACTGGGTTCATCAGGAAGTGCATAGCGGAAGTTGATCCTACTGTGATGATGAAAAGGTAACCATTTCAGAAACCGTGGATAGATAATAGCATTCACGCAAAACTGAAAATGCAAACCACCGCAAAGTGACTGGGAACATTGACTTTTACAAACAGACCAACTATGACCTCCGTAAGGCAATCAAAGAGGCAGAACGTCAGTACAGAGACAAAGTGGAGTCGTAATTCAACAGCTCAGACGAGACGCATGTGGCAGCGACTCCAGACAATCATGGATTATAACGGGAAAGCCATCCACGTCGTGGACACCACGCCTCGCTTCCAGACAAGCTAAACACCTGCTTCGCAGCTTCGAGGAAAACAACACCGAGCCGCCGATGTGGACCCCCGCCGCTCCGTGGTAGTCTGGCCGATGCAAGTAAGACATTTAAGCAAGTTAACCCTCGCAAGGCTACCGGCCCAGACTACATCCCAAGCAGTGTCCTCAGAGCTTGCCCAGACCAGTTGGCAATTTCTCACTATTCCATTCTGTTGTCCCCACTTGCTTCAAGACGTCCACAATCGTTCCTGTACACAAGAAAGCAAAGATAACCAAACTAAATGACTATCGCCTCGTAGCACTCACTCCTGTCATCATGAAGTGCTTTGAGAGGATAGTTAAGAATCATATAATCTCCACCTTACCCTACACCCTAGACCCACTACAATTTGCATACCGCCCCCACAGATTCACGGACGACGCAATCGCCATTGCACTGCACACTGCCCTATTCCCACTTGGACAAGAGGAATACCTATGTAAGAATGCTGTTCATTGACTACAGCTCAGCCTTCAACACCATAGTGCCCTCCAAGCTCATTACTAAGCTCAGGGCCCTGGGTCTGAACACCTCCCTGTCCAACTGGGTCCTGGACTTCCCGACGGGCAGACCCCAGTTGGTGAAGGTAGACAACAATACCTTCGCCACGCTGATCCTCAACACGGGGGCCCACAAGGGTGAGCGCTCAGTACTCCCTGTTCACCCATGACTGCGTGGCCACGCACGTCTCCAACTCAAGTCATCAAGTTTGCTGACGACGCAACAGTGGAAGGCCTGATCACAAACAACGACGAGACAGCCTACAGGGATGAGGTGAGTGCCTTGGCGGAGTGGTGCCAGGAAAATAACCTCACCCTCATCGTCAACAAAACAAAGGATCTGATCGTGGACTACAGGAGACAGCAGAGAGAGCACGCCCCCATCCACATCGACGGGGCCGCAGTGGAGAGGGTCAAAAGCTTCAAGTTCATCTGCGTGCACATCACTGAAGACTTGAAATGGTCCATTCACACAAAGTGTGGTGAAGAAGGAGCAACAGCGCCTCCAAGTTCAGGAGGCTGAAGAAATGTGGCTTGGCCCAGTTCTACAGAACTGTTGGGCTGTATCACCACCTAGTACAGCAATTGCTCTGTCTGCAACCGCAGGGCTGCCCAACGCACCATCGGGGGCACACTGCCTGCCCTCCAGGACATCTACAGCACCCGGTGTCACAGGAAGGTCAAGAAGATCATCAAGGACTGTTCACCCCACTACCATCTAGAAGGCGAAGACAGTACATAAACAGCTTCTATCCCTAGGCCATCAGACTGTTAAACAGACAAAACTAGCCGGCTACTCTACCCTGCACCTACCCTGCACCCTACCCTGCACCCTACCCTGCACCTACCCTGCACCTTAGGGATGTAGCTCAGTTGATAGAGCATGGTGTTTGCAACGCCAGGGTTGTGGGTTCGATTCCCACGGGGGGCCAGTATAAAAAAAATAAAAAAAATATTCACTAACTGTAAGTCGCTCTGGATAGGAGCGTCTGCTAAATGACTAAAATGTAAATGTAAATGTCTATGTACATAGTCATTGAACACTGGTCACTTTAATAATGTTTACATACTATTTATATATCTACTGCTGTACAACATTTGTATCATTTTTTATTTTTCATTATTGTGTGCTTGTTGGACATTTACTGCATTGATTGATAGGAACTAGGAACATAAGAATTTCGCTGCACCCACCATAACACCTGCTAAAAATACATGTTTACTTTATTTGATAGCACTCGTCATAATAGCTGTGACTGAACTTTTGACAGTTAGCCCAGTTGATTAGAGTACTTTGTCATCATTTGCAGGCGTAACAAAGAGCCTGAACACTGAGCGGATGAACAGAACAAAACAACGGAACACCTAGGGATGTTTTCCTCCTACCTGATGGACTTGTATTTCCACTTTCAGGGCCTCCTGTAACGTTTGTAATTCCATCATTGAGCCAGTCAGTGTGCCAGTCAGTCCGGGGGAACTTTCAGCCTGTGTACAGAGAAGAATGGGAAAAACATCAGACATCAACACCTTTAATTATCACAGTTGAAATCAGTGGATTCAAGCTTGCAGTCATAGAAACCAGAGAAGATTCAACATTTCCAATGCTCTGTCAAACAATCCATGATGGCAACCATTTTGTGGTCAATATGCGGAGTTCAAACAATTACACTGTCCCCATCCAATTCGGAACATAATATTCGGGAGGTGATAAGCATGGCTTGGTTTTATACTCTACAGTCTGCATGTTAAAGAATTATGTCCATTGAGTACAGTACATCACATAAGACCTGAAGGGAATAAAGTGCATTCGGAAAGTATTCAGACCCCTTCCCTTTTTCCACATTTTGTTATGTTACAGCCTTATTATAAAATTGATTGAATTATTAATTATTTTCCTCAATCTACACACAATACCCCATAATGACAAAGGAAAAACCGTAAAAAAATTTTTTTACATTAATTTACAAAAAAAACACAGAAATACCTTATTTACTTAAGTATTCAGACCTTTGCTAGGATACTCAAAATTGAGCTCAGGTGAATCCTGTTTCCATTGATCATCCTTGAGATGTTTCTACAACTTGATTGGAGTCCACCTGTGGTAAACATAATTGATTGGAGGGTGGTGCGGTCTGCCGAACGCATTACCGGGGGCAAACTACCCGACCTCCAAGACACATACAACACCCGATGTCACAGGAAGGCCAAAAAGATCATCAAGGACATCAACCACCCGAGCCACTGCCTGTTCACCCCGCTATCATCCAGAAGGCGAGGTCAGTACAGGTGCATCAAAGCTGGGACGGAGAGAATGTAAAACAGCTTCTATCTCAAGGCAATCAGACTGTTAAATAGCCATCACTAGCACATTAGAGGCTGCTGCTGCCTTTTGAAATCACTGGCCACTTTAAGAAATGGAACACTAGTCACTTTAATAATGTTTACATATCTTGCACTACTCATCTCATACAGTGGGGGAAAAAAGTATTTAGTCAGCCACCAATTGTGCAAGTTCTCCCACTTAAAAACTTTATGAATTTATTTGCAAATTATGGTGGAAAATAAGTATTTGGTCACCTACAAACAAGCAAGATTTCTGGCTCTCACAGACCTGTAACTTCTTTAAGAGGCTCCTCTGTTGTCCACTCGTTACCTGTATTAATGGCACCTGTTTGAACTTGTTATCAGTATAAAAGACACCTGTCCACAACCTCAAACAGTCACACTCCAAACTCTATTATGGCCAAGACCAAAGAGCTGTCAAAGGACACGAGAAACAAAATTGTAGACCTGCACCAGGCTGGGAAGACTGAATCTGCAATAGGTAAGCAGCTTGGTTTGAAGAAATCAACTGTGGGAGCAATTATTAGGAAATGGAAGACATACAAGACCACTGATAATCTCCCTCGATCTGGGGCTCCACGCAAGATCTCACCCCGTGGGGTCAAAATGATCATAAGAATGGTGAGCAAAAATCCCAGAACCACACGGGGGGACGTAGTGAATGACCTGCAGAGAGCTGGGACCAAAGTAACAAAGCCTACCATCAGTAACACACTACGCCGCCAGGGACTCAAATCCTGCAGTGCCAGACGTGTCCCCCTGCTTAAGCCAGTACATGTCCAGGCCCGTCTGAAGTTTGCTAGAGTGCATTTGGATGATCCAGAAGAGGATTGGGAGAATGTTATATGGTCAGATGAAACCAAAATAGAACTTTTTGGTAAAAAGTCAACTCGTCGTGTTTGGAGGACAAAGAATGCTGAGTTGCATCCAAAGAACACCATACCTACTGTGAAGCATGGGGGTGGAAACATCATGCTTTGGGGCTGTTTTTCTGCAAAGGGACCAGGACGACTGATCCGTGTAAAGGAAAGAATGAATGGGGCCATGTATCGTGAGATTTTGAGTGAAAACCTCCTTCCATCAGCAAGGGCATTGAAGATGAAACGTGGCTGGGTCTTTCAGCATGACAATGATCCCAAACACACCGCCCGGGCAACGAAGGAGTGGCCTAGCCAGTCTCCAGATCTCAACCCCATAGAAAATCTTTGGAGGGAGTTGAAAGTCCGTGTTGCCCAGCGACAGCCCCAAAACATCACTGCTCTAGAGGAGATCTGCATGGAGGAATGGGCCAAAATACCAGCAACAGTGTGTGAAAACCTTGTGAAGACTTACAGAAAACGTTTGACCTGTGTCATTGCCAACAAAGGGTATATAACAAAGTATTGAGAAACTTTTGTTATTGACCAAATACTTATTTTCCACCATAATTTGCAAATAAATTCATAAAAAATCCTACAATGTGATTTTCTGGAGAAAATAAATCTCATTTTGTCTGTCATAGTTGACGTGTACCTATGATGAAAATTACAGGCCTCTCATCTTTTTAAGTGGGAGAACTTGCGCAATTGGTGGCTGACTAAATACTTTTTCCCCCACTGTATGTATATACTGCATTCTATAATATTCTACTGTACCATAGTCCATGCCGCTCTGTCATTGCTTGTCCATATATGTATATATTCTTAAATCCCATTCCTTACTAGTTTTGTGTGTATTGGGTACATGTTGGGAAATTGTTAGATATTACTGCACTGTCGGAGCAAGAAGCACAAGCATTTCGCTACACCCGCTATAACATCTGCTAAACACGTGTATGTGACAAATAACATTTGATTTGGTTTGATTTGGAAAGGCAAACACTTGTCTATATAAAGGTTCCACAGTTGACAGTGCATTTCAGAGTAATAACCAAGCCATGAGGTCGAAAAAATTGTCCGTAGAGCTCCGAGACAGGATTATGTTGAGGCACAGATCTGGGGAAGGGTACCAACAAATGTCAGCATGCATTGAAGGTCCCCAAGAACACAGTGGCCTCCATCATTTTTAAATGGAAGAAGTTTGGAACCACCAAGACTCTTCCTAGAGCTGGCCGCCCGGCCAAACTGAGCAATCGGGGGAGAAGGGCCTTGGTCAGGGAGGTGACCAACAACCCAATGGTCACTCTGACAGAGCTCCAGAGATCCTCTGTGGAGATGGGATAACCTTCCAGAAGGACAACCATCTCTGCAGCGCTTCACCAATCAGGCCTTTATGGTAGAGTGGCCAGACGGAAGCCAATCCTCAGTAAAAGGCACATGACAGCCCGCTTGGAGTTTGACAAAAGGCACCTAAAGGACTCTCAGACAATGAGAAACAAGATTCTCTGGTCTGATGAAACCAAGATTGAACTCTTTGGCCTGAATGCCAAGCGTCACGTCTGGAGGAAAACTGGCACCATCCCTACGGTGAAGCATGGTGGTGGCAGCATCATGCTGTGGGGATGTTTTTCAGCGGCAGGGACTGGGAGACTAGTCAGGATCGAGTGAAAGATGAACGGAGAAGAGTACAGAGAGATCCTTGATGAAAACCTGCCCCAGAGTGCTCAGGACCTGACCGGGGCGAAGGTTCACCTTCCAACAGGACAACGAGCCTAAGCACACAGCCAAGACAAGTGGCTTCAGGACAAGTGTGGCTTCAGGACAAGTCTCTGAATGTCCTTGAATGGCCCAGCCAGAGCCCGGACTTTAACCTGATCAAACATCTCTGGAGAGACCTGAAAATAGCTGTGCAGCAATGCTCCCCCTCCAACCTGACAGAGCTTGAGAGGATCTGCAGAGAAGAATGGGAGAAACTCCCCAAATACAGGTGTGCCAAGCTTGTAGCGTCATACCCAAGAAGACTCAAGGCTGTAATCGCTGCCAAAGGTGCTTCAACAAAGTACTGAGTAAAGGGTCTGAATACTTATGTAAATATTTTTTATAAAAACCTGTTTTTGCTTTGCCATTATGGGGTATTGTGTGTAGATTGATGAGGAAAAAACAACAATTTAATCAATTTTAGAATAAGGCTGTAAAGTAACAAAATGTGGAAAAAGTCAAGTGGTCTGAATACTTTCCGAATGCATTGTACATCCTGGCAAAAAAGCAAGGTTATGAGTCAAACGGCCTGAAACAACAGCTATTAACTTTTTGTTTGAGTGTTTTAGGATATTTATCAACAAAGCCTTGGACGTACAAAAGGCTGAATGTTGTAACCTTGTGAATGGTAAAAATAGTGAAGGAATGTGCTAATTAACTCCAGCTCTTACCTTCACACCGTCTCCAGGTTGAATACCATCCAATTGAAGCATTAAAGAGCCGCTGTACGCAAAAAAGAAACCACGGTAACTGACCTTTACTCCAACCGTAAGAAACAATTCACCTGTCAGTAACAAAACTAAATTGGTTATTTCTATTAGGGCACAAGTCTTCAAACGTTTCGGAACAGAAAACAAAAATGAGCATTTCTTAAGTCCAAGAAGTCCCTCCCCTGTTGCAGTCCATTTCCCCCCGTTTGGTGCCTAATGAACACGACCCTGACAAAGAGGGTAGCCTATGGGGTTCTCTCGATTGGGCAAAAGACTGCCCTCCGTCTTCTCTCCTCTGTGACCCGGAAACCGATAAATGGTCAAGGAGTGTTTCAATTCGTTAGCAGGCAAACCATTTTGTAAAAATGTATTTCACCTTTATTTAACCAGGTAAGCCAGTTGAGAACAAGTTCTCATTTACAACTGCGACCTGGCCAAGATAAAGCAAAGCAGTGCAATAAAAACAACAACAACACAGAGTTACATATGGAATACACAAAACGTACAGTCAATAACACAATAGAAAATCTATATACAGTGTGTGCAAATGTAGTATGTTATGGAGGTAAGGCAATAAATAGGCCATAATACTAAATTGTAATTATTTTGCACTAACACTGGAGTGATAGATGTGCAGAAGATGATGTGCAAATAGGATGAGGTAGTTGGGTAGGCTAATGACAGATGGGCTGTGTTCAGGTGCAGTGATCGGTAAGCTGCTCTGACAACTGATGCTTAAAGTTAGTGAGGGAGATAAGTGTCTCCAGCTTCAGAGATTTTTGCAGTTCGTTCCAGTCATTTTCAGCAGAGAACTGGA